CTTTTGGGATGCTATTCCACAATCTTACACCTATTCTAGCAAAAGAAAATAAAAGTTGGTTAGTTCTAGACGCTTTAACGTACAGATTAGCCGTTGCTGAGAATCTTGTGAAATGGTGATGAACCTGCTCGGAGTGGATAAAGAGCATAGAAATATTAGACGGGGCACGGTGATTATCAATGTCATGCATCAAAGAGGAAACCAAATGAGAATAGAGCATAGTTATTGGTAAGATTCTGGAGTTAACAAATAGCGGGCACTATGAGATTTGCTATCCGCAAAATACATTAGTCGTAGAGCACGTTTTTTGTAAAATGAGAACCTTATTTAAATGAGTGTTAGCAGCTTGTCCCCAGGCAATAAGACCATAAGAGATATAGGGTTCAATTAAGGAGCGGTAGATGTTAAGAAGTGTGGCAAATGGGACAAGATGTCTTAACCTGGCAATTATACCAATTCCTTTACTAACTTTAGATGAGATATAATCAATATGATACTTCCAAGAGAGGTTATTATCTATCAGAATTCCTAGATATTTCACAAAAGTTTTTGTTCTAGAGATACACTTTTTTTAAGATCGTTATTATAAATTTTCAAGTGAACTATGTAGTCCAATTTGCGTTGGTAAGGATGGAAAATAACAAAAAGTTAGATTTACTAGTGTTAAGAGAAAGTTTGTTTGCGTCCAACCAGTCACCCACTTTTGCGAGTTCATCATTAACAACTTTTTTCAAGATCCTTAAGATCTTTGTTTGAATAAAGCAAGTTAGTATCGTCAGCAAATAGGTAAAACTCAAAAATCTGGGAGCAACGGTAAATGTCGTTAACATAAATCAAAAAGAGAAGGGGCCAAGTACAGACCCTTGAGGGACACCACAAACTATCTCTTCTATATTCGACACGGTTGAACCAATTTGAGTCGACTGGTTCCTGTTCAACAAGTACGAAGAGAACCAGTTATTAATTATTCCTCTGACTCCATAATGATATAATTTGTGCAGTAAGATTGAGTGATCCACCGTATCAAAAGCCTTTTTAGGTCAATAAAAATACCACAAGAGAATAACTTTGCATCAATATTAGTTTGAATTTTGCTTAAGATATCTAAAATTGCATGTTGGGTTGAACACTTGTCTCTAAATCCATATTGAGAAGTAAAAAAGATACCGTTTTTTTTTCGCAATGTGATTTAAGACGTTTAGCCATCAATTTCTCAAATAATCGATTGAAGACAGAAAGGAGGGAAATTGGGCGGTAATTACATGGATCAGTTTCGTCTCCCGATTTGTAGATAGGAATTACTTTGGCATGCTTCAAAAGATGGGGATAAATACCCGTTGAGATAGACTTATTCATCATGGCAGCTAAGAGTGGAGAAAGGATATGGCGCCCAGATTTTAAAAAGATGAACCGGGCAAGAATATAGGCCATATACTTTATTACTGGGTATAGCCAAGATTTCCAAGTCCACCTCGGATGGAACGACGGGATCAAAAAAAAAAAGACTTAAAGTGATTAGTGCCGACAAGGTAGTCCTGGAAATTTATCCTGGAAGGTGATATATTGCGTGCAAGCCGCGGTCCAATAGACGCAAAGTACTGATTAAAGATATTGGTTATTTCAGACGGATTTTGTGTTACTCCAGAGTTGTTAGAGCGTTGAAGGGCTGATACTGTTTTTCTGTTACGCTGTCTGTTCAATAGTTCATTAATCCCTCCCACGTTTTTTTTTTAATTTCTTAGATTTGTAGTGAAGTAAGCTTCATAATACAATCTTTTACTGAGACGAGAAAGAGTAACAATTCTATTCCTATACAGCTTATATTTTGAGATATCTCCTGAATAAAAGAGTCTATTCTTTATTTTGATAGATTTACGTAGGCCCTTAGTTATCCACGGTTTGAAAAATTGTTTAGCCTTGCGCCTAGATAAGATTTTGAGAGGAGTGTGTTTATTAATGAGCTTGTTAAATTTATTGTAAAAGGAAGAAAAGCATTTGTCTACAGATCCATATGTCATTGAGTTATCCCAATCAGTATCCAAGACATCATTAATAAAGCATTCTTCAGAGAAGTTGGAATAATCGCGAATTTTATGTTTAGCAGTAAAATTTTTTTGGTATAAGACTGTGGATAAAACAAAATTGGGAGTAGTGATCACTAATGTCTGACACGATATTTCCACCTGAAATTTTATGATCAAATCTATTCAGAAATATATTATCAATGAGTGTGGCAGAATTATTGTAGACTCTAGTTGGTTTATCAATTACCGGGAAGAACGAATAACATTGTAAAGATAACAAAAAAATTTTTGGGAGTAATCGGAAATTTCAGATTTGAGGAGATCAATATTGAAATCGCCCATAAGATAAACAACTTTATCAGAGGAGCTAAGTTTTTCTAAAGTAAAGTCAACATAATGGAGGAATTGTTCCGGATCATTATGCTGCCTATAAATCACTCCACAAACGATATTTTTACTCTTTAGGGATTCAATTTCGATCCATAAAGCCTGAAAAGCGTCTTTAGATGTTCTCTCCAGAACCTTATATTTCAAACAATTATTAATGTACATTCCAACACCTCCACATGATAGAGGTGTTGGGACATATTCAAACTGATAGTTTGGTATGCAGGCATTGAAATCTAGCCCAGATGAATTTGTAATTTTTGTTTCTGTAATACCGATTACACTGAATTGGTAGTCAAGTTCATCTAAAAGATGGACTTGAAAATTATCAATGTTTTTCCGCAAACTTCTTACGTTAGTATGGAGCATAGAGAAAGGACATTGACTATCTGATTCCAACAAAGACTCTTTAAACATAGAAAAACTATAGGGTGAGAAATATTTACATCTAATTTGTTGCATGCTTAAGTTTCTGTCGGGATTTAATGTTGATTCGGTATTTAAGCGAAACAAATCTAAATCATAAATACTATGAAGTTTGTCTAAGTACTTCTTGGTCGGTAAGTCACTGTTGAGAATGTTATTAAACTGTCCATGAGCTCTAATAATTTCAACATTCGCGTATGGAAGTTCGCTTAAGGTAGATTTAATTGTACAACGAACACGTTTCTTGCTAACACTCATACTTATTATCTAAAAACAGACAAACAACTCTACATCAACATGAATACTTAGCCTTCACGTCCATTCGTTAATCGGTGCAGGTCCGTGATATCCTTAATCTTGATGGCTCGAGACGTGGTATCTTTACGAAGATAAACAAGCGATCCCTTCGACCAGCAATACTGATAGTGAAACTGCTCCTTGAACCTCTTAGCTTCAAATAAAACCTTTTGCATCCTTGGCGTTAAATGGTCAAAAATTCTAACAGCGGAAAGGGAGGCATCGTCAGGTAAACCAACAGCAGATGGGGCAACTTTATTTGCATTTCTTTTATGATTCATGACATCATCTTTTGACAATCGTCTAATAAATCTTTCCTTTATTCTCACGACCTTGATGTGTGATTTAGGCGTGATATTGTCGGGAGAAATTTGATGTTAGTCACTCTTGGGGTTTGAAGAGTTATGAATCATTGATAATTGAGTTTCATTAATGTTCTTATCACATATGGACGTCTTGTGTGTTCTATTACCGAACAGACCCATGCATATGGCGGCATATAATCCGTTTGTTTTATGCGAGTGTTATAAAACTCTGTACATTTCTTTGCCATCCTTTGCAAAACAACAACGTGAAATCACTTAAATTCATGTGGTCTGAGAATGGAAACCAGTCCTGCTATATGGTTGTGAAACATGGAAGATCACAAAGACCGATCAAAGAAAACTGAACAGTTTTCAATGCTAATGCCTATGACTTAGACAAGGACTGTTGAAAGAGAGAGAGGCAAGGTGCAGGTGGGGTGGAAGAGGTGGATTGTGGCCAAGGCGGCGGCATACGACAGGGGGAGTTGGGCGGACAATATGACGGCCTTATGCGCCTACTGGCGCAACGAGCGATGATGATGATGGGAATGGAAACGCTAACGTTTCCACTTGAACTTGATATGGCTCCGCGAGAGAAAGTAGACACATCCAGCCATTCGCGAAATACTAACTAAAAATATAAATTCCCTTTTTTTAATCGACGTCTTCCTCGGCTTTGCCGTCTTGACTGCTTAAGGTCCCAATTAAAAATTTTAAACAATTATTCACCGAAGTGGAGGCGAATAAGGGTGGATATCTACCGAACCACGAAGCCGCGAAGAATATTTCCACCACTTCTACTGAGTGGAATGGTTGTTTCAGTATAGACTTCACAGATACGAAAAATGGTAGAAAATTAAACTCTCGACGCGCGATTTTGTCTCCTCGGCTGCTCGGAAGTAAATAGTACTTGCTATTCACTCCCGAACTAGCCAATCAGCGCGCGCCAAAGGCACTTTTCACTTAAAATGTTAGTCTTCTTGCCATCGATCTTAAATACACTTTTACTCCGTCATTAATTGCACTCAGTTGTTTAGATATAGGAAATTGCGACAAAGTTTAAAAATTGCATTTAATTAAGAGGGCATGCAAAAGCTGCATCTGTGAACAATGGGCCTTAAAATGGCCACCAACGAGAGTGAGTCTTTGTACAAGAATGAAGTATTTCGTGTGAACCATCAGCTAGTGTCTTCTTATGTTCACGTTCAAAGCAAAATATTTGGGATAAAAAATAAACCGATATATTTATTCCGCTCTCCGATCCTCTTCATTCATAATAATGCAAATGGTTGGTTTCTGAAAAAGGGGAAAGGGAACATATCCGAGATATTCATTTAAAAGAGAGCAACAAACGGAATTTAATATTCTAGAACATTGCCAGCTTCAGCGATTGTTCAAAACTTTGATCTTTGGATGCACTTGGCAGTATGTCAATTAATGAAGAAAAGAACTCCTCTAATATGGATGTGGCCAGATTAGCTAGTGTTACTCCTCCCAAGTTTATAGGTGAAACTAGTCGAACTAAAATCAAACAGTCGCACTTTTATTATTATGATATCATGTGTAACTTAACCACTTGCATCAAATAAAGCAAAAAGATCCTGTAATCGTCAACTTTTTACAAAAATTTTCTTTGTTTCTTGGTCAAAATGCGTTTTCCTTGTATACATTAATTGAAATTCACAGGAAAACCTATTCGCGTCAGCCAACCTGACTTTCGGTTCTTAATCAGAAATTCTAATGACATGCCATGCGGCGCTAGTCCCCTCTCTAAATTGTATAAGGGCGCGATAAAACCTAACAGCGAAAAGCAAGGGAGCTTGGCTTGCTTATCGCTGTCCGTTTACGAACTGAAGGCCTGGATCGAGTCAACCGGCAATACCTCGGTTGATATCGCATGAAACAGAATCCCGCATTTTTTTTAATGGGTATTTTAAAAAAAAGTAAATTTTTTCAACAAAACATTCAGTTCTGTCACATTTGCTAACGTTGAGGTTTCTTCTGCTTTCTTTTCTCTCAACATGTTTTATTTTTTTTATATATTTATTTCGCTGAGTTCATATCTAATGCATTTCTTGGCGTTGCAAAGAGAAGCAAGTAAACATGCGAAATTCTTCTGTTGATAGAAGTCTCAGTATTGTGACAAATCATGAAGCTTTAAGTGAAGTGGTGCAGGTACGAGCGTGGTTTCCGGTGTTCTTTCGACATTTCTTGTTGTTGAAAAGCAGAGTGCGCTCAAAGAAGCCTGGGAACTATCCGACACATCATCTGTATGTTCATATGGAAGATATCTGCGTCTGAAACGGAAAAATACAGTAGAATTAAAAGCTTTGGAACCCTAATCATTAATATTGTCTAAGTTACAGTAAGATTTTCATTAGATTTAATATTTGACGTACTTATTCTGTGATTTACTTAATTTCTAATGCTAGATAGCTAAATCGTAGTTAAAATGATTCATCAATCGCTTAAAGAGTTAATTGTGTAGATCTAGGGAAGAACAAGATGATACTCAAGGTTAAAATTTGAGGTACATGTTTAGTACTGTGAGGGAAAATTATTAAATTAAAGCATTTTTGTATTTCGAATGAATGAATGAATTCTACGTTTCTTTTGAGGAAGTTAGCTTGAAAAGTCTGTCAGTCTGACCGACAAAGTGATAAAAGTAAATCAGTAAACATATGACCGACGCATCGCCAATCTTTGATGAAAAATACAACAATATCCTTAGAAGTGGTCCGTTTTGATCATATTGCCACGTCGTTTTACATTATTGAAATTTATTGCAGTGAGCTCTGAACTTCCTCAAACTTCTACACGTGGCCAATCCACGCGACTCAACACATGCGCAAATGTAGCGAGCATAATGCGAAACAGTGGCTCAGCTGGGCGCTCAAACATGGCACACGTTCGTGCTACAATAGTGATATTCTCTCAGCTTGGAGTCGCGCTGCGAAGCATTTTGCGAAATATTAACTTTAATTAGTTGTTTTAATGGCACGCGACACGAGGGTAAACAAACAAGACCAAATATTTCATCCAACTTAAATGTGTCATGCTTCGCTAAATCGTAAAACAAATGAGATTGTTGCTTTTCAGTTTGCAACAAAATTGTATAGAAAATATGAGCTTTTTCAAACTAATGCTTGTTTAACCGAAGACCTACTCATTAAGATGTATCAGGACTAGGCAGATTTCAGGTAACAGAGGGCGTTTTGAATGAAGTGAAATCACGCCTTACATCTAAAATTGTGTATCTCTAAAGATCATTTGCTCTGATTTTTAATATTCTGTTTCGTTATTATTGGCTCTAAGCTTATTCTAAAAAGTCGCTAATATAACAGTTAATTAAAGTTGGACCATGTGTTACAATTGAGCAAAAGTGACGGATCAAAATAACCTCATGCAGGTTCACACCCAAGAAAACGAAGCACACATTTAACATGCTTGATTATGATAACGATATGAATAAGTTTTGGTTTCACACGCGGGTTATAAGACCTCGAGCTTTGTATTTGGAAAGAATGATCAAATCAAAGGAGAGTCGGGCTAACCAATGGCCCCTTTAAATTAACCTCCAGAAAGTTCCAACATAAGAGAGTTGTACCTGCTCCAGCAATAATCTGCGCAACTTGTGGAATTCGACTTTGAAAAACGCTGAGTATATGTAAGAATTTTTAAGCGTGGTTCAAGCCGGGAAAAATATCCTCGATAGAATCGTATGGTGCAAAAGTTTTGTTCTCAAACTTTGCAGCGAGTGTCAGCTAGGTGGGCTGTGGTTAGAATTGTAATAAACACATCTTAATAAATAAATCTAACCCGGGCCAATATCCCAAGTGTTTCGCGACATCTTTCGAAAAAGGTAACATGCGAGTAAGTTACTTCAAACATATAATGGAAAAAACCGCACTGAAACATGATCTTGATAAATATTTTCGGTATGCTTCTTCTAATGTTGCCTGAATAAATTTCAACTTGGTCTTTAACGAAAGACCCTGAACTGGAAAACTTAAAAAAATCGCAGCAGCGACAATCGATTGAAATGATAATAAAAAACACAGTCTGATACTCAAAGACGTCAAAAATGTATTAAAACACGCAGATAAGATTCCAAGGAATTATAAAGGAAAAACTCTTTAATCAAGTGGAAAAATCCTTATAAAAGCAACACAAGATCAGAGACAAAATAACGAAAAATTTGTTTTCAGTGTTATCGAGATATATTTAGGGTGTGTCAAATGATGCTTTCTTATGGGAAATCGTTTGATAAATTTGGTTCACTGAACACCTTGCCACAGAACAAATGCATCTTTTACTAAATAACTAAACGCTTTTTGATTTTCCACCCAGCCTGTTGCCTGGAGCTCGAAAAGAGATGTTACCCGTAAATAGATGCATCCCACAAATTTCACTTATCATATTTTATTAGATCGGTACATAGGCGATTAACAGCTTGAACAGTGTTCTAATTGGCTATTTAGTTCGCTTGGCACGCGACACACGGCACAAGTGAATAAAAGTTTATTATTCTTATGGACAAATTAAATTTTTAGAGATTAATATATCACTTAACTCTCCACTTTTCTTTTATTTCGGATAGGGAGCGTTACGTGTCTTGTGTCGATACAGATAACAGATATCGTGAAGTGCCACTTTAACACATCATTTTTTATTTTGTTCTTCTTTCATTCTCAAACAACTGAAAATGACGGAAAAATGTAACAAGCAGGTTGTGATATTGAGAAAAATTATGTTTTCGTGTTTGTATGTTATTCACAAGACGTTTGTGAATGGTAAAGCATTTTTCTTAATTTCTCTTTGTTTCATGAAGCAAAGAAAACAGAAAGGGATCAATGTCGGCACGCGACACGAGGCTGAACAAAAGAATCTTTTGTGTTAACTCTCATAGTACTTGTAACTTTAACGGGGAATTTCTCAATAATGTTGAACTATAAACTTAGCAGTCATGTAAACAAATCCAGGCCTTCAGAAATTCATGGCTTTCGAGAAGAAGCTTATCAAAATCTTAATTGATTTTATCTATAAAGTTTGGTAGCCTCTATTCTCCGGACGCTTTTCGGATATATTAAACACGAATGAACTTAGCTCAAAAGTAACTATAATTATACAATTTTTACGAGAAAGGCCCCATGTGCCAAATAGCATTATAACACGTTGGAAAAAATAGAACTGGAAATGATATCACTATTGGTGAGAACAAAAAAGCAGAAAATACATCACGTCGCACATAATTCCTCGTAATATTATCACCTTTCACATCGCTTATATATATAAAAAATTAGGGTCATGTATAGTTCTCATACGCTTTAAACTCCAAGGCAATATTTTTCCAATAGAAAAAGTAATATTCCAGTAGATTTTTAATTGATTCTTGTTCTTGACTTTAAAAAAGAAGAAAAAAAAAGCCTAAATATGTTAATTACTATTCTGTTCACTAAACAAAATTTCACGCACCTTAGCAAAGGACAATAACCCACGTGGCATCAAGCGAGAGCTTTTTCTAATGATTCAACAATGAAGGCACAGTGGACGGCGAAAGAGTTTCAAATGTTCCCCTGATGCACTATTGCGTGATGTTTTAGTAGAACTACGACATTAACTGGACATCTTGATTATGCTTATAAGGAAATAAAACCAAAAATGTTCTCTTTTCGTCAGCCGGAAATAAGTATTTGAAGTTCAGCTTTCGATTCACTGAAGTAAACCGCACGACCCGAGGGCACATATCCGAATCAAATTAGCCTCTGCTTGTACGTATCTTTTTAATATATTTGACGCAAATTTCAGTGATTAATTAACCGCTTTGTGTCTGGAAAGCAAAAATACCGTCATCGACCGTGAATATTCAGTCCCAGTTAAATAACTGTAAAGTTTCTTAGTAGGGCTTTAGATTAATTTTCTAAAACTAATAAATTTCTGCAATGCATTTCATTTTAAACAGAAGCATAGGTGTTCTTTCCTCCATTCTTATTAAAGCTTTTGGTATTCAGCGTAACTCTGTATATGAAATCAACACACACCATACGCAAAAAATTACTAAATCTCATCATAGATGCAAGCTTTCCATGAAAGTTGTTTCACTCGTTTCCTGAACAGAGGTTCAACGCAGTTCAATAATATATGTTTTCAGACTATCACAAACGCCACATTTGCACAGGAACAAAATTATTTTCGTGGTTTACTTCTGGAAGCTTTCGGACCACGTGGTTACGTGTAAAAAAAAATCATCGCATGACTTCAGTTTCCATAACGTTACTCCATGTTTTTTATAGAAGACACTTTCAATCTGAGCTGGACTTCAAACAAGAAGTATATATTTTGACTAATCAAAAATTTATATGGATCCAAGTCTCCCTGTTCTTCTTAACATCATCATACAATATTTTTGAGTGTTACAATCCTTTGCATTCTCTTCATCATTGTTGTCATTATTGCCTTTGGCTTTGTCAACTCAAATCAGTCTTCTAAAACAAAGCCTGGGAAAGGCGTATGTAAATTCACCGCAAGTTATAAAGTGTGAAAACAAGGGAAGAACGAAAAATTCATTACGTTAAATGAAGAGAACTGGTTTTTTTTTTTTTTTCTTTGTGTCTGAAAATACTCATTTACTAACAAATGTGTTCAATCCATTCCCGCGTGAGGAAAGCTCTTGTGTAAGGTGAGGTATGAGATATTAAAGAGCCGCTTGAAATATGCATTTAGTCGAGTTTTCCGCGTCGCGCAAACATTTTGAGATGATGAAGTAAGTGTGCAAATGTTCAGCAGTGTAGTATTTAACATGCTCTAACTAATGGTTATATTTAGAGAAAGTTCCTGAATTAATTGATTAAGTTTATGGTGTGCACAGAAATATCAAACGACGTTTCGATTTGATGACGGTTACTCGTTTTTAACAAGAAAATACCGTGATAAACGAAATTGAAGATTTCTTGTAGGCGATGTAAATTCTTTTCGATCAGCCCAATGTGAGAATTTTACACTTCAGAGTTATTAAGAATGTTATTAATCTCACAATGATGATTAAAAATAAGTCAAACATGACTAAACTTCAGATCTGTGTTCGTGTAAATACGATTTTAGATTACTGCAGAGCCATATTGATATAGCTGGATGCAAGCATAACAAAGCTGCTTGCGAATGCCTCGTGAAATTTTTCACTAGATTTAAGTTATTTGTATATTTTTTCCTATATTCGTTTCTCACAATTTCCCGTTTGTTTCAACAATAGGTGATAGTAAGCTCAGTGAGTGAAAGCATTTTAGAACACAGAAGTTTGACTTAATAGCAATTTATAAATTAATTTCATATGCATTGTTTGAATAATTTTATCTGTAATCCACGCCACTCTGCGATTGCTAAAAAAATATCTTTTCAGGCCGTTTTTATTTGCAAGCATGTAAATTGTTCTTTAATGCAATCGGCTCGACTATCTCGGTATCTTGCGCGTGAGATTTCCGATAAAGACGGACTGGTATATCTTGTACTTTGTCAGTCTTCAATCTTTTCAACAACTTACTTAGCAGGCACAATTTTCAATCCAATTTCAGCTGTCTGCATTGTGGGAACGCTTATCATAAAACTTCATGAAATATTTAATGTTTACCTTGTTCCTTTGTCTCGGAAGCCTTTGGCAAATGGGTTATGGTCGATTTTCATTTGAATCAACTAAAAGAAAACAAAACAACGTAAGTCAACAAACATACCAAAACTATATCAAAAACCAATGACATTTTAGGCACAATTTGAAAGTCCCTTTATGAGGATCAAGACGCGATAATGCATTCGGAGTAACAGCCTTGAATCTAGACAACACATCCTCGAAGTTAGGGTATAGGAGATTACGAGGGAAGAATCTAAATTGATTGTCATTAGAACAAATTTGACTTATGAGATTTTCTAGTCTTAAATTTTTTGTTGTAAACGGCTGCAATGGCGAGACCCCTAAAACCATTGTATAGTAAAATTACTGAAATTTGAACTAACACAGATCAGAAATGAGGTCGTGCTTTCCGTAATTTTTTCCTTTTGATACTCGAGCTGTAGTGAGTACCATAAAATGGAACTTAATCTGAACACATACCTCTTCGTTCTGGTAAGTTGTTACGGCGATAAAAGTTGTTTCAGGGAACACGTAAGTTGAACATGAAACCTTTACACCTTCTTCTGTTTCTTCAACAACATGAATTCTTGGCTGGTATTTTCTGTTTGGACTCAAATGGAGCTGTAAGAGACAAGAAACGACAAAACTTTTGGCAAACCAGTTCTCCACGGAAAAGAAAAAATGATATCCTTGAAACATTTGGTTTGTGAGGTGGGGACAAAGAGACTGAATCGAATATCTATCATGCCTCAATTCTGAAAAAAACAAACTCTACTACTTTCAAGAGAATATTCAAACTGAAACTAATACCGAATTAGATCCTAGATATTACTTTTTAAACTGTGCAAATGAAAATCAACCGTCAGCATCTTCTTTAAAATCGCTCTGTCAACCATTTTTTCCTGCTGTATGTCCTTAAAAATGAATTTTTGTTACACAAATTAAAACAAGCAAAAAGAGTGCCATGCCGGGAAAAATTTTCTTTGTGGTTTTAACTTAGGTGGTATTCTTTCGCAGAATTATTTAAGAAGTCTGGATGATATTGGTTTTACGCTTTTAGTTCGCGGCGCGAACTTTGCATTAAAAAAACTTTTTGGCCACGCGGTATATTTTTCATGTCGTGTTGAAATACCTCGCTGTCACTTGCCTTCATTCGCATTATGTATATGTAGCGTTCTGAAAGCTAAACGGTTTCATCTTCAGCTAGTTGAAAGATTTTAAGATAATCAAGTTTTTTTGAAACGCTTAACTTCGAAGCATGAAAATAAAGCAGAAACACGAGGTGAAACACGAACACAAAGGAAACAAAGGAAACGATATATGAATAAGTTATGAGATCGTTCAGTGGAAAATCACCAAAATCGTCATCTCGCTATCGCCAAAAAGTTCCTTAATATCCTATGACAGCTCTTGCGGGCTAAAGCACGCAGTGAACTTAACCCGCAGTAACTTAGAAACATTTGATCTGCTCGTGTAGTATGTTTGAAAAGATAAAAAACAGCTGGAAATTCAACCAAAATCATAGTATTTCCTTTGCCAGACACCGTGGCTATAAATAACGCATGCGCACTTAGAGCCCATCCCATGATTCTCTGTTTTTCGCTGTTACGTTACACGGTGCGCTCTCTTTATCTGCATCTTTCAGATACAAAAACCCAAAATTCTCAAATAGAATTACTTTTAGGGGAAATATCCACACAAAACAAATTTCTTCCAGCTAGATAGATCAGCTCTAGCAGCTTAATTACGTAGATAGTTCTAAGATGTAATCGTGAGCAACTAACCTCGCCATCTTTGAATGGGCCAACGCGACGATTTGTGAGACGAACCTTCTTGAAGTCTACGCCATTTTTCATCCAGTAGAGCCCTGTATGAGCGACTTCATCCGCTTGGTAAGACTGTATGTAGGGTAAGGCGTGCATCTCGCTTGCCATTCCGTTTATTTGCCACATATTGTTCACAAACGTATACGCGTACCCATCTACAGGGACAATGTCAACATGCACTGAGTAATAGCAACGAGGATCCATTCCGAGGAAAGACAGCGCAAGTGTGGGAAACATCCGTCTGCAAAGAAATGAATCTGTTTAGCATCAGATAATTTCAAATAAATGATGGATGTGTGCTCTGTGGGGTGATCCATCTGATAAACAATCTGCTCGCATTTGCCAAGATAGGTTCAAGAAGGCAGGTGAAATGCAATTTAAAGGTGCTGTTTCATGATGAAAGCCTTGTTGTGAAGCCTTTTCATGAAAAGCAGCTAGATAACGATAGATTCTAAGGCCCAGCCTCTAAGGATGATGACAAAACCCCTCCTAAGGCGTGAGCGTGTCAGACCGGTAGTTATGACCGGCACGCGTCAAGAGTTCTAAATATCTGCGTTGTATGAGCTACGATCACGGCGGGCACAATGAAAATAAAGTACAAAAGGGTCAAATTTAGAGTAATCTAAAGCACATGCTATGCGATCACTGTCATCTGTTCAAATGACCTCTCTTCTCATTAGCAGAGGCAAAACATCGGTCATTATTGTAGGAGTCACGAACAATTAGACACACCCATAGAGAGCGGGGCACGTGGAGGAGACAATCTGCCTTAAACCCTTAAGTGGTTGTTTACTTTACGTTACCCATATGCCTTTCTCCTTTTGTGGTTTTGTTACTATCTGTAGCTTCCACCTCCTACGCTTTTTCTGATCTACAGATCTGGGAGTTGTATAAACAACTAATGTCTCAAAAGACAGATTATCAAAACGGCGATATTGCTAATATTGCCGATCCTCGTGATGGGGAACAATTTTATCGGTACAACCTTGTATGACGGAAGTGAAATGCAGGTATCAAAAACAAGCAAAAATATATACATTTGACGATAGCGCTCTCAAGAAAACAGACAAAATCCGTATCACCTTAAAATCGACAGTCCATTACCCCTTTGCATCTCGATAATGTTTCCAACTCGAGTTCATTGTCACGACTATGGCCCCTTGAATCTCATATTCATTTAAGCTAATCTGTGACCTGTGTCCATTATCTCGATATTTTGATACCTCGGGGCACACCGTTTTGTACTATCGGTTCTTCCTATGATTTCGACTTTTGTTTGAGCGTGATTGATCAAAGAAGACATGCCAATTGAATTATTTTCGGTAGATATTCCACACTCGGGAAGATAAGCGATCAAAAAGCTCTTTGTGTCCACATGTGAATAATCCTTATCTTTATTATATCTGGTATTTTTTTGCATATTAAAAGTCACTAACCCGAATTTTAATAACTCTACACCTGGGGGAACATAATAGCAATATTTGAAAGGATCCAGAAATTTTATAACACTGTAACCTTTTTAGTATATTTTGTATCAAGAACACTGCACAATAAATAAAAAAAAGTTATCTCTCTATCTTGCGATACGTCGTTTTAGTTATTTTCTCTTAATGTCATATAGGTAACAGTTTGGAATTGCTGTTGATAACAAACATAAGAAAAAAGTAGAAGGAAGGAATGAAATACAGGCGGCCAGTTTTTGTTGAGACATCGGGTAAATACAACCACAAACTTTTTTTTATGCATTTACAATCAAATGCAGAATTCTTCAGAAGTCATCGTAAGACCCCTACAAAAGTTAAATCTTAAGAGCAGAAAGTGCATTAAAAGATTTAATTGTGAATAATAGGCTTATTTTTGGCTGGCGCCAATCTCGCCTGCTTGCTTAAAACAATCGACTTTCGATAGAAGAAAAGGCTCCCTTTGAAAGGCACATGCAGAAAAAGCAAATCAACAGTTTAAAAGAAACTAAAAAGAGATTTGCTTTGTTGGTTACACATGGGGAAGGTATAGAAAAGAGAAATACTATTCTTGTGGCACGCGACCGCACTCTCAGCATTCAAAAGCGTGCGTTAAAATGCCGACAGAAAATATCTTAGAACGTGACGTCATTTAAGGATGGAAAGCTATAAACGATATACTTGAAAACAACTTAGGAATTAAGCGGATACATTATTTTTCATATTTCAGCCCAGGAATTAGCCATGTCGGATGTTTTGAGCAATTATCAGACGCGAATTAAGAAAACCAAGTTACCCGCAGTGAAAATAATCGTTGACTAAATGAAATGCAAAAAGCCTGTATGTAAGCTTTAGATTGCGTTTCAAAAATAAGGCCAATTTAAACGATAGTGAACTGGGGTTCTAAGTAACTTCTTTAGAAGATTGTCAGTTATTAGACCGTAATTAATATGCTACGAGAATCTTTTTTCGTGTAAGCAAAGGTAGTGAAAGTGTCTCAGAAGAGTGGTTAGAAAATTTACACCAAAACCACTGAAGTTTCATTCACTTCAATATCAAGTCTCTAAAAGTCTTTTCCATTCTACAAAATTTAGCCGAAGAAGTCAGGAAGATTGAACTTAGAGATTGAAACTCGAATCTTGACTTTTTTAAGGCGTAAAATTTGGTAAAATGCGGCCGAGTTTCTTACCAATTTAATAACATTTCATTTCAGATAATTTGTATAATTTTCACCGGCATGTCGAAAAACATAATAGGAATTTTAGCATATACGTTTTTGATGATAAGTATTTCATAAACATTTGAAGTGACTTTTGAAGAATTCATCTGTAGTTAGGTTTTGTTGATGATTCTTTCAATGAAGAAAAGTCTGAATTATTTTGCCGCACAAAGTATCACTACACACGAATTTTTCTCACCTTCCTGTGCGCGTAATCACCATCTCTGTACCGCAAGCGTAGAATTTCCACCACAGATCACTTTGTTGCATAGCGACTTGTACCTCTCGGTGCAACTCCATAACTCTCCTCTGGGGAGGGCAATACGATGAAGTGTTCTTGAAGGTGTCTAGATTTCTAACCAAGTCACAACAAGCAGCAAACTGCTGTAAAGGATCAAGGATTGATGTGTTTCTTCTTATTCCACTTCTTTTTATCTCTCCGTATTTCTCAGTGAGCGGCTGTTCGTTGTTCAAAATGTTCTTAATAGAATGATCTTCACTCGCCAGCCTTAAGAACGAAGGTGATTTCGTCTTTTGTGGTGATTTATCACGTTGGCAGTCCTTCCACCAATTTCCTTTCTCTTTGAGATCCATTAAGGGCGGATTGAGTTCACTTGTCTTTCGAGTGCTGGAATTTTCATCAAAAGTCTTAGTTAGCAGGCTGGCGATAGAAAAAGCTGCAGCTTTAGGTGAGAGGTTTTCTGTGTCACTTGTTGAAAGGCTCATAGTTTTAAAACTGGCTCTATATCCCTCGTCTCCGTTTCTTAGACGCGCACTTTAGAAGTCAATAAGTGACCTGCAAGGCTTTTAAGTCGTGTATCACCTTTTTACCGCGTTTATGTTAACAGAGGCTTGAGATGAAAACTAGCCTGCGCGTGCGGCAAGTGTAAATTGATTGGCTGGTTTTATAAACAATCGCCTTAATTGACCCCCGAGATGTCAAGTTTATACAAAACTGCTTTGAAGTGAGGAAGGTGTCACACTAACAATTCGCTGTTGGGCGTTAATTGCTCAGGGACTATGTATTCATCGACTTGTGATTGGGCGGGCCAGCTTAGCATTGGGCAATCTGCGCAAAATATTTTCCCTGTGGTAAGGGCAGGTGTAAAAAGCTCGGTTTTCTGGTTTTGTGTCTTATCGCGCAGTATTAATACCATCCAATTAAAAGTTTTTTAAACTGGCTTATGACGCAGCTGATCGCGCCCAGATAAGGCGACTTCAACAAAGCATCCCTGTGGGTGCAATAATTTAAAAGTTAGGAACTCAGCGAAACCATTTGTGCAAATGAAGTGGATGATGGTAATATTCATCGGCGCATGAAAAGAAAAACACGGCGCACTCAGTTGTGACACATTTTGCGCACAAACACGAATATAACAATAGTAAGAAAGTTTAATTGTGTTGTACATCGAGTATCTGTTTAAAGACTTTCTCGACAGCGTAATAAAAACCGACGTCTTTGTAAGTGGCAAAAAGAAATTTAATCCGATATTTAGTTGTATTACGCCAATAATCACTCTGGTTTTATGGTGCCGACCAATTTTTTCCTTTTTTACTTTTGCTCTAGATATTTTGAAACAATACTTCGTCACACTCAATGATCTTTTGTAAACGATCAATTCAAGGCAGATCTGATTAATCGGCCAAGTTTATTTCCTGCTCTATCCTTTTCAACAGGAAAAACCCTTAATGCAACATGTAACTCTCGAAAGCTCTTTAATATGTTTCAAGTCTCGACATGCACATAAGACTCTTTAATTTGTGACGCTGCTAATTCCACAAAAGCGCCAGAGCTTATGCCACAGAAATCTCAAGTATCCTCTTAAAGTCAAGATTTCCAAACGACGTTGAGCAAAATTGTTAATGATGGTGAGAAATTGCTTTTCAGTAGGTGTGAAGTGGATAGATTTCCCTGTGGGATTATCAGTTCATTTCGCGACTAATCAAGGTGTAAAAGGTGAAGCTTGAAAAAGAAGACAATTCTGAACGATTTGAAAGCTTTTTCTACGGTTGGCGCAGCTTATTCAAAATCAAGCTGGCAGCCTTACAGATTATCAGTCCTGGAAAGAGCGAGATTTACCGACGAAACCTTTTTTGACAAACAGCGAAATATAATTCAACCTTATGCGATTCTGTGAACGAGCTCGTATTCAATTTTTTTCTTTTTTTTTAGAGCTTTCAATTTAAATCTATAGAGATTCAATTGCCAATAATTAATTAAAAGAAAAATTCTCAGTTTGAAGTTGAATGAGCCGAGAAGTTTCTAGTTTATGAGTACATTTATACTGACGTATCCTTTATTGGAAAATTAAATAAAAGTGTTGTTTTCTCTTTCCCATTGTAAGACACTGAGCGCCAAGTAGCTCTGGAAGCATTTTTTTTCAAGCTTCCGTCGTACTAACTTTGGTAGCGAGAAACATTCGTAAAAAGAGGAAAAGAAAAATTCAGCTTATCAGCAACAGTGAAAAGATGACAGTGTTTAAGAAAACTATTTTTGGGATGTAAAAAATAATAAAGAGAGAAAGGATTCGATCACTTTTTTTTTAGTTCATGTACTCGCTGACGAGTTTGATTAGCCGTATCAGTTTTAAATATTTCGAAGGCCTGAACAAATGCGAGAAAGGAATTCCAGCAAAAAGGACGTAGAAATCGTTATGCCCTCTTTAATTTCTTGTCACGCGTAATAGAGGTATCCATTTTCATAAATGTCTAAATAATTGTCCGCGCGAGAGCGCAGCCGGGAAAGGTTGGAACTAGAAAAAACAAAAAAATAAGACTGGGTACGAGTCTTCAAAGCGCCCGCAGTACAAACTTACTGCTGAACTTTGTGCGGCGTGGGTATCAAATCTAAAATCTGAAAAAATGAGAAGAAGCAAGCGTCTGCAGGCGAAAAAAACTGTAACTTCTTCCGAAAATGAAGGAAGTAGTCAAGATGAAACTGGAGTAATTGAAACACTTGAGTCCACCTCTAAAGAAAATGATTACATTGCGTTGAAAACTACAAACAGTGAAGACGAAGAAGAGAATGATGAACAAGTTTTCTGTGTAGGCAGGATAGGAAGTTCACAAGATGAGCCACTAGCAAATGCAGGGAATTCTTCAGCTCTCTCTGAAACAGATGAATTTCTCAGTATTCCAGACGAATTTAAACGAAAAGTAAAAGAGTAAGTCGTACCTCAGACGTTTACCATTCGACTTCTGTAAGCTGGTTCGCTCTCTGTAATTCACACATCTGATCACCGGAGACAAACAACAAATACCATCAAATTTCGGTGTTATCTTTGCTTTCTTTGGCCTTTAGCACTGTTCGATTCACTCTAATTTAGTGGGACTTATTGCCAATTTTCTAGGTGTGTGGCGAGTTTTGTCTTTGTGGCCTTCGTTGTTTATGCAGGCCACCTTTAAATTAAACCACCTTTGGGCTAAACTGGGCCAGCCTGTCTTAAAATCGCAATGACGTACATACATAGAGTGACTTTACAGGTTACAGATGATTAACAAGGAGTTGAGCAAGTTCGATTTACATGGCCTAATCAGCTTAGATGTTTTACGATCACTTCCATCTATGGTCATTTGATTTCATTCCAAGTCAGTTTGTTCTAAGTTTTGGCCAGAATGTATTATTATGTGTATCATAAAAAAGTAGTATGTGCACTATAAGGAGGTAAAAAAGAGGCCAACTCTTGACTGTTCTGGATGAGTTCAATGCACAACATTTCAGTCGTTCAGCCTTCTTCAGGTTAAAAATTAAAAACTAAAAATCTATTTACAATGATTGCAACTTATATACAAAACAGAAATTTTAGGATTGAGGTTATGTAATACAACAAAGGTCTAAATTACAAACTGTGAAGGGTTAAACAATGAAAGGCAAATAAAGAACTATGGGTGGCATGTGAATACAAATAAGTGACAAAAATTAGAGAGAAAAAGGAATCTAACTTAATTAGTAGTGTTTACTCCTGAGTAACAAGCTCCCCATTGAATATACACACACACATATATATATATATAGCAGGTAATTTAGTGTTGACAACTGGGTTGAAAACGTAAATTAACCACCGTAAAGGGTAAAAAAAGCTGACGTTTCGAGCGTTAGCCCTTCGTCAGAGCGATTGATGTCTTTGTTCTTTCAGCTGACGAAGGGCTAACGCTCGAAACGTCAGCTTTTTTTACCCTTTACGGTGGTTAATTTACGTTTTCAACCCAGTTGTCAACACTAAGTTACCTGCTATACTCTCCCACCGACGCAGCACCACAGTTTCTTTAGAAACTTACCCCTTTATATATATATATATATATATATACATACATACATACTAAATGGAGTTTGTTGTTGTTTAGTCCTTCAGAGCTGTCATCAGAGCTACAAGTTGGTATCAATACACAAGATTTATATCTCAAGTTTGACAAAAACAGCTTCAAACCTGTCACAACAAGTAAAAGCTTCAATGACATCTGTAATAACAGAGAGGTAAAACAACTGCTTACCATCATATGGTTTAAGTGTATTTTTTGAGATTTCAACCAAATCATATGGCTGTTTAGACTTATGATTAATGAATTTTGGAAATAAATTCTTGATAAAATATTAAATTTTGTTATACTAACATAATGCTTTTGTCATGATTTGAATGTTAAGGTTTTGAGTACTGGCATGATGATGTCCTTTGTTCTTTCAGCTGTTGAAAAGAAGTGTGATCACAAGTGATTTTGAAAAACAGCAGTCTATTCCCCCAATGCATGTTTCCCGATATGCTCAGAAAAAACAGAGGAAGGTAATATTTTCATTCTATTAATTACTTCCTCATAAATCCAAGATACAGCAATTTTGATTTTAGTTTCAAGCAGTGACTTTCCATACTTTACAACTTCATGATGACAATGATGATTATTTTTGAGGTGAAATAAAGAAATGTTTTATCTTCAAATGAAGTTTCCTAAGGTTACTGTCAACAAAATAGGGTGCTTTCCATAAAAATTGTCCTTCGCATGTTACTTTTAAAGACATCATAGAAAACTATATGCCACTGTTAAACTTCTTAAGTACAGATTACAAAGATAACAAAATTTTTCAAAAGTCTTGTTAAGGTAGTTGAGCACCAGCCTTTAAACTCAACACTGACAGTGTTTGCTTTACTGAATTACCAGCCTCCATATTACTGTGAACCCTCAAATAAATTGGACAGGATCACTCAGCAGATAATAGGCTAACAAAGTGTGTTAGGCCACGAAGTTGGACAATAGGAAATATTTTGGTTGTTATCAGGCTTTGTGATGTTACAAGAGAAATATTTCCAATTTCATCATAGCATCACACACTTTTGTGCATTCATATCTGATGAATGTTTTGGCCAATTTTCATAAAAATCCAGCAAATCTACATACCCCATTAATTTGTTCAAGTAGAGGTAACTCATGTAAAAAAAAAACCATGAGTACTTGACTTCTAAAGAAATCACAGTTTTCGCACCTCATTGAAGGGCATGTCAAAGTGGTCATGCCTCTGTCCAATGAAATACAACATTGAACCCCATTGCAAGTCTTGTGATAAAGAACTCCTTTGAAATTTACGGGAAAGGTCATTTCACCCAAAGAGGAACATGAATTACACAAAATCTAAAGTTCATTGGGAAAAACAGAAGGAAAAGTGGGCAAAGCAAGCTAGGAAAAAAGGAAAACTCGACTTTTATTTATTTAGCTTGGGCTCTCTCACAACTTTCCTCTTTTTGTTAGTTTAATGAAGACTCTCTTTTCCCAACCTTTTGCACATTTTGTTAGAAATTCCCTTTTGTTGCGAAGTGCAAGACATGATGTAAACAAATTATGCAAATAGAGATCACAGATGAAAGCCTGCTGCAAATGCTAATGCTATGCTAGAGGCCCTGATTGTGACACCTTTGCTCTTCTGTACAGGTTCCCCCAAAACATTCTTTCAACTATATTTAACATTCTTTTGGTGATTTTACAATTTTTTGGCAAATTAAACTTGACTGCTTTCTCTAATTAAAGAGCGAAAATAACCAAACTTTTAATATTTGACCAGATTTTGTTGACAAAAACTTTAAGATAACTTGACATGCATTTACATACATGTATGTAAATATTAAGAGGAAATTGACTTTGAAAACCTGTTTTTATGTCCAGTGAAATGAAACTACATATATGTAAGTTGTTTTTCATCAATGATAGCAGCCATCAACAACACATGCCGTTTTTGTTCGTAACTCAAATTCAATCACTTCAATGAGAAATGAGTAGCAGCATTAAAGCAGAGAATGGCGTCAATCTAACCGATATGATTCATAGACCAGAACCTACCATGCAGTTGTTCATAGGGCAGGAAACACTATCCAACAAATAAATTGCTGTCCACCAGAATAAGATAGAGATTTAATGGCTGGATAGCATTATCCTCCTTTCAAGCAACAAGGGCTAGGATTTACGTTATTTACATATAGATCCTTAGCTGCCCTTAATAAAGCTGAAAAATTGTAGACTGCAGGCAAAAATTGTAATTATTGAAAGTGGTCATGTAAAGAATGTAAATGTAGTTTTAGCTTTCTTTGGTCAAATTTTGAGGTCAGTTGCTTATTGAGATATTTAGATGTACACAATGTAATCCAATTTTGTGTGTCCTTGGGCATTCTAGAAAGCTAGAGAGGAGACTGCAGGACCAATGTGGTTTAATCTTCCAGCAACTCAGATTACACCAGAGATTGAACGTGACATGAAGTTAATGAAGATGAGAAATGTTTTAGACAAGAAACACCATTACAAGAAAAATGATTCATCAGCGTTACCCAAATATTTCCAGGTATGCTATTATTACTAATTATTCTTTTAAGTTAATCCTAGTATGACATGCATAATCTTTCAAGGAATTAAAACAGCCTTCTATAATTTCTTTGATTTGAGATATGATTTGTTTCAACCTTGTAACTCCCATGAGTGACCAAGCCAGAATTTCTCCTTACAATATCAATACAATGTCAAGCAGACAAGTGATGAGAAGGAAGAAAAATATCAATTAGGGGATTATAAGTTTATACAATCCCAAATTCTCCAAACTAACATTACAAGAACTGTATGGCAGACAGAAAGGAGAATTACTAATGAGATCTAGGGAGTTAAAGGATTAATACTACTGACAGCTTAAAACCACCACACAAAGCACCAACTTTTGAGGAAAGTTTAGCAAAGGAAAAAGTGTTTTTATCCCTCATACCTGCTGTCATTGCAAATATTCTGAAATAGAAGCTGATAGAAGAAGATTTTTGTGTAACCCTTGTTTTTTGTTGTGTGTATTATAGAAACCTCAATTTTTAAGTAAATTCAAGGGGTCCTCACTCCTGTTGAGGAAAAGTAACACAGTTTAACTTCATGTATTTCCTTGTGATATCATTATGATTGATTCAGGAGTACTGTTATTTCATGTTGATTATCAATTGGTAACAAGTTTAATTAATCGGCTAAACAACCATTGCTGTTGGTAATAGGAAGGTGGGTTATGAACTTGCTAAATTCACATTTGTGAATGTGATAGTTTTAGTAGTGTGCATGGAACTACAGGTGACAATTATGTTTAAAACAATATCTAGGATGACCACAAGGAGTCTACTGATATAGGCAACAACAATATGTCAACTTGAGGAAGTCTATTGCTGAACATGTACAAAATGTTATTGAACTAGAATCAGCATATCTTTGGTCCTGTTGTTTAGATTGGTACAGTTGTGGAGGGTACAGCAGACTTCTATTCCTCTCGTATTCCAAAACGGCAACGAAAGACTAACATGATTGATGAGCTTCTTGCAGATGCTGAATTTAGGAGGTATGTCTAATTACTCAATTATTGTAATATCAATGGCGTTGGTTGGTGTAACATGGGGTTTTAGGCTAAAAAGGAACTTATTTTATTACTCTAACATACAGCAAGCAGTTACAAGTTGAAAACCACAAAAAATTAATAACCCCGAAGGCCCATAATACTGAACAAAGCTGTAACGTTGGCGTGCCCACAGTACAGTTGACCATGCATGTTAAAAGTAGCACCTTGTACGGTTGTACGGTCGTACATCCAAATTTTTTTGGCTTGATGGGTTACTAATATTTTGTATAATTATGGGGCTATGCTCTGCGAGCTCCGCTATTATTATTAGGTCATTAGTAGCAAGCTTATTTTGATTAATTGATGTGTATGTGCATATGTTTGCCATTTCTATAAAGCTGGTAATTTATGCCTGCATAGTTCCAACAATGTTTTGTCACAGAAACTAAAAAAGTAGATTTATTTTGTCATATGAAGATAGATTTTATTATGCTTTGTTGAATTTCTCTTGATATTAGTCCAAGTACCTCGCATTAGTCCTTTCTTTTGAAAGTCTTTTTTTTTCATTGAAGGTTCATATGCAAACTTTCTTTCTCACTATGAGTAACATTTTTCAATGGAGACACAAGTACAGACCATGCCTCAGTTTATCTTCCCTTGGAAAAATACAGTTGTAGGTGGAATTACATGAATATTAATGCACTGTATTTGTCTGTTGCAGATACAACAAGAAAAAATACCTAGAAATACAAGCTGCAAAACAAAGTGGAAAGAAAGGGTTTTATAAACAGAAAAAGGACAAAAGAAAACAAACTGCAATGAGAAGTTGAGGCAGTGACTTTGATGCTACAGTATTTTTACGGTTATGATGAGCCACTTTTCAATTATTTATTCATTATAAAACAGTCAAGAAGTAAATGTATTTTCCTCAATGGTGGGGACCAAAGATCAAGTTGTCAAATTAGTAAGTAAACATTTGAATGTTATTTCAGCAAAATTCAATTTTAGATCTGCAAAGTTTTCAGAAACCCTCACCTAAGAGGTTATGTCTACAATGAAATTAAGTCAATCATCTTGACTGGAAAACCTTACTCAAAGGAAGACAGGGTGGTGTATTGGGCTAGCCTAAGCTATCACACATTAATATGAAAAAATATTGGGATAAAAGTAAGTAAATAATAGTCTATCAATAAATCCAAAGCTGGTCTCATGGCATCACAATGATGACTTGAAATATTTAATAAACAGTAACTCCCTCATCTTGAAATTTGTTGGATGTGGTCAAATTAGTGTATTTCATTCTCCAGCTCTTTTTCTAGAGATAATGTGCATATCTATGGCATAAACTCTTTGTTAATAGCCCCATTTTTCAATTTATTACATGGTCACCACTGTCATAAGTTTATGAAATCCCCTGACTGACCAACTGAATATCCAATTTCACATATGAGTACCTTGAACAGCCTCCAACTTCCCCTCACAGCTTTTCTCTGCATCATAAATTTATGTTTTCAACAAGTCAGTCAAATACAGTGACAATGATTTGATAGTTCCCTAGTTCCCATGGATCAAATATTTATTTGCTCTGAAATCTAACATCAGATTGTCATTCAATTTTATTAAACAATTTTCTACTATCTAACATCTTTAAGACACCTTTTTCTATCTTTTTTTTTTACAAACTGATAAATGCAACTACCCTCAGTTTGATCATGAGATATCAGTTTCTGCTACCCCAACACATCGTAGTTAATTTATTACAAAGAAAATGCAACTACAACTGATGCCTTCTGTTCCTGCCCAGCCTAATTGCATAATTACACTGAAAGTAAATCAGTAACTGATTTTAGTACTATTGAGCTTTAAATTCATTTGATTTATTACCAAAGTTAGCTAGTCCAGTGCTTGAACTCATAAGGGCTGAATCACAATGTTTTATTTTGTACACAGAACACATAGTCTCTCTTGGTTCTTTCAACAATGACTTGATTTGCTTCAGCAAGAGCTTTTTGTAGCTGTTTGTTTTCATTTTTAAGCCTTTCATTTTCTTCAAGAATAGACAAAAGTTCCTTTTTACACTTCAAGCATAATCTAGCTTGACAAGCAAAGTCTTCCTTACAATCTCCACTTTGCTCGTACATACAGTATGTGTGATCATTTTCCAAGGCATTTGAAACTGATGTCAGCGACTCACTTGTTTCCTTTGTAATGTCTTCACTTGAAACTTCAGCACTTTGTTCAGGTACAGCCTCTAGAACTCCTGCATTGTCTTTAGGAAGAACATCGAGCATTTTAAATTTCCCACTGCTTGTCTGGGTGTGTGTTGTGTCTCTTTTAATAGTGTGAGGGTTTATGAACATATCACTCTGCACATCAACGTTAGTCAAGGACTCCAGAATTCTTGAAATTTCTTCACTATGAGTTTCCTCTGTATCATATCCGTTCAGCCACAGCTCGGGGTGCAAATGGTCACCCAAGGGTTTGCCAAATACAAAATGATTACTGCATACCTTTGTGTTTTCTGTCACCTGAAAGCTTTTGCGGTTGATAATTCGCTCCCATACTTTAAAGTGCTTTTGATTCGGCTTATGCCACTTCATACAATGTATATGGGGTTTCACAACCCACCTGCAAATAATAAGGATTTCCATCAGCCATCATAAGTTGTTTGTATAAGCTAATTAACTTGATGGCCCCAAGAGTGACTAGCATCTAATTTCTCCTTAAAATATCACCCTTGAATTACACACTGAAGTCATGAAAATAAAGGAAGTGATGAACAAATAAAGAAACTCTTGATGGTTAAACAACTTCTTCGTTTCAGCTCTTCGGGAAATGTTGAGAGCTGAGTGGAGAATTTGGATGCAGATGTTGGGGTGTAAAGGGTTATTACATCTCTTATAATATTGAAGAAAAGACTTATAACTCCTGCCAAAACAAACAAACCAACAAACGAATGCCTAAAACGCACTAATGTTATAAAAGCACCACAGTTCAATGAGCACGCTGATAGGCGTCTAAATTTCCAGGAATTCGGCATCAATTCTTGAAGATCACATGCGAAAAATATTACCTTTCTGGATACCTCCGATCATTTCGACATCCAAACACGGCGCAGTGGTCACCTTTACCCATGTGTATTTGGCGATATCGTCACGTCCGAGAAAATCTCCATGAGTTCACAGCGTTAACCACGGGCCAGCGGCCAAGACAATGCACCCTTTTCGAACCACAGCCCTTTGCGAAATCAATATATTCAATAGGTCTAATATCCTCAGGTATCTTGCCTGGAATTAGAACACAGTGAGCGTTACGAGATACTTTAACTCACCTTCTCCGCATTTTATGATCAAGAAAAAAACTGAAATAACGATCAAGTTATCAAAACCGCCAGAATTTACTGTTGTCACATGTTATGGTCCTTACATGACATATAAAGGGTTTCATGAAATCCGCTGTAATGGAAAGAGTGTGCTGTATACTTTGAAGTTCCCATAGCAACCACAACCACGATCGCCATGTTGTTTTTTTTGTGACTGCGTGTGACACTGTAGATTTCATTCGAAGTGATTTACCATTTCAATACTCCCCGATAGTTTTGAGTTATGCCCCCGAAAAAGAAGGGAAAGAAGAGTGGAAAGAAGAAGAAGAGTGGTAAAAGGAGTGCCAAAAAGTCACCTTCTGCAGCACCATCGAGTGATGTGCTCAATGAACTTTCGAAGGAATATTTTCTTATACAGATACGAGATTTAGAAGAAAGGTTAGTTCGCTATCAGAAAAAATGCGACGAGCTTGAAATTGCTAATCAGGATTACAGATCACAGTATGAGCAACAAACGACGGATAAAAAGGAAATTGTGTCGTTTTTGAAGAAACAGTTGGAACAAAGAGCGGACGAAATTGCTGATCTTCAAGATCGTTTGATAGGATTACAACAGGCCAAGGATGGAGAGAAGGATCAGTACGAAGTACAACTGGCGACTTTAAGAACTGAAATGCAGGAAATCAAGGACCAGTTAACTTCAGAGAATATGGTTCTGGGCGGGAAGTTAGCCTCTTTAGAAGAATTTCGTGTTCAAAAAGAAGATTTGATGGCAAAGTTTGCGAAGATGGAGGAGGAATTGGAAAAACAACAAAAGGATCATAAAGAGGTTATTTACAATCTGGAGAGGAAGGCCGTCGTGGACAAAGATAGGTCTGTAATTTTAATCCCTTTGTATGAAATAAATACTTGTCATTATGCCTCCTGTTTAACATAATTTGCGAGAGTTATTTAATTTGTTATGTGTGATGCCACGTCAATTAGACATTAAGAAATATCTAACTTTGCCAGGCTTGGTTTTTTGAGGTGATTGAGATGAAAGAACCTCAGCAGATGCGGTAAACGTAATAGAGACTGCAGGCAAATTGCTAAGATACAAGATGCTTAACCACAGCTGGTGACAGAGTAAATAATCACAATCAGTATCCCAAGTGTACTGTTTCAAAAATTTTACCGACCAAATCACTATTAAATAGTGATGGTTGGAAAAATTTTTGAGAAAGTTCAAAGTTTGCAGCTCTTTGTTTATGGTCCATCATGTCTATATTGCTGTAAAGGTAACCACTATGTCATGTTTCTCTTAAAAAAACAGGAGTGTTCTCCCTAAACTGTCTTGTTTCACAACACTCAGAAAGGCATATTTTCATAAAGTTAGACTGAGCAAGTGAGCAGGCTCTAGTTTAAGTGCTGTTGTGCAAAGTAAGAAGCTGTGAGGTGTGTAATGGAGAGAGGTATACAAGGCATCTGTTCATTTTTCTACCAGACTGTTATCACAATCACTAATGATACTTATGCTTGTTACCTTCATTTCTTTGTACATAGGTTGAAGAAAGAGATGGTACTAAGACTGAATCAAGTAGCTGCTGAATTTAGAAAAGTATCAAACAAACAGATGGCTGAGACAACCAAAAGAACCATTAGAGAGAATGTCTCTATCAATGCTCAGCTGGCCAAAATGTCTGATAAAACTATGGAACTTATCCAGGAAAATGATGAGCTTAGAACGAAGGAGAAGAAAATGAAAATGCAGGTTGACATGCTGGAACATAATGAGAAAGAACTTGCTAAGAAGAACAGTAGTAATCAAAAGGTACTTACCAATAGCAGACTGTCATGTACAAAGTTTGTGTAATCAAAAAGCTTAGTGACAATTTTCCATAAGTGGTCAGCAGTAACCCAGTGATAGCTCTGGAAGCTGTATCTGCATACATTTTTGATAAAACTTTTTTTTCATTTAAATAGTTTCTCTCCTCCACATCTTTATAACTGGAGTTACATGTACTGTTGATGTGGGAGATTTGAGCAGTAGAGCTGTGAAAATAAGTAATAAAGCTGCTGAAGGAATGATGGAATGTGAGTTTTTGCACACATTGCATCACGTGTAATGAGTATGAGTTACCAGTCTATTAATTACAAGCAGGTAATAAGCAGCAGTGCCACTTTTCATTTGTGCAGGTCCTCCACTTGTATTATTTTCATCCATAAACCACCAGCTTAAGTGGTATTTGTGGTCTTAACAGTGAACCCCTCTTGCAATCTGCTGAAATGGTGAAATACATGTATGTGGAGCCTCCCTATCTCTTCAAGGTCCTAAGTTTCAAATTGCAGGATGTAAAAAAGCCATGTATGTATTCTTTCAGATAATCCGTATGTTGGCAGAGAAAGCTAAGCAGCAAGAAGAGATGTTACTTGAATATGATGAGAGTGAGGCAAACAAAAAAGACTTGGAGAGTGAACTTGATCTGCTTAGAGCTCAGGTTGACAGTATGAAGGATGAGCTTAAAGTGAGTTTGATTCCTTTTGTTTTTATTTGTGTTTGCTGGAAGTACTTTAAAGCTGATGTATAACGGTGTTTGAAATCATGAACTGCTTTTGGTATGTATTCCTTTTCAAACCTTTCACAGAGTTTTGAATTTTCTAGTTTTACCAAAAAGTTTGCAAATATTCATGCACCTTTGATTTGATTTTGACCAATCACTTATCAAGGATTTAAGATGAATGAAGTGCAGGAGTGACTCATAAACAAACCTATTGACATAAATTGCTTAACAAAACTTTTTCTTGGTTTAAGTTTTCTGAGGTTGAATTAGTTAGTAAGCAGCTCTTTATATACTTCAAGTATTATTTTTACATAGCTGAAATATTAAATCAAAACTTTTTCTCTCAAAAATTTGAAATGTTAGAATTCTTTAGAAAAGTTTTTTTTTGTTGATACATATGGTACACCTTATAGGTATAGATAATGTAATTAATTTTATTGCATTTTAATGTTTGAGCAGAGCACAACAGAGAAAAAAGAGTCCTTAGAGAGTGAACTTGCAAAAGTTACAAAGGACAGAGACCTGTCCATGAAGAAGAAAGATGAACTGACTGGAATTTTGTCTCAAGCAGCACAAGCTCTTAGATCTTCATTAGTGGTAATAACTGTTACTGATTATGGTTTTGGACTCTAGCTCTCAAGATCTCTTTGTTATTTCTCCCCTCTAATTGCTACACATTTCCTTGTAGATTACAGTAGTTACAACAATTTTGTGTTACATCAAGATATCATTGCAACCTCTACCTGATAGAATTCTCATTACCTGTTTGGTGGATTATAATGTACTGACGTTTTAGGGAAAAGTTACATGTTAATCACTTCTGGGTGTTAAAGGGTTAAAGGCAGCTTAACTGAATAAGTGATCATTTGGTTTTCATATATTAACTGGAATGAAATCAATTGCAGAAAATTATACTTTAAAAACTGTAGACTTCAACAGGAATTAAATTTATGCCTTAGACAGGAATTGGGCACCACTTTAGACTGCTTTATAAATTAAGAATTGGGAACTGTGTACTGTAAAAGTTTACACCAGATTTTGACAATAAAATACGGTAACCTTGCCAATTAATGCAGTGCAATCATTGATGGGTCATTAAACAAACAAACAAACTCAGTTATAAAGAATATTCCTGAAACTTTTAAGCTAAACTTTTCAATATTAAATACCTTCATCCCTTGGTTTTCAGGCACCCACTGTTGTCAATGGAAAGCCTGATGAAGCAGAAGCCATCTCTCAACGCGAGAACCTTGTTCAAACACTGCTAGGAATTTTGAATGATGCAGTTACATTTGGTGTGGGACCCAGTGCCAAAGATTTTATGCCACCACGTAAGACTAGTGGATACTCAAGCCCAAGCCCTGATATAGGACGACACATTCATAGAAAAAAGGAGTAAGTAATCAGAAGGACTGCTCTGAATTTTCATTTTTTAAGTTGTCAAGATTTATTACTTCTTTTAATTAGTAATTAGTAGTAATAAAGCATATCACCACATAAGCTCAACCTTAAACTCCTATGAGTGACCAAGAAAGAATTTCTCCTTACAATATCAATAAGAAAAGTAATAAAAATAAAGAAAAATATAAATCACGAGATTATTAGTTGACCCGATTCTAAATTTTCCAAACTAACATCATGAGAATTGTATGACAGACAGTAAGATGAATTGCTAAAAGATTTTGGGAGTGAAAGAGGTTAAATAACATCCTTAAAAATGAACATTGATGAACAGTGTGTTAAGCTTTGCTGTCCAATAAAATCTCAAGTGAGATTTTACTTCTTTGAGTTGTCTGCTTTTGAAGAAGGAATTCTTTTTACACAAGAAGACATAACTTATACTGACATTGATGTTTGTTGCATATCAGGACACTCCCCTCTAAGGCCCAGGCTGTGGCAGCAGCAGTGAATCGTCCACTTCCTCATTACAAGCTAGGTGATTTGGGAATAGTTCCCAGGTCTCATCCAAAGCTTGGAGAAAGGCCTGGGGCCTCTTCGCCATTGGCTCCTATCAGTCGGCAGACTAGAAGTGTTGGTGTACAAACAGTCAGTGCACAAAAAGTGAGTGCTTTCATTACCATACTGCCAATGATTATAAGTTATAAATTATCTACAAGGTTCTTAAATAACCAAACTCCTTGATCATCAGCTGATTGTGGAGAATTACTACTACATTGCTATAAGTTATTGGAATCCATAGGTGATCTGCAAGAGGCTTTTGCTCTAGCAAAATAATTTGTTGGCAGGCTTTGTCCCCCCATTACTATTGTCACCTTGTGTGACTTCAATTGGCAACGGCTTCTGCTTATTTGTTTTGTTTTGCTTTGCGCAGAAAGTTGTCATCAGTAGGAGAATTTTAGATACTAGTTTGCTAATGTAGATAAACACTTCTGTGATAAGAATAAAATTAAAGGTGACGCGCACAGAAAAGGAAGTAAAAGATCATCACGGATTACAAAGCGCAAACTGAAAAATCCCGGCTATAACGCTTTGTTTGTTCTCCTCTCAGGCCATGTTCTTCGCTGATCAGCTTCTTTCAAAACGGAGCCCTACCTCGTCTGGTCATTCTTTGTCACATGACTATAAGTCACCAATCAGAACAGAGCTACCTGTTGGCGCTGGGTCACGTGGTAGAATACCTTGACGCGGCTGTATTGACTCTAGATTTGCAGGATTTTTAACTATTTTCCCGACAGAGATCATTCAAGCCACATATAGGATCTGTAGTGCTGTGTTGTTCAAATCTTTCCTTAACCCTGCTATTAGAGGGGACTTCCCAGTCCAAATGATAATGAAATGAACGTCCTTTTGTCTACGTGGACTTGCTACATGCAGCCATAGTCTCTCATTTTCCACGCGTGGAAACTTTTTACCACAATGAACAACGATTTTGTCCTTGTAGTTGCCGAGTAACACATTCTCAGCAAGCTTAGATTTTTATCCTTTGATAACAGTCCGTAATGAATCCTGTTGTTTGCAGTGTATTTGTTTTGTGTGTAGATGCCAAACGCGTGGATTGTATAAATATATCCTTGAGTGCAATAAACACCGTAATTTTGACAAATGTCTGTGATGAGAATAACCCTTGGTGACGGGAGATCGCCTGTTTCAGGCCTATAGGACATATGACGGGGCGCAGTAGTCGCGCTGAGCAGAAAAAGGAGAGAGGAGGTCCAGGTTAGGTCACGTAAAGTCCCTTACACGACTCGACCCAAACTTCCTTCCTTTTCGCCTGGAGTTTCTGTTGCGTTTTATTTACCATCTGGAAGCCAAGGACGGGCTACCCTCGTGAATGTATTGAGAAGGCATTTATGAGGGTTGCAATGAGGTTTACTGTTAGTGGTGTTAAAAGTTAACCGTAAGGACTTTTTTGTCTATGTGCAATGCGTCATTTTGAGAGTATTATTGCGGGAAGAAATTAACCGCTAGCCATAAAATGACCAAACTTTTAACCGGTTAGCCATAAAAGCCATCATCCCATCAAGACTCATTTATATGGGAGTTGAGTTATAAGACCTTTCTCTTCTAATTGTCTTACATTTATTAAACTGTTTAACTGATTTCAGTGGCTCAAACCCTCCAAACAATTGTCGTTTCCCTTCAAATCATTTTGTTTGTAACTTCACCTCGATAACCTTAACAGACTGAATTAACAATCAGTGTGCCACTTTCTAAAAATGAAGTAAAAAAAACATTGCTATGCCAATGGTATTCCAAGTACTGAATTCACTTGAGGCAGCTGAAATGAAGATTGTAAGAGTAAAAAAACATCTTTGTTGTACACAGATACTCGACATAAGTATCTTTTCGGTTCCTGGTTTTTAGTTTTGACCTATATGACCCACGTCGCGTTTATCGTTCAGCCGGAGGAAGTTCACGAGTTTTCTCTTCTTGTTCAAAAGCACAGACAACAGTTTGATAACGGCTCCATCATAAGTGCAGCTTGAGCTAAATTTCATAAAAGTATCATTTACAAATCATCAGAGAACATAACAGAAAGAACCTTTTCCTATATTACGGTAAGTCAAGAACCCTCGAATTTCGCGGAACATCATACGTGTGACTCTCGCGAGTAATGAGAATGCTCTCCCCAGTCTTACCAAACAAAACTTCACGCTCGCTCCGATCAGAAAGTTCTTGAACAGACTAGCAAGTTGAGTTTAAACAAGCTTTTCTGTCACGAAACACGAAATGTTTACTTATCCATTATCACTGGAGATGAAGGACATGTTCTAAGCTGGACTGACTGAGTATCTTTGTTTCTCTCTTAAGACTCCAGCATTGCGAGAAACGAAATAATTCGTCGAAGCAACTGGTCTCCTGAGGGAAATGCCTTTGTATCTTCTTGCAAATCATGAACCTTGTTTGATAAGGTTAGATGCAATTGCTCCACAATGATCAGTAATAAAACGATAACTGTAAGAATATGAGCGTAAACTTCTTAAAGCTTCAACAAAGATTTGAAATATATTTTGATCGTTTTGAGTTCCGCAACGGCCGCCGACCTACTCCACTACGGAATTTTTCAGACATCGATGACATCTGTCAATTGTTGAGAAAACAAAGCAGTTACGGATGATTGACCACTGATGTGAATAAACAGACGTGACATGTTGTATTGCCACTGAATTTGAAATTTGTATCCGTTGCGATGTGTTGTGAATACCGTGCCGAACACTTGGTTGTCTTGGTTTTGTGCTGTTAAATTACTGGGTTAACTTGAGCCCGCATGAATGCAAACGAATTGCGTTTTACCAAAAAATCACGATGGAAAATGACCGTAAAAGTAATGAAACCGTTGAAGATTTATTCTTCAAATTTATGGACGCTCAAGATTGTCCCGAAATCACAAGTGCTTTTGGACAACTGGTGAAACTTCTTGGTATAAAATCTGATAATCCGCGCGAATTTTATTCGTTGCTTAAGGGAAAACTTCAAACGTGGAGGTGTAAATCTCTTTGGGAACTGTTAGATTGTCGGGCTAATCAGAAGGAATACGGCAAGGGAAAAATATGCGAAGACACTCAAGTATTAATCATTGGTGCAGGTCCGATCGGCTTGAGAACTGCTGTTGAAGTTGCTCTGCTTGGTGCACGGGTTGTGATTGTGGAGAAGAGAGAGTCTTTTGTGCGAAATAATGTTCTTCATCTTTGGCCATTTCTCCTTACGGATTTCCGCTCACTTGGAGCAAAGAAATTCTACGGAAAGTTCTGCTCTGGCTCTATCGACCACATTAGTAAGTAGAGTATTATTAGGGCAATTTTTGTTTGTGATTAATGGTTTCACTAATTGTTTTGCGTGTCACTAATGTTCATAGATCTTTGAGTGCACACTTAAGGTTTCAGGTTTGTGCAAATCATCGACTGATTCAGTAAGAACTTGTATGTGTGTATAGACTTATTTCCATACCGCCTAGTCTCACGTAATCGCATATGATAAACCAAATATATAATTGACGATGCTAAAGCTTTGAAAACAATATAATATCGGTATTTCCTTCCACCGCCAGCAGCTCTGATTCTTGCCTGTAAAACATGACCTTTCGTATGTTTCTGAACAATGAAAAGTTTGAGGGTATTTCCTTGTGTCGGTCATTTGAAAGTTTTCGTAAAAATTTCCGGTCGCTTTTTTATTTTCATAACTGAACACCAATTTGTTGTTTGTTTGAATTAATTCACTCTTTGGAAGAGGACAATCACGTTGTGAAAACACCATACTTTCGGTCCGTCGAAAGCTGTTGAAAGCAACTTAATAGCAACCGTTGTAGATAAATGCCGTATTACATGGATAGCTGTCAAGGACATTTATCTCATCTGTGTTCCAACTATTAAGGTCAAGTTTCGTGGCGACATTATTAGCGCTTATAATCCGCGACTATACCATTTGTTTGTGTGAATATGGCGGATTGTTTATCATGTTAACGTAAAGCGAAGCAGATATAGGTAATTTTCCAGAAAATAATAACGTAAGAAATTCGATCCAGTCGCCTACTCACATACATTTACACGAAAGGAGTTTATTATCAGCGATGATATTTGAGGGGAATCATTTTCCAAGCTTGGATATGATTAAATCTGGCCTTCACGCCAAGATCATCACATATTCAAAATTTTGAAGTTGTTTGTTTCCTTGCAGTGTTTACGCTTAAAAGCTAAATAAATACAGGAATGGCAATTTTAATTGGCTGTTTATAAACACTGGCTTCGCACCTGTCTCAAGCAAGAAAGATTCAGCAATAAAAAAGTGATAGCATTCTTTCCTCAAGCTGTTCAAAACCAGCTTTACAAGATCTTCGGTTCTTTTGCGAAAGTTTGAATTAAACTATATTTGGAATAGCCACAATAACTTTCAGACAAAATTAAAGCACATTAGACAATTGCGACATTGATTTTGTAGGTTGTTGCCATCTAAGTTTACAAAATTATTTTTTGTTTCAACTTATCTTTAACTTGTGCTGACTCAGCCCAAGAGGCTTAAATTATCTGTTTGGTTCTGTGTTTATGAAACGCAAAATTTGGACTGCATGGCTTTCATTTATATTTTTAATTGTTGATATCACTGTTTATGTTATTTTAAAACTAATTAACGTTTTGTTCGTCCCCGGTATCTCCGTACTCTTGGATGACGCAAAAGTAAAAAGTAACAATTACGAATTCGTGCGAAGGTGAAGCACTTCACCGCAGCCATTTCTTGTTTAAAAAAAAATTGATATGTTCTGACATGCTGATCTTCTTGCCAAATCAATTACAGTTTGTCTTCAGGCAATTTGTATCAGCATTCGGAAAGAAGAATACATTAAACATACATAAATAATTTAACTAATGCTCTCTGTGTTTAAAAACAATTTACATTCTATGTTTTCACTGAGTTAAATAAAGAGAGTTCACTTCGTCAATTTGACCAGTTGGCCATTTTACAACTTTCCTCTCATCTTCGCCGAAGAAAGACTTTACGTGATATGGCGCGTCTAATTTGCGTTTAATTTAAAAATGAATATTTCAAATTCTGTTACCAAATAATGAAAAGAAAGAGGTTTTTTTCATAAGGAGCCTTAGGCCAGAGACTCAACACTTACGGTAGCGTTTTAACGGGCAATTAATTGAAACTTTTTAAGAAATTGTGTAAGACGGGCATTAAAAAAAACAACCGACCGGTGGGAGATTGACCTTTGCCAAGGTTAGTGTATTCGGTATAAGATCTTTTTCAGCACGATCACGCCAGTTTATTTATAGGCATCTAAATATACCACGGGAGGAATAATATTGATTCTCTTTTTGCCTCCAGGGGCACACATAAAAATATCGGCAGTAGTTCATTTTCTCAACTTGATTTAATGTAAATGTTTAGTCTACATAGTTCATTTTTTCTCCAATTCAGTATGGAACTTTATTTTTCTCAGAAGACAAAATGAAACAGGTGTTATTTATTGAGCACCTCCAACACGTGCCCTCGAAAGTGGAAAAATAGCTTGCATACCGTACTTTGAACGAGAAAACAAGAAATCAGATTTTTTCACCACCCCTGCTGTAAAAAAAAACATACAAAACAAAAAAAAGTAGAAGAGAAGGCAGGAAATTACGCGCCCTGTCAAATAATCTGCGGGCAAGCTCCATATCCGCCCTCCGCCCGATCGTAACCACAGCGATCTTGCTTACACGCTTGTTGTTAGTAGACTTAGTAGACTAGTCAACTGCTAGTTATTTAACTTTACGACAATCGTCGACTTTGATATCACCCCGAATACCAATATTGTTTTTCGAAAGCTCCAAGCCTGAGCGGAAAATTTCGAAGAGCGTTTCCCTTTCTGCATATAATTTTCAGTCACCCTTTCAGAAAGACATGCCTCATTAAACTTGCTTTTGTCTAGGTATTCGCCGACTTCAATCTGTTCTCCTCAAAACTGCACTTATCTTTGGTGCCAAGCTGTATACTGGTGTCACATTCGACGGTGTGATCGAACCGAACTCAGTGGAGGATGGGTGGAGGTGCAAAGTGTCCCCCGCGTCCCACCCTGTTAGTGAGTATGAATTTGACGTCCTCATTGGTGCCGATGGCAAGAAGAATGTTATTCCTGGTTTCCAACAAATAGAAATGAGAGGTAAGTGAAGACTTACTTCGTTTTAAAATTCTCCTCCATTAATGATCTGAACTGAACCCCAAAAAATAAATTTAAATTGAGTATCAATTAGGACTTTGTCACCCTCAAATAACGCCATAATTTGCAAAGAGGGACTTGAGTGTGGTCAGAAAAAAATTATACTCAATATCTTATTAATTTTAAATACTTAACATAAATTATATACATATAGACCACGAAGTTGTGCAAATCGTTGGACCTCAGATTCATTTATTCATGATCCCAGGTAGGGAAATCGAGCTTTACCTCTCTTAGCTGACAGGCGATTCTTTGTGACATAATTGAAAAATCAGCCAAAGGCGAAGATGAAAGAAAAATGCGCTTGCAGTGATAACGCTCGATGTAAATTGTGGATCAATTGCTTTTTTAGGGACGCTCGCCATCGGAATAACGGCAAACTTTGTGAATCACTACACAGAAGACGAAGCTAATGTGGAGGAGATTAGTGGCATCGCGTATCAGTTTAATCCGAAGTTTTTTGATGAGCTCTTTAAACAGAAGGGAATCAAGCTGGAAAATATTGTTTATTACAAAGATGAAACACACTATTTTGTCATGACTGCTGGTAAAGCAAGCTTACTTAAAAGAGGAGCTCTAAAAGAGGTAAATGAATGGAATTTGTTCATGCTGTTATCTCCTGGTCAGTCTATTAGTATTTAGATCAGCATGCACCCTAACAAATCGGCCACACTGCTTCCGTAGGGAGATGGAGATGGAGATGGAGATATTGTAGCCAAAAAGAAAGTTACTAATATCACAGGGTTTGTATTGGTCAACAGGCTACACCTTAAAAGGACAGGAAATTATAGCTAGAAAAGATACTCTCCGCACTTCTCTTGCTACTGTGGAATTACTTCACACTGCTTAAATCGTGATGCGTCCTCAAAAAAACATGCGATTATCTAATAAAGATGAAACTGATGCCAATTTTTACTGGTTTTATCCATTTCTGCAGGATTTTGGCCCTTCTGCAAAGCTTCTCTCACCGAACAACATTGATCACTCAAAATTATTGGAGTATGTCACAGATGTGGTCAAGTACGCTACAAAAGGAACCCTGAGGAACTTGGAGCTGAAAATTGTCGGCAATAATCAACCAGATATTGCTGCATTTGATTTCACTTCGATCAAAAAAGCTGAACACGCTGCTAGGATCATTGAGAGAAAAGGAAGCAAGTTGCTTGTTGGCTTGGTAGGCGACAGCTTATTAGAGGTCAGTCTCCAAATTATCATTACTATTTCCTTCTTCTACATCTGTTGAACACTTTTGAAGAAAATACGGTTTTGTTGCATGAAGGCAAAGAGAGTTTAAAATTAATTTTAACACAGCCGAAATATCTGTCTTATTTAGCGATTACTTTTGCTAATTAAGGCTACTTGTAGTTGTTTTACAGTTAACTTCTTCATTGCTGAAACTAAAGTTTTGTTATATCTCCCCCGACCTGTAGCGGCTGACGAGTATTTTGGGATGGTGATAAAAGAATAGCAAAATATGAACCAGAAAAGAGAGAAAGTGAAAAGGAAAAAATAAAATGTTTCATTTTACGGGAAAGAATTTTTAACTGTAGTTGCTCATGCGCGTGATCGACGACTCGTGCTCAGCAGAGGTTTTCAGTTTTTCATGCGTTATCATTCCTGTTTTACATATGTTCAAAAATGTGCGCAGCTTTGAAAGATTTTCATCTTCCTTTCTTCAGCCTTTTTGGCCCACTGGATCTGGCTGCGCTCGCGGTGTTCTGAGTGCACTAGATGCGGCATGGATGATTCGTTCATTTGCACAGGACAAACCACCGCTGCAGATACTCAGTGAGCGGGAGAACATCTACCGACTACTTTCAGGGACCAGCTCGGAAAATCTCCACAAAGATCACGCAAAGTATACAATAAACCCGGCCACACGATATCTGCACATTACACAGAAACGAATTCGAGAGGTGTACCATTTGTTTGACACTGATGATCCAGTGAACGCCGATTTCAGTGTCGGAAGCCCTCAGATAACTGTATCAAACAAAGGTAAATTTAGAGCTTTTGTCAGTAGCTAAGTCGTTGGTGTTCGTGTCCCTTCGTGCGCTCGTCAAAACGAGCTTGTATCTTTGCCTAGAGAGATGGGACAATACATTTCCCCTCTAAGCTCAGATTACTGTTGAGATATCCAATCAGTTTGATTGAATGTTGGGTCTTTACAGCATCGGTCCAAAGGAGAGAAAACACTTCATGCAAGGTTTATGCAAGGGTGTTAACTGCATTTATGTATATGATCATATACTTATTCGTCGTTTTTTTCCCTCTCTTTTTCCAGCTTCTCGTAGAAGAAGAATCAGTACTGGTGCGAAGTATACTTCATCTAAAGGTCGGGCACGAGGCCGAGCAGGTTCCCATCTAGATATTGCTGCAACTAGAATGAGATCAACTTCGGGATCTAGCGTGGAAAACTTAGTCTCGCATAACCCCCTATCCTCTACACAATCTGCACCACTCGACAGCAGAGTTCGCGCCAGTACATTTGATAGTGATGATGAAGTGTTCAAAACAAAAACAAAGCGTGTGAGGATAAAAGATTCAGCTAGACGTAGTAGGAGCTCCACTGTGGGTAGTTCAGGCGATGAACTCAAAGACACAAGGAAAAAATCCGCAAGAAAGCGATCTATGACGAAATACAATCCGGAAAATCCGAAAGAAAACACTCGCCGCAAAAGAGGTTTCTTTGGGTTTGGAAGGAGTAAAACTAGAAGAAAAAGCGCAGGAGAATCAGATTATCATTCTGACAAAGAAAATAAATTGCAGAAGATGAAGCAAGGAGAAGAGCAGGAAAAAATGGAGGATAAATGTGTGAACGGAGTGGCCTTGAAAAGTGTTCCACGGAAAGAGGAAGAGAAGGCAGGATTTGCGAGGGATGATTCCTTGAAAAGGCGCCCTGCAGGATCATTCTCGAGACAGCAGTACACAAGAAGATCTACAAAGGACATTATACGAGAAATGGAAGCTAGATCCAAAGGAGACACTGCTCCAAATGTAAATATAAAGAATGAAAAGCTTGCGAGTAAAGGGTCTGACTCAAAAAGACAAGAACTTCACTTGAACGGTGAACCTCGTGGTGAAGGAGGGAAAAATAGAATTAATAAAAATGACAATAGGGAAGTGGAGGAAAAGGCAAAGATCAAGAGAGAGGATGAGAAAAAGAAGCAAAAGGAGGAAGAGAAGAGAAAAAAAGAAGAACAACGAAAGAAAAAGGATGAGGAGAAGAGAAAACATGAAGACGATAAGAAGACGAAAGAAGAAGACGAAAGGAAAAGGAAGAAGAAAGAAGACGAGGCTAAGAAGAGAGAACAAGAGAAGAATTTACACAACAAAAAACAACAAACTACTCCGCAAAACAAGAAATCCATAAAGAAAAGTTTATTGGATGAGATAGCGGCGTAAGTATTTAGTTTTAACGCCTAAAGGAAAATATTAAGATGACGGACAGGCTTCGTTTGCTTCTCAGTTAGGAAAGGGAAGGAAAAACATCTGCACTAAAGCTAAAAGTGACCTTGTCTCTCTGCTAAATCATCAACACCTTTGGACTTTCAGTTGACATCTTTTCTCTCGTTTGGTTTTGTCAACACAGGTTGTCTCCCGTAGCCAAACGTGCCATGCCGGTCCTGTCAAAACTGAGCCCTGAAAACGACAAAGAAAACGAAAAGGCGCACGAACATAGTGTAACGTCAGTAGTGCGGGATGCCGCCATGTTAGTCATGGCAACACCTCTGCTGATTGACGGAATAATACCCAAAATAGGAACGGACCGAAAGGGATCTTGGGTAAGGTGCTAATATTTTTATTTATGACAAATTAAGGCCATCCTTCACAAATTTTCCGTCGCTTGGAGTGTTCTTCTAGTTGTTTCAATTCTTTGTTTCCTCTGATAGAATACACAGACTTCAAATTTTCTTGAGCAAGCGTTATGCTTCATCAATTTTTACTTTTCTTTTAGCTTGGGAGAAGTAGCGGTCGCGTCCGCGATGTTGTTAATCGTTACAACACATTGAATGACATGAAACCCACCTTAGACAAGATGAATGGAAATGCAACTCCCTTGAAAAGGCCGAGAGATAGGTATGACTGATTTTAACACACGAGATTTACCATGTAAATGGAAATTATCATTTTTCCTATGTCTACCGTTACTCTGTATTAATGAAAATTTGTAATCGCAAGCATCAGTTCCTAGCTATAGCTAGCTTACGGGAAAAATATGTCCCGTCGGGCTGGTCTGTTAATTGAAGGATGTTTTAACACACTGTGGGTCACTAAGGCAACCGGTTTGCTTGCTAGTTACTGCATATCAGCTCACGTCCCGGTCTTTAATTCAAATTAAAAGTAAAAATGGCCTTTGTCAGTTTGTCCTGCATGCATGTTCGATGAATTTCGCTTTAGCACTGGACTGTGGAGTGAGAAAAACATTTACAGGATTGGTACGTACATGTACTTAACTGTCGTGATGATCCTAATTTACTTTGCTCATGGCCCTTTTCCGTGAATAAATTATTCTCTTAGATGTTGTAATTTCTCTTCTTTCAAGTGTTGATGGCTCTGAAAGGAAACCAAGAATGATAAACGTCGACAACGAAGAAGAGAAAGGAAATCAGAAAGTGGAAGATGCATTTGATGTAAAACCAACACCTCCCTCAGACAAGAAGAAGACTTTGCAGATGAAGAAAGATGAAAAGCTTTTAATTTCCTCTCCTTCACTGGAAAGGCTTAAATTAAAGGTAAGCATTACAATCAGCAATTTCACTTGCATTGATAATTGTTTCATAAACATATAAGTATCTTTAAAGGAAGGGCGCAAATAGGTATGATCTTTTATCGAAAATTTGTTACTTTGATGCAAAAGTTTCATCCTTTCTTTTCCCGTTTTGCGAGTTCGCTTGCCTTTTTTATGACTAAAAAATTTTTTTCATATCGAGCAGATGAGAATAGATTCTTTTACCTTTCCTAGCCCATGCCTTTCAATCTGTTATCACTGAGTTGGGCACCTTTTTTTCAGCCTCACGCCATTCCTCATGCAACTGAACCTAGCACCTGAGACCTGAAAATTTTTTATATATATATTTTTTAATCTAGTTACAGGACGAACCATCTGCCGATGATAGAACGTGTTCTACTTCGTTACCAAATGGACATGTAACAAAGGACTTTAATTCTCCTATGTGGCAAAAAACGGTCATTGCCCAAGTTGCAGAGCATCAAGACAAGAGAAAAGAAAACGAGAATGAGCATACCACAAAGATAAAGGGAGAGGTAAGATTGGAAGAGAGGATGGGGCTCATTGTGTTGGTCATAGTCAATGATCTACTAATCGCATAATCGAGATTAGTGTACACGTGTGAACGCGAAGATTCAATATTGTAGGGCCAGATGCGACATTTTCTGGTACTTCTTACCAAGTAAGTACTAGCCCACGAATCTCTGACAAGGGCTAACGATCGAAATGTTTTTATTTTTAAGGCGAAAGAGATGCAGCCTGTTCGTACCAAACTCTCAAAACAAAAGCGGCGGTCGTCCGTGTTGCCTTCTGAAGCGATGGAGGAAAAACTGGTGAATCTACTGAACAGTACTACAGCTGAGAGAGGAAGGCGGTCCATTAAATACATGATAAGTCTCTTCAGGTACAAAATTTTGAAATCTTTTACTATATTTTCCGGGTGTTTGGCGGCAAAAAAGATGGCGCATAGTATCACAATTTAGGTTACGGTTCACAATATGTTGCATGTAGTGACAGTTTCTCGTCCGGTATAAGGAAACATTTCAACATTTAGTGAATTATCAAACACAGGGCTGTTCAGATAACGATATTACAATCGTGCTTATTACTGCGGATAGGTTAATATTTTGTTATGGTTTTATAAAGCTGGTGTAAAAATGAGTTTCCCTAAAAAAATCATATGGAATAAATTTTGGATTATTTTAAACTTTGACTGGGAAGATTTTACATCTGAAACCTCAACGTCCATTCTGGGTCTGGCCTTGTTGCTTTCCTATCCTTTATTTTTTCCTCTCGAGTTCTTCATGGTAAAATGTATGCAAAAGAACTTAGATTTAAAAAAATCTCTGTTTACCCATCATGGCCAGTCCCTCCGTTCTGTATAAAACGAAATGTCCCCTTCGTTTTAAGTTTGAAAATAATTTTAAAAATTCCACTTAGGGTTTTAATGACATGTTTTCTTAGATTGACCTATTTCATATTTGTTGTCTACAATTTTCCAGGCAAATTCAGAAAAACCCGACCGATGAAAGATACTACAGGATTTTCAAGGGAAGAGCGAGGTTTAGAAAACACGTTTGGTCTTTGAGGAACGCCAAGCTGTTCATGACTTCAAGCGGTTGGACAGAGGTATCACTTCAATTTAACTGCAACTTAAAAAGCGGTATTCTTTTAGTAACAAATGCGGAGAAGACTGGCTTTACGACCGTTAATTCCTGAATAACCTCCTATTAGCATGTGAAGTTTGCAGCGCTTAGACAACCAGCTGTAGGGGTTTTTTTTGGGGGGGGGGGGGGGAGAGAGGGAAGGGAGGATGAGTTGAGAGAGAGTGAAAGTTCTCAAATTATTCTCAAGAAGTAAAAGTTCAGTCTCATGAACCATTTCAAGTTGCTCATTTCTATTGATCCTAAGGCCAGAGTAATATTATCTTTAGTCATATAAGGTTTCTCTTCTTGCAGATTGGCAGTTTCATTGTATTTCCGTTATCGAAGCAGACTGAGGGACCAATGATACTGCTTAACAAGTACCTGAGGTACATGGTTTTTTTTTTTTTTTTGCTTGGCTGCTCAGCTTTCTTCTGATGCACCGTGCCCTCTTCTTGGAGTACAGATTTTCGTTTTAGGACCCTTTTTTTCTCAGAGATGTTTATGAATTTGATTTCTTAAACAGGTGACTTGGGCTACTTGTAAAGGTTGTGGATAATCAAAAAGCATATCTCGGTTTAAAAACTCCTTCTTTAGGGTTAGAAGCAAATAAACGCAAAATTGAGCGCCTACAGCGAGAGAGACCAAGTAATGGTACTAATATAAAAATAGCCATACAAGAAGATGAACTTTTGTTACTGTGAAAAACTGCACATAAAAGGTAGTGATAAGACGTACAAACTGCTTTGTTTAGGAAGCTGGTATAATATGCTACAAAGCGTTGAATCTAATGCCAAATTTCAAGATTTCATCAGTTTTAAAATTATTTCTTTGTTTATTTGTTAGTATAACAGAGGAGAAAATTAAAGAAGAGAGCAGTGTTCCCCCAAAGAGAGATGCTCCGAACCTGCGTAGGGCGAATTCCTCAGATTTGGCAGAGAGAATACTGGAACTGAAAGAAGCTTTATCTTCACCTAGGAACAATTTGAGCACGAAGACAAAATCTGGTGGCACTAATGACAGTAGAGGTTTAAGAGTATTGCAAAGAACAGTATCGCTGGATGAGGTAAACATTCGGCTAAGAGCGAAAACTGGCGTGTCTGGGACTTCACTGAAGGAATATTCAACATCCAGGAAAAGGGAATTGTCACAGAAACTGCGCAGTCATCTGGATCAAGGTAACGTCAACAAGCCAAACAAATTACGGCGCTCTGTGAGTGAAAACTCACTATTGGAATCAAGTGAACCTTGCGATAACTTTGAGATAATTTCATCACGAGTAATTGACAGAGATGAACAATCACAAAAACAGCAAGTCTATTCGGACCAGGTGGATGAAAACAAACCAAGTAATCTTCGTCGTTCTGTGAGCGAAAATACTCTTTTGGAAGCAGGTGCAACTTGCGATAATCTTGGGCCAACTTCATCACGATTTACTGACAGCGATAATTCATCACAAAAGCTGCATAAGCATACGGAAAAAGAGGATGAAAACAAACCTGGTAATCTTCGTCGTTCTGTGAGTGAAAACATGCTTCTAGATTTGCCTGAAACTAGTCATTCGGATAGAGTAGATGAAAAGAAACTAGGAAATCTTCGTCGTTGTGTGAGTGAAGACACATGTCTAGAGTCAACTGAAACTAGCGATAACTGCGGACCTATTTTCTCTCCATTTACAAGGCGATTCTCTCAAAGGCGCGTCGAAGAACAAGAGGTGTCGTGCGATCTACTTATGGAGAATCCAATACACTCGGAAATTTCCACTGTTGGCATCACTTCAGATGAAGAAGATTTCCCCACAAGTAGTGCAGTAAATTCGCATTCTGAGCGGTTAGAGGTTCGCTCGCCGCAAGAGGCCGTTCTAGATGAAGCAGACCAACTGTCCTCCGTTTTGGGAAATCTTATTGACACCTTAGGAAGCTCTACAGAAAACGAGAGAGAGGCTGACTCGGAGAAAGAGACAACAGACAAACCTAAGAAGAACAAAACGAGTCGAAAAGCCAAAGACGAGCACAAAGATGAGGAACTGGAAACTTTATGTGAAACACTGGACATGTTAATCAATGACACAAGCAGCGACTCCTCCTCTGAGAGTCAGAAGAAGGCGTATAAAGAAAGGAAAACACGTAATCAAGAAGAACGCCGTAAAACTGCTTTTAAACCTCCCCTGCCCCCGACCCAAAGGACCAAGCAGCAGCAGGGGAAAAGTAAAAGCGTAGAAACTGTTCAAAGCGGCTCTAAACGAAGATCGACAACGGATGGCCGTGTAAGGCATGGACGAATTTCACAAGCGAAGAGCGTCGATATAGCGGCGTCAACGAGTAACACGAGACGAAAGGATAGGACTTCTGGAAGTGCTGACTCGAAGGTGACAAAGACAAAGACAAAGACACAACAACGACAAGGAAGTTCAACACGAACATACATTACGAGGCAAAACGAAACGAGTAACCCTAATGCTTCTCGTGCGACTAATCGAAAAGAAAACTTGTCAAGTAAACTAAACTCTGATGCAATATCGTCACAAAGAATTTCGAAACGACTTGCCACAAAAAGCAAGAGTGTTGATTTGGAAAGGTCAAGAACGCGGCCTCCAGTGGCAAAGACAAAGAGTGTAGATCATCGAAGAAACGGAGTGAAAAGAAATAGGTTTGGACGTTCGGCAAGCGGCAGAGACGGCGACAAAGCACTACGGCAGAGCATAACCGAACAAAGTCCAGTGAAGTCAAGAATTCAGACTAAGAGAGAAAACCCTCGCGCTTCTCTAGCTGAGCATTCAAAGGGTAAGACAGAAGAGGAAAACAATGAAGAGTCGCCTGAGCTTCTTCACGAAAATACCATCACAAAAGACGCTTCATCGCAGGAGGACGGTTTTACGGTACATGTGCCCATTGATGACAACAGTGTCAATGATGCTGAAAGCCTGGCTTTACTTGGTAAAACATCAGACAGTTGCATTGCAAAAGATCAAGACGTGACTGACGTGGGAAGAAACAGTGAAAACGAGCCTGAGAAAGAGATTGCTGAAGATCATCCCTGCTGCGAATCTGTCGTCCGAAAAAACCACGTTTCTGATGAAACAGAATCATCTCAAGGAAACAGTGACGAAATCATTAAGGTATCGAATTCTGTTCAGACCTATTCCCATGAAAACGAAGTTTTTCTAAACAATGATGTCCAAGGTGAGAATGTGGACGCGAAAAATCTCGGAAATTGCCAGAAAGAAAAGCAAATGACTGCAAGTAATGGGGAACTTCGTAAGCTTGTCAATTCTGGGAAGGAGCAATCAACGGCAAATGGAAGCCTTAAAGATATGGACACGCATACGCAGAAAAAAGAAGATAGAAACCCCAGCATCACTCAAAACGGCAACACAGAGTTCATTGTACCTCAATCAGAAAATCGTAAAATGACTTTGTTGGATCTTGGAAAACAACAATCCAGAGAAAGATCAACTAGAAAAGAAGCAATGTCGCTTTCGCTTGAAGAACGAAAACAACTAATGCGAGATGCCAGTGTCACTAAACCAAAATCTAAACCTGCTGATAAAAGAAGAAGTATTCTACAAATTAAGAGCCGAAATGACGGTAATCTGGTAAAAAACAAAAAGCAGGCCTTTGAAAAACCCAAAGAGGCTCATTCAGCTTCAGACGGCTCTGATGTGAAAACTTCTAAGCAACGGCATTTCCGCTTACCGGGTAGAAGGAGAAAGTCGTTTGAGCTCTCAAGTGAACCTTTAGAGGTTTTAGCTGAAGATCAAGAGGAAGTATTTGAAGAGATGCCGACTGCAAATGAAATAAAAACTCCTACAAAGGCCAACAGCAGTTGGAGGGATGCCTCCTCTAACAATGGCGAGATCCCAGAGCTAAATAACTCTAGCGGAGAAAAAATTGAGAAAGTTGAGAAAGGAAAAAGTCATTCCCCAGTCAAAATAAGCCCATTTCAGATACGTTTTACAAAACGAAAAGGTTCTTACGATTTAGAAAAAAGAGCAAGCTTAGAAGGCATCGTGGAATCACCAAAAAAAATTTCAGGCGATTGCGAGTGAGAGATCTACCCTACTCAAATATATCAGTTAATTAGACTTTTCTTGGAAATAATACAAGGAGTCAACACATTCCTGCTTTCTGAGAAGAAAATGCCAATACGACTTTCCGTTTGATCAACTTAGTTGCAAGAAATTCAACAAAATAATTAAGATGGACATATGCTAATATTCTCAGAGTTAAAACGCAGCCATATTTCTCTGTCTAAGACAGACTTTAACTAGAAACAGTTCAAGACAGCTGGAGAAACGTGACAAGAGCAATTTCCGTGTTTTCTATATGTTGTTGCAGATTTCCCTTTCAATTTTCTTTCTATTAATTAGTTTTCAAAATTTTTATGCACAGGAGACACTTATTTCATGTAATAAATTTCTGCCAAAACGACCTCATTATTATTCGTTGTGTTTCCTTGTGCCGGAAACCTGAAAAGATCGTTTACAACATACAATCTCAAAGAAAAAAATTCCATTTTGAAAGCTGTACAGGAAAAAACCGTAAGAGAAATCTGTTAGTTTTTTAGCCATCAGAATTCAACGGGTTACACAGGCTGGGTATTCGCACGTCTATAGATTGAGAAAGTACAGTTTCCGTAAGATTCAGAAATTCCCTGAAACTAAAACAATGGTCCGCTGAAATTTCTCTCGATGCCCCCTGGAATGGTCACACAGTACAATTTGGTCCGTCCCTCATTCAAGCCGGATATATTGTCCTGAAACTCACAAAAGTAAAATTTAAACTTACGAGAGAGAGAGTTTTGATTCTCCTCAGCCTGACAGTATCAGACAGCGCAATTCGCTTTTGGTTATTTCCTGCTCTCTCAAGAGGACACGTGAGAGTGAACGCGAGCGATATTCATTCTCTAATATTCTCTCCGTACTTTATTAGTAAACCAGAGAATTATAATTCCCGAACAACTCTGAAAGTCAAATAACTCACCCGAACCTAAGTCTTCGGTACCGTGACGAGTTATATTCCAGACACCAAATGCGCTTGAGTATAACGCTGTATGGCTTTTGAATTTGCGGGCTCACCATATAGCCTAGATGTGCGAAAATGAATTCACGGAAAATAAATAAAGTCCCGAAAATTAAGAGATCGAAGATATTTACTACAGTGAGTCACATGACAATCCACACACAAAAAAAATATCCCGCAACATTGCTTTTTTTACTGGGTGAGGGAAAATTATGGCTTACATTGATTCCTAGCTAGCATGTTCCGGGCCGTTCCCTTTTTGGCTCGTCCCCACTGACAGAGAGCCTGGCTTAGGGTATCGTAGAAGCGCAAGGTCCCGCTTACGGTTTTTTAACGGGATTGCGCGCGGGACCGAGTGGTTCAAATAAAGATTTTGAGTATGAGTCAATAGGATGCGTATTTATGACGTGACGGGAAAGCTAACCGAAATACTGTTGAAATAACGCATTCTATGAATTTTTTTAGCGTCAACTTTGTACTCGAGAAACTTTGTCATTTTTTTACTGGAGCTCCTACTTTACTTTAACCGTCATTTCAGAATATAAACAACCGCTTCCTGGTCTTGCCACGCAATACGAATTTGACATGGTTTCTATAGAAAATAGTGTAAATAGGAGAAACGAAAAAGTTGAGAAGTAAGTATTATCATCACAATAATTGTTATCATTGGGTATTATTCAAATCAAAAGACAGAGCATTTTAGCAGAGAAGGGATTAGGGAGTTTCGGTGTCAACTCTCCCGGATTATCGACGGCATCCCGGATATGGAATTTTTCGGGATACGGAGCGAATCTTTTGGTCTCCCACATAACTCGCTAATCTATTGGATTAACGTTAATTGGATTTTTTGCCTTTAAAAAGGGAAATACATCAGTCATAAAAAATTGGGCACTCTAATCAAAGTAAGTTTCTTTTTAGGTTGGATAATGTGCCAATTCGTCTGAAAGGGCCGGGTCGCACTAAAGCGAATTAAATATTTCCCAATTTTACGCCAGCCAAAATATTGGCAAAAATTTTGCGATTTCCAATTTTTGGCGGCGGTCGCATCAAATTAGTATCCTCTGACCAAAACTTCATTGATTGACACACACGTCAATCACAAACCCATCTTCCTCTATTAAAGATAAGGAAAATTTCCCGCTCGAATTACTGGGCAAGAAAGGACTGGGGTCGAATGATTATCTTCGCGGCTCTGCGGGTTTTTTCGTAGCGTTTTCTGTATTGTAAGTACATTATCAACAAGCTTCTATGCGGCTAGTCTCATCCTTTAGACGAAGAAGACGGAGAAGACGAAGACTTCACTTAAATAGAGCTCGCTTTCGAAACCGTCCTTAATTTAGGTCTTCCCGGCGACCAGCGGTTAGACCATGTACCGTACTTCGCTTGGTTGCAGCTTGCACCACTTGTGCTAGCTTCGATAATTCCAATGGAAGGAGAGTACTCGTTGAAGCCGATCGTTCTCCAAATTGCCGCCATGCAATGACCGGGTCAGGGTACGAGTCATAGACATTCGAATAAAAACTTGGCTCAAATTCCTCGCTTCCCAGAGGAAAACTGAGGGCCAGATGGACAACGAAAAAATTGTTGTGTCCTGCCATCGCGCGCGCCAAACTACACTATCGGACCAAAGTTTTTTCCCACTTAAATTGCAACTAAACATGTCTTGCGAACGATGACAGCTAACTAGTTGAAAAAACAAGAAGCAGAATATCGGCTCCTTTGAGGATTGGCGAAATTTTGGCGATCCGCAAAATTTGGCAAGGTCGCACTTACTTTAGGCTACTTGTTGACAGATTTTTCGCTTAAACAAACAAAAGAAGCTCTAGTACGGCCCGGGCCTCAGTCATAAGCTTGGATATTTTTATCAGCGTTGAGTGGAAGTTGATAAGTTCAACAAGAACCGGAAGTCAAAGAAACTGTTGCATCACAGTTCAACTGAATTAAGATATACCTTATTTCTTTCTCTTCTAAGCAAGACGTCGGAAACGCTAACGCTCTATACCGATTTCTTTTCAATCATTTGTCAGCGGCCTTTTCTATAGGCCCAAGAGAACTAATGTCCAAATGTAACGTCAGCCGTAGCCTGCAAAACAGGCGTAATTTTTTTTGAGTTTCACAGGCGAACGAAACAAGCGCTAGGCGAGCGCGAAGCGCGAAAAAATTGCGCCTTTTCTCTGAGTATGATACTAACAAAATATCGTTACGTTTCGTTTCATTTTTCCTTCTTCACTGCTTAAAGAGCGCTTTAACGCTCGGTTCATTCCTTTTGTTCCTGGAAGATGAGGAAGTTGGCCCGGGCCAACCTCTGCTGTCAATCAATGTAAAAACTTCCTCATATTTTTGTGTAATCTCATTCAGCGTGCACATCACCGGAAGTTAAAGCATGCTTTTGGTCAGCTGTTCTTCTTGAAATATTCGTTCTCCGGTGTTCGTATACTCCTCTTCGAAACTCTGGCCGTTGTTTATTCTCGTCTGCGGTTCCTATTGTGTTAAACAATCGACTCTTTTATAATCAGAGTTACGAGTGAGTCCACAGTTCATTCGTTGCCGGAAGTTTAAACTAATGTGAACCATCCATCGGCCACGTGGAGTCCAACAGATTAATCAAGGAATGTTATTGATTGTTTAAAGTTAATTCCACATGTCTTAAACGCGCAAATGATGTATTGATAGGCTCGCATACCTTATGATTTAACATAGTAAAGTTGGTCTACCACAAACCAAACAGGAAAATTGCTTGAGATGATTTTAAAGAAAACAGAACTTTAAGCCAATGCGGAGCATAATTGGCAATGAAAGAGTTTTCCGCTCTCACGGTTGATTTCACTGGTGGGAAGAGGGGGAGGGGTAAGGGGGGACTGGATAGTCTCTCTCAGAAAACCAATTTTTCAGACCCACTTTATTTACTTTACATTCTATAACTTACACGTATATATTATTTTTATTAGTATATAACTTTAATATTCCAAACCACCCTCACCTCGAGCTGATCGGGCCGCCCCAGTCCCTCGTGAGTGACACACGGTCCCAAACAAATATAACCCGTCCGGTATGCTTCTATTAATAACGTAAACTCGGTGACTCAGAACGGCATGTCTGTTTGTATTGTGTGTCTGTGAGCAGCTTCGAAGTTCTACGCAAACAGATTCTCCCAAAAATACCCGCTTTTGGTGAGTAGCCTTTTAAAGATACTTCTTCAATAATTCAAAGCGGTTTATTAATATTTGAACATGGGACTGATTCTGTTCCCCGTTAGATTCGCTTGCGAACCGAGCAGGACTTTATTTCCGCTGAAACCGGAGAATGAGATCGTGTCTGTGTTGAGTGTTTACCGAACTATTCCCGTTTGAAGCTTATCTATTTCTAGACACCTTTTTTGTACTTGGTTCTTTCTGATATCATAACATCGGCCAGTCTAATCATTGAGTTCTTCAGCTTGTTCTAGTATGGCGCTGTTTCGTGTTTTCGGATAACAGGCCAGCATCACGGAATCACATTCCGCTACTACGAAGAAATGAACCGAGTTCTTGATTTGGACACAATTGTTTAGCCTAAAATTACTTTGTGTGTATTTTCGTCATCTGTTGCCAGTACGAGAATAACATTTTCGCTTGGTGAAACCTTTAGATGATGAAACAAAATGTGTCTTAGTTACTTTGCGCCACGATGCAAATCTATGTGTCTTCAGGCGAAACCATGCATAGTTTTTCGCAGCATTCCGCATGAAATCAGCGCGCAGTAAGATCAAGGTCACTCACCATGTGAAGTCGCATATTTCGTTGTGGTGGCTGTTAAATAAGGGCGCATTTTTATCATAACTGTGATGTAGCAGGAAATTACTGATTCATTTGAAGCAGAGTATTTTGAAGCGTGATTTGAATTTCGTAATTAATCTCGCTTTAGGGCTGATATCAGAGACGAGCGACAGATCGCTAAGTTCCGCTGGACTTTGTGTCGTTCAGTTGCTCAATAAGAGCTGATTGTCAATTGCGTAATAGACACTATTAATTGTCTTGGGATGTTCTATTGTGTCGCAATGTTTTATACTTTGTTTAATAAGGCAGCTTTGGTTAAACACATCTTGGCTGCCATTTTGTTGTTTTTCTCGATTCGCTTACACAGTGTGAATTCAAGATCAGTCAGCTTTTCTGTTTCATAAGTCATGCGTCAGGTCATGTGGACACTATATTCTGATTACACGTCAAACACTAATCATGAATAAAGAGGTTGCCCTCGACAACAGTAAGTGTTCTGGAGGTTTCCGGTGAATTAGTCACGGTCTTAGTTTGCGATAAAATCTATGGGTAGTCTGTCGCTTAGGAAAACCCCTACTTTTTCGATCTATCTGGCAACCCTATCTTATTTTAACGTAAAATGGGAAATGAGGCTTGACGAATCAGAAAATACGGTTTGGTTTTCATCGCTTATTTGTTCTCGCGCGTAACCTTCCCTTGACCCCCACCCACCTACCCACATGACCCAACGCAGTGCTTTGCTTTGTGTCACGCATCGAATTCATTGAGTTAGGAGGCGTGTCATTCCTAGAAGGTACGTTTCTGTTCTTCTGTCGCTTTACTTTCAATACACAGCTCTTTTTGTTTCCTTAAACAGCGTCTGGACTCAAATATCGTTTAGCTTGATTTACATGACGAAGGTCCTGAACATACTAGTGTGATTTGATCGGGAGGTTGTGTTCGATCCACACTGATTATGTTGAAATACCTCAAATGTGGAATGATTACAGAAATAGAGATCTCGTTTTAAAACTGGACAAGTTGGTAATTGAGACACGAAAACAACCCTCCATAAAGGTTGGTAGAGCGATTTCACTAATAGGTTTTTTTTAATTTTTCGAATACCTCAGATTCAGATGGTATTTATTAGATCGAAGGTTAGTTAACAAAACCTTTACAGAAGATGTTTTGAGTTCAGTCTCCAGGCTGAAGGCACGGAATCACATTCCTGTAGTAAGGGATCGAGGAGCATGAAGCAGTGCACTGCAATCAAGAACTTTACAATTGTAGTAGTAGTTGTCATCTAAAAGTTGTCTTTTTGCCCTGGGTTTGTGACCAGCGCGTGTAGTAATATTATCATGCAAAATATGCAAAATATTGATGCGCATGAATGCTAATTCCACGTGGATGTGAATAATAATCTCTCTGTTTAGTTTACACAATAATGTCGTTGTTATGCAATCACGTTTTATTCCCTTACCGGATTTTATGATCAGACTGCACTAGTAAAGCTATAATTGGACAATTTCGTTGGTTTCTAAACGCGGCAGATTTATCTGTGAAAGTATCAGCACGTGAGAGACAATGACGCGGCAGAATCTAGGGTTCGAACGTGCTGTTGTTAATGCTTGAATTGAACAAGGATTGTCCACTTGTAGAACGTCTTTTAATAACCTCTTCGTCTTGAGGACGTAAAATTTTGTTTTCAGTTGATTTTAATAGCTGGAATTTCCAAAGTAGACCTATATTTTGATGTAAATAAAGAAATGAGCACAAACTTTCTGCCCTCTCAAGTTTCCTTTGACCCGGAATCCTATGAGTTTATCTGGATTAGCCGGAAAAAATGTCATAGATTTCGTTTTCGTAAAGAAAGGAAAAATCTAGAATCGGAACTTACGTGTTGCGATCTGAAGAATTTGCATAGCGGAATTTGTAATTATTTTTGTTTAAACACAGCTGAAATTTAAGCAGCACGTAGTGCTAGGTTCCGTCGTCATGTCTTTCAGTTGACTGTCGAACTTGTTAACTTACAACTTTTTGGTTTAAACTAAATTGCGAGTATTTCCTTCACTACGCCGAGCGGAATATATGCTGTATATAAGATCTATGATATTAGAGCGGTTAATTTACGAGCGCATTATCTTAAAAATAATATGTGACCGCAAAGCGGAACTCATATTACAACACTGCGTGCCCGGATTTTACCACTGGTTTCCATAGGTCAGTTCGCACTTACCACATCACCAGAGCGATAAAAAGGAGGTCACGCAATGATCATGCAGACTGGAAATTTTAAGCGGAGGTTTTCAACGAGATTGCATTTCATTTATCTTTCCCTGTGACGTAAAAAGAATAGAAGTCTCCTGTGCTAGGCGCTCATATTAAAAAAAAAAAAAAATGGAAACGGTTCTGTTAAGTTGATAAGATGTGTAAAGTACAAAATTTGTTGATTTGAGATTGATAACCTGCATTGAAAACAAGTCACAATGACATCAATACGTACCGAAAATTCAAAGTAAAATAGGCATAAGTGGCTAAGTTACTTTAAACAAAGTATCGTACTGAATGTCACACAGACAAAAAGAGCTTGATAACTTCAAAGAGATTAAAAATCCTTGGGACTTACAACACGATAGCGTTAATAAGAACGAAGAACCATCTTATATTTACGTCATAATTCTATTTTCATTTTCATCGTATTGGTGCCGTTGTCACAAAAGAAATGCGTGTTGACGGTGAAAGGAAGACATAACTGTGAGACATAACCGTGAGACATCGTTACTGCTTGGAATGTTTTTGTTTACTCGACTAAGAAGGTCAGGAGTTTCTGTTTACAGATAAAATACTAATTCTAGGTACGAGTGCCAGTATATTTCTCAAAACATAGTTGGGGAGAATTCAGTCTTGAACCGGAAATGGCCGTATCGATATAGGCGAATTTATCTCTGTATAGGATATAAGAGAATGAACTTTGTTATATTATGTCTACCGCTGCGAATATCAGTCACGAGCGTGAGAAAAAAAATTTAAGCGTCCCACGAGGATTCGAAACTTAGACCTGATTTCGCGTAGGATGCTCTACCAACTGAGATACAAATGTAGAGGAAATTTGTCGTTGAGCTAAAGCTATGTGCTAGGTTCGATTGTGATAGCAGCTGGCATACTGCTACGATTAGCAAGGGCGACACCGTCCAGTGAGGAGATAGGAAAGAAAAGAAAGTAAATTTTGAGCTCGGTCGTATGCGTAGATTGACCGACTTTTGATTTACTCCAACTAATTACAATGCCTCCTTTTCCCTATGCCTTACTTCATTAATCGAAATCAGTAAACTTGGCTCGCATTCAGAAAAAAAGGACCCGTTAAAGCTTCTTGAATTGTGCAGAGGTCTCGCATTTATTCCTAATAGAACACATATATATGTCATGCAAGGTAGAAAAAAATCTTTGGTTATCGAGAGGCTAATAACATGCTTATATCTCAAGAGTGACTCTTCGCTCTGGCGCTTCCGGCTAAAACTGAAAGAATATTTTTATATTATTGCGACGAAACGGAAAAAAAGATCGATACCCCTGTTTTGACTTCTACTAAAATGAACAATTGCTTGAGATAAAAACACTCGAAAATGAAACGATTATTTACGTCCGCAGTCAATATTTCGTTTTTCAATGGCCAAGAATGAGCTTCAGTTTTCTTGCCAGTGTAACGAAATGACTCAATAATTGTGAGAGAAAACCTTTATTGCAAGTTACACACAAGGCCAATGAATTGAATGTTTGAAGTTTACTGATCTTTTATTTCTGTGGCTTTCTTGCTCTCTTTCCAGTTGGACCCGTGATCACCACAGCCCAAAACTAGTTTCCAAAGAGCTATGCCGAAGTATTCACCGCATACAGCAAGTTAAGTGTTCACGTTTCTTTGGCACTCTGAGGAAAATACTGAACTGTTTTTGGCTGATATGTTTTCACTACACGACATTACAAGCGTTTGTCCAAAATTGGAGCCGCTGGCTTCTGACGAATCTTGCTGTCGCGAAGAAGAAAGTTTAAGATTGATGAATCACGCTAATGGACAGATGGAAACACTCGTACGTGTTTCTGCTGAGAACAACAACGGTTTAATGATGGAATCGGGCCAGTTGGATGTGTATGGAAAGACACCTTGTGTGGAAATGAGTGTGTACGAGGGAATAACGACCAACAACACGATCGCTTACGAAGTGAAATCGATGGCAACCGTCGTGAAAACGCTGCCTGCTGATGCCTACCATGGGAATGCTTCGGGCCAAATGTCTTATGCAACGGTCAAGATTCCTTACGAAATCAAATCGATTGGAACTATCGAGAAACCGATTCCTTTCGGAAGCAAGCCGAATGGAATCGAGAAATCGCGGCCAGATGAAGCTTACCATTCGAATACTTGTGGGCAAAGATCTAACGGGGCGATAAAGATTCCATACGAAATCAAATCGATTGGTTCTATCGAGAAGCCACTTCTGCCAGAGGATTCGTATCCCACGAGTGTCTCCGAGGAGATGCCCCATGGAAAGATTTTGAACGTGTACACGGTTCCAGTTTACGAAAACGGTGGCAGTCATGAAGTTTACTATTATCCCATGGAGAGTGATACCCAAGAAGGAGGAGCAATTTCACAGACCTCCCAAGCTGGGACTCCTGTTAGTTATGTTTACGACAGTGGCTATGACCCCTGCGAAAGAACCCGGAGCAAACCAGAAGTGACACCTTCACCAGCGGGACTGGCCGCTTACCAGTCGAGTACTTACGGGACAATTCCGCGTGATCAATTGGGTCCTGATAGATTGTCACCACCATACGATGTGCTTAATCAAGAAAAGGCACCAGGTCTCCAAATGAATACCTTCAGGGGTACCCACAGGGCCTTGACCCCGTATGAGATAGGAGCTCAGCCAAGACCCAGTTGTAATTGTTCTTGTCATCATTCCGATCCAGGTTCCTCTCATTTTCCCGCCTTTGGTTTGAGAAATGAACGTCCTTCTGTCATCATGGTTCCTTCAACATGGAATGGTGAGGTCATGAGCGATGCAGCAGGCAAGGTGAGCTGTGACATATCTGGGTTTTTATGTTTTTCTTTTAATGTTTTGTTTTGCTACCATTATCTTTGAAATATCCTTACCAAATGCAATTTACTGTAGTCTGTAGTTTTATTTTCCATCTATTAAATATAACTTTTGTTGTTGCCATTTTTTAGTGATAACAACAACAAAAGTAACAGAAACCGTAACCACAACAATAACAGCGATAACACTAAGAACATCAAAAACAGCAACAACAAGAGCAATAATTATAAAAATAATAATAATATCAGTAATGATAATGATGATCAATAGAGGTAATACTATTCATGGCAAAAAATAGACTTGGTATTATTTTTCAAACAGTTTGAATCCACCGCCCATGGAATCAGACAGGATCTGCAACAGAAAGAATACCATGAATTGGTAGGTTTTGCCGTTGTCAGTCATACTCGATAAAAACTGATTATGATAATTGTTAGCTTTAGTCAAGCGTTGGATGTTGTCCTTGAGTAGCATAGCGTCAAAAGTCAGACGTGTGAATCAAGTGAGGCCAGGTATGCTACGAAAATTTAGTTTTCCGAGCTTTTGCCGATCTACGGCATCATCAGGGAATTTAGATGGAATCTTTGAAGTGAAGAGTATATCGGGTGAAGTGTTAGGCTAAATAATAGGGGTTCGGCAGATTATAGGACAGGACAATGGCAAGTATGTAAATGCAGAAGAAATATTTAGAAAAGAAGGTCTATGCAGAAAATAAATGTAGTCAGGGTAAATAATGTAGTCAGAATAAAAGTAACCTTGGTTTTTCGTTTTCATAGGACGATTCTGACTCATCAGATGATGGCGATGAAGATGGTAAACATGAAAAGTATTTCCGCAAGAATATCGACGGAACTACGGCGAGATTTAAGCTGTCCAAAGAAGACTGGAAGAGGATTCCAATCAACACATTCCCCAGCGGTGGCCGATTATTGAGTGGCGACTGGACACGAATCTTCCTTAGCAAAGTCAAAGAAAGCAACCCATGGTGCAGTTTGCGCTTCAAGAATAATCACGTAAGATCAGAAAACTCTCGCAAAATCCACTCAGCGGTGTTCTTCAGAGGAGGTGCAGAATGCAAGCGACCAGAGTGTAACGTGAAGGTGCGATTTGTGATCCGAAAAGAAAAAGGAAAACACGTGGAGGTGACATACGTCGGAAATGTTTGTCACAACAGTCAGCCAGGTGGTGGTGACGTCATAACTGACAAGAGAAAGAAGCGTTGTGTTCGCCGGCCAAAGTTTACGTCCAGTCTGGATGACTGAACTTTACTTTCATAACGAAACAATAACTGTTAAAAAAGAGTGAGTAATACTATTGACTGCTTAAGAGGCTGGTATGCTGCGTCCGCAGGCATGCAAAACGTTCCAGTGATTGACTATTAGAAGGTTGCAACTAGTCCGCTCGAATCGTAATCTTTTCAAAATCCGCTGAAGCGTTATATCTATTTTTCTCACCTCCTAATCTATAAAAATTACATGCTGCCTATTAAGGTGCTGGTTGTAAGAATTTCTTCCCATCCAGCGCCAGTTTGTCCAAAGTTCAAACTGAAAATTAAAAGTAAGAAAAAAGGAAATCCTAAGTGATGAAGCTTTTTTTTTCAAAAGGCTAGTTACAAAAAGGCACTACTGTGTACTAGGAAAAACTAAACAAATCTGTAATCAAAGAACTATTTATTTCCAAAATTTAATATTTTTCTAAACTGACTTTTTACATTTTGATTACTTGGTTGAACGTAGGTTTAATTGATTGACATCAGATGTCCGTTATTTTATAGATATGACAGATATATTTTATACCGTTGGCCGGTGGAATAGTTTTAAAACTTTAGGGTAACGTTTATATGAATTTCTTGCAAAGTTTTGGAGGTGAACCCAGTATGTGATAGCTGCATAGAGAATTATCGTAAATCATCAAATTTATATTTCATATTGGTTTGAAAGAGCGAATCATAAACAAGAAAAACACATTTTATGCTTACCAGGGGCGTGGCCAATCTATACTCCTATAGGCCTGGGCCCACAATTTTTTCCGCCCGGTGGACTTTTATAATATTGTCATGAATTACCAAAATTCGAAGTGTTTGGGAACTACTAAAACTAGGAATGTTCTGGCTAAATGTTTGAGAATTGTTTAGGCCTGTTAGATTATCTTGAAATCTTTATGCGAGTCTCACATTACTCAAAGGGTCTTTTACCCTTTGAGTGATGCGTCTTGGACCCTTATAGTTGGGCTTAACTCTCGTACGATGATTGTCATCGCTGGTCGTGTTTGAGTTTGTCCTTGACCTTGCTTAAAGTACTCAACGGGAGGTTTTGTTTAGGTTTTAGTTCTCGAAGATTGGTTGTGTTTCAAGTACTGTGTTGTTCATTTCGAATGTCTCGTGAGATTGTTTTGGTGAGCATTCTAAAAACATGTGTTCTCTGCCAAGGTCAGTTGTTCCGTAAGCCTAGTAGTATGACTTTTGCAAATTTTAAAACGAAAATTGTACTTTCTTAGGGTACAGGCCTATAAAACGTTGAACTGAAAGCTGGCTACGCCCCTGCCAACGTTAGTCAAGTTTAGATTGCTTCGAAGTGATGAAAGTATTACTCGTGTGATGGGCATCGGTTAAGAGGATTGCAATGTCGATATATTGATTGGTGTATGCTAGTATCTTGTGGCGAATTCATTTACATGGTAAAGTGATGTCCTCGATTTCTAGCCATGTTTAAGTTATTACAAAATTTAATCTTCCTAAGCAGTGTTTTAGCAATTGCTGAATTACATGGATGCACGCAAATGCATTTAGCTTCTTTGGCTTGAGTTTAATTTTACCAATTTGCCTTTAAATAACCTGGGGTAGCATAGTTGGCAAAGTAGTTATAAACTTCTGGAAGATAATTAATTCACTATTTGTATGGCTCTGTGCACGCAACTGCGTTTAAGATGAGAAATTTGTATGCATTGTGTTAGATTAGAAGATATGTTTTTGATAACTGACCTTAGATAACATCGTTGGTGAGGTCGTTAAAACCATTTTCAGAATATTATTTTTCCATTTTTATTGCTATAAACACCAATTGCATTTTATAGTAACGATTTTTTTGAAAATGTGTCTATTGGTTCCTTACATTTGTAAAAAAAACAAATCAAAAAATAACCAAATGTTCACAGCATTATTTGCACTGATTATACTAAGTTAAGTAGAGAATAAAGCGAGAATGATTTTACATGTGGTGAGAAGGATTTTGTGTTCACAGTATCGCAAGACCCTGTCGATGGGTTACTGCACGACGTAGTGATGAAATTTCAAAATATTACTTCCTCCAGTATACTGAATTGGAGGAAGTACTCCGTAAGTAAGGGAAAAAAACATTACCGGGTTCCACTTGCGTACATGCAAGCTTGATCCATAATAAAATATATTTTCGTGCGTCTTCCCTTGCCTTCCTTATCATCACTAAGACCAAAACTGTGTTGATTGGAATAAAATTGTACCTTGCGTTAATGTTTGAATGATCCGCCTTTTGTAACAAACCCCCTATCTAGAACCTCAAATTTCTAAAAGGCCTCAATCCCTCTCTCTAGGAAGCCACCCTTTCACTACTGCCCTTAAACAAAAAGTTTAGGATCGACTTTTCTTTCAGCCTGGTAGTTGGACAGTATCGAGATAAACATGGATTGAAATCGTCAGTTTCTTAATTTCAATATTTTCTTTTGAATATTGTAAATTTTCCATCCAAAGAAATGTATAGCGCGCTAAAAGTTCATTAAATTTACGGCTAAGCGACGGTGAGTGGTAAAGTGAAAGTTATTAACAACAATTTTGTTTTTCATCACTGAGTTTCTGATTAGTAGCCATCTCCTAAACTTTCCCCCTATCCTGAAGCTTTGGCCAATTTTAAGCATCCCCTTGGGCCTATCAAAGTAATTACGGTGTTACATTCGGCGTCCTAGAGACACACTTCATTCACACCTGCCAAAGTCCTCACGTTATGTTAAGATAAGGAGAAGATACGGATTGATAGATTGAAAAGATTACTCGTTAAACACAGACCTTTTGTGAATATTCTCAATTCTTTCGAAAAGAATAAAACAGAGGAGCTGTGACTTAGTCTCTAGTCTCCACAAACTGAGACGTATCAGGATGGATTTCCGAGCAGCCGTTTTTCTGATGTGTATTTTGGTGTCAGCATCTTTTATTACTCAAAGTAAAGCAGTCATAAGCCCTTCGATCAATTCTGGGAAAAGATACTCAAAGTTTTCACCAGAAGCGGATGAAGGGAACTTCAACCAGGTTCAGTGTCTTATGTTCGTTACTTTAAGAAATATGAGCTCCATACAGGCTTCTTCATCACTCTCCAACGCCGTTGATGTAGTCACACTTTCCTTTTGTTTTGTTTTGTTTTTTTATTTTACAGAACTCGCTTGACGAAGGACGGACTATTCGAGATTTATGCGTGGCTGCGAGGGACGTCTGTGAAGGAGGAAAAAGAAAGTGATGAAAACACCTCACAACAAGTTTAGAGCTTCTTTGCGTCAAGTTATAATAATCAAAACTATATGTAAAGTTTCGTAGAATATTGTGGATCACGGATTGTAAGGAAAGATAGTAAAATAATTAAAATCGACCGTAAAATTTCAAATTGGTGGCTACTTTCAATTTGTTTGAAGGGTGGGGGCGGGTATGTTCGTTCGACTACTGAGTAACTCTTGTCGGGAGGGAAAAGAAACAATGAGCCCGCGTTATAAACATATCATCTCGTGTTGATAGTATCTCTTAAGTGTTACTGAAAAAACTTTTCCTTTAATGGGATAAAGTTTAAATCATACTAGTTGGGCCTTAAAAAAAGGAAAATATTTAGTAAATGAAAAGAGTTGAAAACCAGGCAAAGCGCAAGGGAAGATATCTCCGAAATGAATTTAAAACCTTAGTGCGTTCCAGATTTTATCGTGGAATCCAACATATCAAAGTCAGACTTAAAAAAAAAACCGTAGAAACACAATTGTAAGGGCAGAGACACAAACAGCTTTCCCGGTTTTAAAGTACACGGCGATAAGCCCACAGAAACCTTCAAACGGGCACTAATAGTATTCCTTCCCTAAAGTTCATCCTCGAACGTAATGAGGATATTTTGAATGGAAATTACTCTGATGGGTTCATCAATAATATCGACAGTCACATCGAATATTACCAAGTTAGTTACTATTATTATTATTATTATTAATATCATTATTATTATTATCATTATTATAATTGTTGTTATTACTATTATTAACATCATCATCATAGTTTGTAACATATTAATCGTCTCCTGCCATAATGGAAATGATCCAAATAATATTTGATAATAGCATGTACTCAGAGCAAACGCTACCCTGAGCTTCCCTATGCCAGCTTGATTTTACATATTCGTAGTTGTTAGGGATAATTAATGAAAATTGTCGTATTCCGCTCTGCCTCCACCTCATTACTTGGAATCTTCATTGAGATAGTTTGCACCAGGACAAAATGAGTGGACCCTTGACATGGATTGAAATTGTCAGTTTCTTACTTTCAATATTTTCTTTTGAATATTGTAAATTTTTCATTCATTCAATGAATGAAGCGCGCTAAGAGTTTATTAAATTTACAGCTGAGCGACAGTGAGTGGTAAAGTGAAAGGTATTAACAACAATTTTGTTTTTCATCATTGAGTTTCTGATTAGCAGCCATCTCCTAAACTTCCCCCCTATCCTGAAGCTTTGGCCAATTTTAAGCATCCCCTTGGGCCTATCAAAGTAATTACGGTGTTACATTCGGCGTCCTATAGACACACTTCATTCACACCTGCCAAAGTCCTCACGTTATGTTAAGATAAGGAGAAGATACGGATTGATAGATTGAAAAGATTACTCGTTAAACACAGACCTTTTGTGAATATTCTCAATTCTTTCGAAAAGAATAAAACAGAGGAGCTGTGACTTAGTCTCTAGTCTCCACAAACTGAGACGTATCAGGATGGATTTCCGAGCAGCCGTTTTTCTGATGTGTATTTTGGTGTCAGCATCTTTTATTACTCAAAGTAAAGCAGTCATAAGCCCTTCGATCAATTCTGGGAAAAGATACTCAAAGTTTTCACCAGAAGCGGATGAAGGGAACTTCAACCAGGTTCAGTGTCTTATGTTCGTTACTTTAAGAAATATGAGCTCCATACAGGCTTCTTCATCACTCTCCAACGCCGTTGATGTAGTCACACTTTCCTTTTGTTTTGTTTTGTTTTTTTATTTTACAGAACTCGCTTGACGAAGGACGGACTATTCGAGATTTATGCGTGGCTGCGAGGGACGTCTGTGAAGGGGGAAAAAGAAAGTGATGAAAACACCTCACAACAAGTTTAGAGCTTCTTTGCGTCAAGTTATAATAATCAAAACTATATGTAAAGTTTCGTAGAATATTGTGGATCACGGATTGTAAGGAAAGATATTAAAATAATTAAAATCGACCGTAAAATTTCAAATTGGTGGCTACTTTCAATTTGTTTGAAGGGTAGGGGGGGGTATGTTCGTTCGACTACTGAGTAACTCTTGTCGGGACGTAAAAGAAACAATGAGCCCGCGTTATAAACATATCATCTCGTGTTGATAGTATCTCTTAAGTGTTACTGAAAAAACTTTTCCTTTAATGGGATAAAGTTTAAATCATACTAGTTGGGCCTTAAAAAAAGGAAAATATTTAGTAAATGAAAAGAGTTGAAAACCAGGCAAAGCGCAAGGGAAGATATGTCCGAAATGAATTTAAAACCTTAGTGCGTTCCAGATTTTATCGTGGAACCCAAAATATCAAAGTCAGACTTAAAAAAAACCGTAGAAACACAATTGTAAGGGCAGAGACACAAACCAGCTTTCCCGGTTTTAAAGTACATGGCGATAAGCCCACAGAAACCTTCAAACGGGCACTAATAGTATTCCTTCCCTAAAGTTCATCCTCGAACGTAATGAGGATATTTTGAATGGAAATTACTCTGATGGGTTCATCAATAATATCGACAGTCACATCGAATATTACCAAGTTAGTTACTATTATTATTATTATTGATATCATTATTATTATTATCATTATTATAATTGTTGTTATTACTATTATTAACATCATCATCATAGTTAGTAACATATTAATCGTCTCCTGCCGTGATGGAAATGATCCAAATAATATATGATAATAGCATGTACTCAGAGCAAACGCTTCCCTGAGCTCCCCTATGCCAGCTTGATTTTACATATTCGTAGTTGTTAGGGATAATTAATGAAAATTGTCGTATTCCGCCCCGCCTCCACCTCATTACTTGGAATCTTCATTGAGATATTTTGCACCAGGACAAAATGAATGGACCCTTGACATGGATTGAAATTGTCAGTTTCTTACTTTCAATATTTTCTTTTGAATATTGTAAATTTTTCATTCGTTCAATGAATGAAGCGCGCTAAGAGTTTATTAAATTTACGGCTGAGCGACGGTGAGTGGTAAAGTGAAAGGTATTAACAACAATTTTGTTTTTCATCATTGAGTTTCTGATTAGCAGCCATCTCCTAAACTTCCCTCCTATCCTGAAGCTTTCGTCAATTTTAAGCATCCCCTTGGGCCTATCAAAGTAATTACGGTGTTACATTCGGCGTCCTATAGACACACTTCATTCACACCTGCCAAATTCCTCACATTATGTTAAGATAAGGAGAAGATACGGATTGATAGATTGAAAAGATTACTCGTTAAACACAGACCTTTTTTGAATATTCTCAATTCATTCGGTATCTGACTGAAAAGAATAAAACAGAGGAGCTGTGACTCAACCTGAGACAATTAAAGTTCTACTCCACAAACTGAGACGTGTCAGGATGGATTTCCGAGCAGCCGTTTTTCTGATGTGTATTTTGGTGTCAGCATCTTTTATTACTCAAAGTAAAGCAATCGTGAGCTTTGGGAAAAAGGATGGGAAAAGATACTCAAAGTTTTCACTAGAAGCGGATAAAGGGAGCTTCAACCAGGTTCAGTGTCTTATGTTCGTTACTTTAAGAAATATGAGCTCCATACAGGCTTCTTCATCACTCTCCAACGCCGTTGATGTAACCACATTTTTCCTTTTGTTTTGTTTCTATTTTTCTTTATTTTACAGAACTCGCTTGACGAAGGACGAACTATTCGAGATCTATGCGTGGCTATGAGGGACGTCTGTGAAGGAAGAAAACTTGAAAGTGATGAAAACACCTCACAACAAGTTTAGAGCTTCTTTGCGTCAAGTTATAATAATCAAAACTATATGTAAAGTTTCGTAGAATATTGTGGATCACGGATTGTAAGGAAAGATAGTAAAACAAATACAATCGACCGTAAAATTTCAAATTGGTGGCTACTTTCAATTTGTTTGAAGGGTGGGGGGGGTATGTTCGTTCGACTACTGAGTAACACTAGTCGGGAGGTAAAGGAAACAATGAGCCCGCGTTTTAAACATATCTTCTCGTGTTGATAATATCTCTTAAGTGTTCCTGAAAAAACTTTTCCTTTAATGGGATATAGTTTAAATAATACTAGTTGGGCCTTAAAGAAAGGAAAATATTTAGTAAATGAAAAGAGTTGAAAACCAGGCAAAGCGCAAGGGAAGATGTGTCCGAAATGAATTTAAAACCTTGGAGCGTTCCTGATTTTATCGTGGAACCCAATATATCAAAGTCAGACTTGAAAAAAACCATGGAAACACAATTGTTAGAGTAGAGACACAAACCAGCTTTCCCGGTTTTAAAGTACATGGCGATAAGCCCACAGAAACCTTCAAACGGGCACTAATAGAATTCCTTACCTAAAGTTCACCCTCGTGACGATATTTAGAGTGGAAATTACTTTAATGGGTACATCAATAATATCGACAGTCACATCGAATCATACCAAGTTAGTTACTATTATTATTATTATTATCATTGATATCATTATTATTATCATTGTTATTATTATTATTATTATTATTATCATTATTATAATTTTTGTTATTACCATTATTAACATCATCATCATAGTTAGTAACATATTAATCGTCTCCTGCCGTGATGGAAATGATCCAAATGATATATGATAATAGCATGTACTCAGAGCAAACGTTTCCCTGAGCTTCCTATGCCAGCTTGACTTTACATGTTCGTAGTTGTTAGGGATGATTGGTGAAAATTTTCGTATTCCGCTCCGCCTCCACCTCATTACTTGGAATCTTTATTGAGATAGTTTGCACCAGGATAAAATGAGTGGTCCCTTTGGTTTCTATTGTTTCGTCCCTTAATTGAAAAATGAAAATTCTCCACATTTTAACGCTTTGCTAACTGCCGCACCTGCCTACGGAGCTTGAGGACTGTAGTATATGTCGTCGCAGTTCATACTCAAGAAAACGATACGGGTACCCAACGGGCAAATAAGGAAAGTGCGGGAGGCTATCTAATTTAGGCGTGGAATGTGCGAGAGTGGAACTCTAAACTCCTGACATGTCAGACAGCGGGAGAGGGGTATGATAATATGGATATATGATGAGGAGAATTTCGTGACCGAGAGTCTGTGAACAGAAAGAAACATTCTGGAAACAGTTAGTGATATTTCAAGCGATTTATTATTTGTTATTTATCGCTCTGACATGGATACCGGACGAGATTACACTTCATTTTGAAATAATCTTTACTGCTTAAAGAACTTATTGAAAGAGTCCGTTTTGGTCGTCATTTTCTTGTTCACAAACTTCCCTCATAGCCACACAAATGTCACGGACAGTGTTCGCTTGATAAAATGAACGCTGAAAGATATGAAAAGATATGAAGAAAAGGATTTAACAGTAATCAAATAAACGTCGTTGGTCTAAACATCGTTACTGGTCTACAAGAGCAAGGCAATAGACCCAGTTGACAACACTGTACCTTCTGAAATAATTCCTTATCTTTTTTCATCCTTTGTGGTCCAGGATGACGAGGACCGAACACTGCTTCTGTTTGACAGATCATGAAGGCTGAAATCAAAACACAGAATAAGAGGAAAGTGACTCTTCGAGAATCCATCGTTTCAACAATCTCTGAAGCGTGAGAAAAACAGCAGCAATGAAAGATAAACTGAGCTCTGCCCAGGGAAGGTTGTGCGTTTTATACCTTTATTCACATCGGTTGATCACGCACTGCATAAACAGCCATTCAGTTAAGTTTAAAATTTGACTGAAATTGTCTCTAAATACCAAAATTAAATGTTATTAGAGGTTTTATGGCGTCTGAAATATGTTTTGGGCACACTAAATATGTAATGGGTGCATGTTAAGTAATTACTGTAATGAGTGAAATTTGCCAGGTGAGAATCCTCTTTTTTGGCAACAATTTTTCACAGAATTTTGTCGTCAGAAAAATGATAAAAAAATAACTGATGGGAGGGACGGAGCTCTCCTGGCCCTCCTGCTAACTACGCCTCTCTTTAACTTTACAGTTCGCGCACTTAAAATCAATCTTTCAAAAATTCAACAGTGGTTTGAGTCATTTTAAGTAAAATCCTTCATAAGAACTGACTTAGGGAAAAGCTGCATTGCTTCCCACTTATAATTAAGGGAAGGTTGGAGTTAAGGCAGTCAGCCATGTCCATGTAGCTTTGATGCAAATTTTTCTTTAAAAAATTATCAGATGCCGGCTGTTTCACATTTTTCTTAAACCGACATTTTAATACAAAATAAATTCTTCATACTTCCAAATTGTTTCCAGCCAATGGCAACCTAAAATATTTGTTACAACCGACCGTCAAAAGAGGAAAGGCGCAGTTGATATTTCAAGCATCTTTGGTGACAAGAAAAGAATCAATTTAAAGATAAGAGTTGTTGAATGCACTATCTTAAGTATGGCACTAAGGACCTGTTTACATGGAGGTGGGGGACCCCTGGTAGGTGAGGTAACCCACCTGTCCATATAATTTCTTATTTTATTTTGATCACCTTTACATGATAGGTGGGGTGACCCGCCTAGGCGGGTTGCCCGGTCTGCCAGGTAGGGTAACCCTGTCAGCCGGGGTGACAATTTGCCATGTAAACGTCTCAAGGTGGGGTAACTCGCCTAGCCAGGGTAGCGTTCATGGCAAAAAGCTCAAGAGCGAAACATGTATGTTTTAAAACTTTGTACATTTCCTAGCCGTCTTATGGCAGAATTCACCAGAAACCGCAACGGACACACAAGGAGTGTAAAAATTTTCACATTTCGGAATATTTAGCGTTGTAAATCGACCATATTTGGTTTCCCAAACTACTCCGTATAACGAATTAAGTCAACGGTTTCTCGCGAAACCAAACACTGCGTAACACAACGCGTGCTTTCATGAATAAATACATTTGTGTCCTAGAATTAATCTTTCGTCTTTTTCGAGATATGAGCTTGGGACGCCTCTGCTCAAACTCCTTAATTGCAAGCGTAACAACAACCTCAAGAAACCTCACCCCAGCACCCCGGGGTTGTAAGATTGCATGTAAAGGCGTTTTTATTTTTCGACCACGGCTAGGCAGGTTACCTCACCTACCTGGGGTCCCCCACCTCCATGTAAACAGGCCCTAATTCAAAATAATTTTAGGCGCCACACGTCTTGAAAGTAACGTTTTTTTTCCCGGTCAAAATTTGAAAACGTTAAGTCGGGATTACGCGTAGAAATTTTGTTCCAGTTATTAGTATTATGAAGTATGTTTTGTGGCAGAGTGTTTGTTAATCCTTTCGCGTAAGGAGGCGCGGATGTTACGGGCTTGTAAAATGTTTAGAAGCTTTTCAAACGTGACACCTGCATTAAAAAGGCAATTTTGATAAGTGATGAATTCATTACAATGGTCCAATCTTATCACAAAAGAAGATAATAAACTTCTCTACCAATGAAGAGGCATTGCTGTTCACAGGTGCAAAACTTCAGTAAAAACAACGGGCAGCACAAGAAACTACAAACGAATGAACTAATTTGAATAATAAACATATGCAGTCTTTTTCCAGCTTAATTTTGAGCCTTTCAAACAAGAATTTTTATCCAGCGTCAAAAAATTCGTTTTTTTCCGGGCGAGTTCTTGTCGGGTAATATTCTACAAACAAATGGGTCAGTTGTTGGTAAAATTCAAGGAATGGCGTGAAAAACTTGAGTTATCGCACGAAAAGGCAAAACATGGTAAATATTTTAAAAATATCTCTTATTTACCGTTTGTGAGTTTACACTGTTAACAAAACAGTTTTTCGTGGTAAATTTCGGTTCATCTTGAAAGAAAGCAACTCGAATTTGACGCACGTTGTTGACTCCAACCAAGAATATTGTTTGTAAACTTTTCACATACGTTATGATGGCAATATTTTTACAATGAATGTCTCATATGCTCCGTGACTTCAAGATGTCACTGAGCGTTAGGATCAAAGATGCTTCGTTATTATCATTATTACTACATCTTATGACAGATAATCTTAAATTGAGATCGGCAAATATTACATTTGTTGGGCACACTTATCATAACGCTTTTTCTAACGAAGATGTTTTCATAAAACTGAACTCCCGTTTAAGTTTCTTTGAGCGCTAACAGCGACGATCAAAGAGCGAGATATCCCAATACAATCCTTCTTTGACTGTCAAATAAAGGCGGATCACATTTTAGTCCAGAATGGTTAAATTTTGGTTCCAAAATTAAACAACTTATTCAGAGGTTGCCTGTTTATAATAACTTCTTCCTTGAAGAAAGGGTGCAGAATCGGTGAACTTCCGAAATGAAAATAATATAAAAGCCGCCCACTGAAAATCCGGTCATGAATATTCATTTTCATTTAACTGTCACATTTTATTCCCCTTAACATTTTCAGTATCTTTTTCAAGCACAAGAGTCAATTATGACATTAAAACCTTGGCAAATGAACAAGCTTTCTCAGCTCATTTTACATATGTATCAGTCAATATGTTTACAGTGTTTAAGTACTATTTGAACAGATCATTCAGACTGAGGATCGAAAGACAATCTTTTTTTTTATTATCATTTACCAAATATTGCTAAGATATGAAGATTTTCGTCATCAGTAAAACTGCTAGGATTTTGATGTTTGACATGATTTTCACAATGCCTTTTCCTGAATATCATTTTCTTGTAAGTAAGCTGTAAACAGTGTTATATCCATATCATGAGGTAGACTAAGCACTAGTTGTACTGAGATTGGTCAATTGTACAAGAGCGGAAAAACGGCTTTTCGTAATGCAACAGTTACTACTAGAACAGTTATTGAAGTTTTCAAACAAATTGATCTCTTTCGAGATATTTCACCGGCCACGGCCGGTGAAAGCAAAGAAGAATACCACTATGTAGAGAATTTAAAGTTGTTTTAATTATTTAGTTATATTTTTGTATTGTTTTGGTTCGTTTGAGTGCAAAATTAAACGTAAGAACTTCATAAAGATACAAAAGACATTTTAAAACTGTTTGAAAAGGCATTTTGACGACGTTTCGACGTTGCTTCACGTCATTATCAAGTCAAGAGTAAAAAAGACAAGTGGAAACATGTAAAGTAATTGAAAACAACCAAAAGAATGTTTTTGGCCCGTATGGGTATACGTTTCCAAGGTGAAACTACTCTGACGCAGGGCTAACGCTAGAAACGTCAGCTTTTAAACTCCTATCAACTCAGTTGATAACACTTAATTACCTGTTATACTCTCCCACCGACGCAGCACCCCAGTTTCTTCAGAAACTTACCCCCTTAAATATGTTAGGTGAAAGAAAGGCTTAGAGCGAGTCGAGTCATTCTGTGCGTTCAATGCGGAGAGTTTGATGTCACGGATAACAAGGATTTCGTAGATTGCCTCATTTAAGTCCTTAAAATATGTACCAGCAAATTGACTGTTTGATTTGATATGCATTTATATGATGAGGTCTTTTTTTGTGTGTGTTTATTAATTATTGACTCATTTTTGCACAGGGTCTTCCAGGACCATCTCTCTAGAGCAGAAGTTGTTACCCAGTGAAGACGATCAGAAACCAACCAAAGACTACGGTGCAACACATGAAACTAAAACACTGCCATCCTCAGATGAACTATTCACGAAATTAGATACGTTGGAACGTGTCTTGGATGACCAAAAGAAATTCCTCGAGGATCATGATGCAAAGATACAAGAAATAGAAAATTTTATTAGAAAACTAGCCAACGAGCGAGAAGAAAATCAGCAAGGTGAGCAAGGGGAAAACGTAAACTGAATCTAGAGGTTTTTAGCTTGGAGGCACATCTTAATGGCCGATAAAACTGTTTCAGCAAAATCGACTTGAAAATGATTCAGGTTACCAAGCAGTTGGGAACAATGCTGTTCTTTCCGGGACCATTAAGCTTCAGGAGACTTTTCGTAGCCCAGCCATTAGCGTCAAAAGACTGTCCTGCATTGCGCTAAGATTCGAATGCCTCAGAGTTCCGGTACAAGTATACCATCTACTTTACTATCAAAAATTGAGTTCTAATTTTGTAAGCAAATGCTTTCCATTTTTCGTTCTCCAGCTATTGAGTTGCCTCACTGTCTCGTTTCAGAGGTTAAACTCAGTGACCCCTGGAGAAGGTTTGAGCAACACAAGCAGATTCTAACGAGCCACGAGGAACGACTCGAGAAAAATGCCACCAAGATTGAGATTATTAAAGAAATGCTGGATGACATACAAGGTACGGTCTTAAATAACCTTTTTGGTACCAGTATTTTTTTCGTTTGTTGATTTTTTTGGGTCACCATCTGGCTCTCTTAACTTTTGTACATGTAGGACCCATATAGCTTAGGCCTATGATCAGCCCTCGTGGGCTCCCCTCGCGGGCTCCCCTCGTGGGCTCCCCTCACGCACGTTTCGTGGGAAATAACTTTTCCTTTCACGATTCATGGAAGGGAATTCTAAAAAAAATTAAAGATCTTTAAAATCACTGTATCTGAAAGGTGGGCTTAAAATTTCTCTCTTCACAGATATTAGTTTGATGAAATGATGCCTTTCGAAAAATGCATCCCATCAATTCAATTTCCCATTTGAATGAAAAGTCCTTCCGTGAGTCACGAGTATGCTGTTACCATCTGCTGAACAGTAAATATTTTTCCATAGCCCCATGTAAGGGGTATTGGAAATGCATAAGTAATTTTGCTCAATGTCAGTTTCTACATGACTGCACCCCTACCCCTCCCCTCACCCAACAACAATGAACTACTAGCACCTTTGAATTATTGTTACGTTAGGGGAGGGGTAGGTGCTTAGTTGCTCAGATACTCACATTGATCCTGTAATTTTGTTTTAAATTTAAAAGGAGGCCAAGGAAGTGAGGTGTTGAAGCAAAAACTTAAGGAATACAAAGAACTGTTGAAAAAGGGAAGAGAATGTTATGAGAGGTTAAAGGAAGAGGTACAGGAACAGCTTCAAATCCAACAGAAGCAACTCGATAACATGTTAGCTGGTTTTATAGTGGGTTTTGTGGTACTGGTGATAATTTTCATGGTACCAAGAACACTTTTGACATCTGGATAATACCTGTACCACCAACATCACTTATTGTTGGAACAATGCTACCAGCTGTTAATTACTGCCGTTTAACATTGGCAAACATGGGCAAGGCCGCAAAACAGGGCTCAAATATCAAACTGCATTAAAAATTATTACTGCTATTTAACATTGGCAAACATGGGCAAGGCCACAAAACAAGGCTCAAATATCAAACTGCATTAAAAATTATCATTACAGTTGTAATATTCGACAACAAACAGCTTTAGTCATTAAGGGGTGATTTTCACAAGAACTACTCCCTAAGGTATGAAGTAATTTAACTTCCTTAAAAAAATTATCTTGACAAGCGTGTATGACAAGCTTATTCCAAAGGAACTGATCTGTTAATAAAATAGACTCACTCTTACAAAGTTCTTGTTTGCTGCATCCTACAGACACCCTACAGACTCTGATATTAACCACCATATGCTAGGGAAGAAAAGAATGTAAAAAGGGACCAAAATTATTAGCCTTATTAAAGCCCCTTTCCACAAAGTGGCTCAGGGATAGGCTTGTAATTTTGTTACATTCTGCCATCAATCATCATTGTAACAGGCAGAAACAAATGAAACTGACTGAAATCATGCCATCACATTCAGCACATGATCCTTTTAACCCCATCAAACATTTCTCCTGTTAATCAGAAGGTCTGCTACATGACTAAAGGGGCCTCAGAGCAAATTTCCATGATCAATCTCCACCCTTCATGATTTACATGTTATATAGTTTCTCCACAAAAAAATTGACCTTTCAATTGAAGGAACCCCAGAAACCAAAAAAAATGCCAAAACCATACACATCAAAGGCTCAACAAATATCATGATTTACATTCAATAGACTTAAAATGATTTTTACCTTTGATTTCTCTTAAGAATGGCCAATTTTCTTACTTTGAAGTTCATTGTCAAACAAGATACCAAAGAATGTCACCTTGCCCAGACTTAATAGTGACATCAAATTGATTGTTTTTCCTTACAATTATTAAAAAATGGGCATTAAAGTTTGTCACAAAGAATATGGTTGGTAAGAGGGGGAGGGGAACAAGGGGCATTTTATTCACCTCTCTCAGGTTACATACCATAAGTCAGAACCAGCCAACCAGATCAGGCGATCAAAAATAAATAATTTTTTTGCTTATAAGTTCTTTCTAGCCAGACTACTCATTTCCTAAATTATGTTCCCTGTTAGAATGGAATTTTTAAAGAATCAGCAAAATAGTGAAAAAAATGAAAGAAAAACATTCAGGCAAGCACCCGGGGTGAAGGTCTGAGTTGGTCACTAAAAAGCCAATATGAACAATCAGAATGAGGTTTATTGATAATTACAGGTAGAGCGCTTGGGGTTACTCAATTCCTACTTTGTTCTTACTTCATGACTTCCTACATCATAGAAAAAATTCAGTGATCTTCCTCTCCAGTGGAAAAAAGCACTAGCTAGCTGACTGATCTGCTCAGTACAAAGGTCTCTTACTGTAAGATCATCTGCAAACTCTAGCTCATCAAAAATCGTATGGCTTCCTGGGCTAATAGTTTCCATTACATCTAACACTTTGCTTTTTGGTTTAACCAAAAGAAGTCTGATAAAGTAGTTTAAATATTCCAGATCTTCCCTTGCTATGTCCACACTTGGTTTTTTTTTAGGTATAATACTCACCAATGTCAGAAAACTATCTTTTTCTTTTCTTTGAACAGGATAAAACATTGAACAGGGTTCTCGGAGTAAAATATTTACATCGCAAAACATTTCCAACATGATTGACTGTCTGTTGTAATATTTACTCCCAAACTGAGCAGTGATTTTATGCGCTCGATCCTCTGCAAAGAAAAAAGTCAGTTCACTCCTCCCTTTGTGGAAGATGCCGTTCTTTGCTGCTATTGCCCCAAGATGCCTTAACAAATTTCGGTGCACAACGTCAGGGTTAACAGCAGCCTCGATACCAATAAATCTCGCTGCTAAATGATCGGATTCCCACGGCTGGGGTTTAACCGATCGAAGCACATCCTCGGATGAAATAGCTGGAGCGATGCAGACATCTTTCTTCATTAGATGAGGGTCGATTTTACTGAAATCACCATGAAGGATTTCAAATCTTTCCCCTTCTGGAAGTTCCGATTTGAGGTCTGTTAACGACAGGTGGAATTTCCTCTCCGGTTCAAGTCCAATAACATGACTCGCTCCGGCTTTCAATAATGCTTTCACAAGAACTCCCGTCCCAGGATTTGTTACAACTATTGATTCGTCTCGTAAAGGTTCAAGCCTTTTTGCAATTTTAGCGGCCAATTTCTCGTCTAGAATGTATTTGTAGTTTCTCTTCAATTGCGTATATAAATCATTGTAATTGTATCTCACCAAGGATGATTTTTGTGAATGGTACAACGAAAGAGTCCTATTTAAGGAATAAAAACTTTTAACCATCCACGATAAACTCTTCCACCTAGCTGCCATATTGTTATGTAATAGTCCGCATTGATTGCTGGGAATGTTTTAGTTTCAAGATGGCGGAGGACAGGGAGGTATTACGATACATATGGGACGGAAGATTACCTGTCTGTTTTAATTTAAGTTCAGATGAGGTGGTTACCGTAGAACAGCCAGATCCTTACTACGTAAGTATTGTTTTACCCTATATAAATTGAGGTGGTTTAAGTGCCAAGTTGAATGCATTGAGCTGTTTTAGCAGTGAGTTATTTCTCTTCAGTGTAATTTCTTCATAGCAGTCGGAAACATTTTTCTTTCTGTGTTTCTGAAATCCCATGATGGATCTCTTATAATAATTTCTGTGGGTAGAAAATAACTGGTTCAATATGTCTTTCAGCTGTTGGTCCCAAGACTGAGTTACCTGACTCTTGTAACGGATAAAGTTCAACGACATTTCCAAAGGGCAATCAGTAATGAAAGTGTTGATGAAGTGTGGTTTGAATATGATGGACAGCCATTGAAATGGTAGGTGTTTCTAAGATTCTACCTTAAAGGCGAAAGTGTGTGAAAAATACAGGCTAGTCATTACTTCTTATCTTATCCGCAGGTCAATTTGTATATGTTTGATTTGCTTTAGTATTTCCACCTTAATATTAGTTTGCAAGTTTTCCATACGTTTTCCAAGGTTAACTCATAAAGAAACTTTGCTAATCAGTCAAGAGCCTCTAGACTTGCCGATCATTTCCTTAATTCATCTGACCTTAATTTTTTATTCAACCACGATACTGTCAGGAGAAATTAGTTGCTGATCTTTCTTAGGGGTTAACGGTTTTGGACTAAAGGATTTATGAATGGGTGTTAGTGCAGGTATTCTCACAACATGGTGAGAATTTTTCTACCATATAAGACAAGGCCAATTCTCAAGGTTGTTTAAACAGGTCATTTTTCAAAAGTCAATTTTTTAGGTGGTTTAACCAGGTCATGTCTGAAAGGTTAGTTAGATTTTGTAGATATTGCGTGGAATTAAACCTTTACATCCTAACATCAGCATGCATATTCTCCATACTTTTTCCTATACATTTCCTAAGGTGCTGAGAAAGAGAATTTGTTCATCAATCAAGAAAATCTTTGGTTGGTGATCATTTCCTTTATTCTCATAACCTGACTGTGTGTTGCAAGGGTTATACTGTTGGGAGAAATTACATGCCAGTCACTCTCAGTGGTTAAAGGGTCATGAAAATTTCGGAATAAAAAATAAGTCTAGTAAACAAGTTTAACCATGTTTGTTATATGTTTTCAAATTCATTTACAAGGATTTAAGAACCAATCAAAAGTTGCATTTTTCTCAAGATTTGCCTTGCTTTGTAGCTCATTTGTTAGTGGCACTGAGCTAGTACCGTATTTACTTGTGTATAAGTCGAACTTGTGTATAAGTCGACCCCTCATTTTCAAGGTCAAAAATCAAATTTTTCTTCATTTCAAGTCAAAGAAGTAACTCTTATTTTGGAGAATTTATTGAAAACACAGGGAATTAAAAAAAATGCCGACCAAAATGTAACCATATGCTGTGAAGTTTATTAGCACTTGTTGATATCACCATGATTTAAGTATATTTGAGCACTTCGATTTACTGGAGAAGTATTTTACTATATTTTGTGAATCATATTGAAAATGAAATCTTGCATTAATATTGCCTTTATCTTAATGCTGAGTTTGAAGGAAGATTAATTAGACTGAAGGAGAACCAAAGAACTTCGAAGGATCACACGTAATATACAAGACCGTGCGAGCCAGGTCACCAAGCCACTGAAATCATTTGATGAAAACAAAAGTTCAGCACTGTTAACAGCAGCAAAGCTGGAGGCAAAAATGTCTGCTCTAGAGTCTGGAGACACAATAAAAATCAGCTCCAGTAGCTTTTTGTTAAGCCACTTAAAATTTATTATTTCAAACATTTTTGTTGAGGAAGAATGTGGTAAAAAGTGACGAAATTCAAACACGATTAGAACTGGTTTTATAAACTTGGTTTTCCCAATGGACTTCAGGTAAATTTTATGCTAATTTCTTGGATTGCTCAAATCAGGTCTGTGTGTATAAGTTGAGGGTGATTTTTTGGTCATAAAAGGTTGACTTATACACAAGTAATACAGTATCTGGAATGCATGAGTGTAATTCTTTTTGAACCCTGAATTTTTTTCACTGAGTCTTAATTATCAATGATAAATTTGCTTGCAGTCAACCAGTGAATATTGATTCATTATGTCTTACATTTCCCAAGATTTGCCTAGCTTTGTAGCTCATTTGTTAGTGGCACTGAGCCAGTATCTGGAATACACGAGTATAATCCCTTTGAACACTATGTCTTTATTATCAATGATGAATTTGCTTGCACTCAACTAGTGAACATTGATTCATTACTTATTACGTATATATGCTGCTAATCAGAACAACAAGCGACTTCCTTTTTTCCTTTCTTCCTTTCAATTGCCCTAATTGATCCAGAGGAATTAATGGACAAAGTCATGTGATCTATGTTTTACTTCACTTTAGGCACTATCCTATTGGTGTCCTGTTTGATCTACATGGTTCATCTGCTTCTTTACCATGGAATCTTACAGTTCATTTCCAGGTAATTAGCAAATATCGAATTTCCAAATAGCTGAACTTGGTAAACGTATTTACATCACAAACTTATAAATTCATCTTTTTTATGGTTGAAACCTTATGGTGTTCCATGAAGAGGTGGACTCCAAACCTTTGGGTTACATGCACTGTTAGGATCATTGTCTGTGTCTGAGCACCTACCCCTCTCTTAACCCAAGAACAGTTAACCCCCTGATAACTCGTTAAAGTTGGTTTGGTGTGGGGAGGGGTAGGTGCACAGTTACTCAGCCACTGATATTGATTCCAATTTTTTTTTTTCTTTCAACAAGTTACAGAGAACTTGGTGCTGAGTTAGGTCTTTATTTATATTATTACTAGCCAAGGTCATATGTGATAAACTGTCTATATACTGTTAGATATCAAAAGTGTAATGTGGATAAAGAGACTAATTTGAGAACAATTTTGAGCTTCTTAATTAACAAAAGAAATGTTTCATTTTTTTCCAAATCAAGGGAAACTTACATCTGATTTGTGGTATTAACTCAGTCATTTGAATTGCTGGAACCTTCAGAGTATACAAATGTAATTACAATGTACTGGAGACTTTGTACTGAGTTTGTAATGGATACTCTAAAATTCAATCTGCAGAAATTTCCAGAAACTGAAGTGATGAGATGTCCTGGAAAAGAAGCTATAGAGTCACATTTTATGTCTGCTGTTAAAGAGGTAACTGTTAAGTAAATGTTTAGTAATAGTTTATTAGTTTAGGTAACAATATGAAAGATTTAACCCTTTGCAGCCTAACATCTGTATTTATATTTTCTATAACCTTCTTTTTACTGTTTCTTTGTTACTGACAAGGATAATTTTCTTAACAGTTGAAGCCTCTTAGGTTGGTGATCATTTCCTTTATTATCATGATCTACGCTAACTTTAAAAATGAATGATTCAACAGTATTACTGTGTGAAGAAATTGGATGCTGGTCACTCTTAGGGTTTTTAGGACAGCTCTGATCCATAGTTTTGTTTTCCATATTTCTTATAAACATTAACAACTAAATCGGGGTGGTAAACAGTTTTACCCATAAATATGATTTGGATAATTTTGGATGCAGTCAATTTTATTTTTAACAATTTCTTATGCCTTGTTAATGTTTGAAAATCATGAACAGAAAGGTTTAGGATGTTGATTACCCAATACAGATCATAGTTCTGCAAATTTGAAAACTTTTGAGGAGAATATTTTATCAAATAGTTCATAATTATCTGTGAAAAGTATTTATTTGTGCATTCATTTGGTTATGTACTTTTCATTTGCCAGGCAGACAATTTGAAGCATAGATCACAAGTTATAAACTCAATGCAGAAGAAAGATCATAAGCAACTATGGCTTGGTTTAAGTAATGGTGAGTGAAGAATGTTGTATTTTGTACAAAAACATAGTTTTACAAATCCCAAACACAAGCTCCCTGCAAAATATTTGTCCACGTTTGTCACAGTTCTTTTTCTCTACTAGAGGCAGAGAATTGTTCCTGAGAGAACAAACTCCCCCACTCAGAGGTGATAATATGTAATAAAGAGAACTGTGTACCATATTTACCTGTGAATAAGTGTTGCATCTAGGGATGCAGTACAATCTTTGAATAACAGTGTTTTCCAGACAAATTTGGCTCCTATTTGTCAGTATAGGATGAAAAAGAGTTACTCTGAAATAAATTCTGCCTCAAAACAAATTGCTTAAATGAAATTCTAAGTAGTTAGTTGCAATGGACTGAAACCCCAACTGATGGGAGTAGCTTTGGTCCTAGATGCTTAATGTTAAGGAAATAGGATAAACTTCAACCAAATTAGCCTCCTAGCTTGAAAATTGACTTGTAAACCTCATGGGGAACAAAGACTCCAATTTTGCTGGTTAAATTCCAAATAGACTTTAAGATGTTATTGTTGACGTATAAGGCTATCAATGGCTTAGCACCTTTTTATCTCCAGGAACTTATTAGTCATAAAAGAAGCATGTAATTACAAGTTATGCTCCAACTGTGATGGACTGCTACTAAACCCTGTGAAATTCAAGACTTTAACAATGTTAGGAGATCGATCTTTTGCTGCTGCTGCTCCTTAACTATAGAATTCATTGCCCTATGCAATTAGGAGTATCAGTAGCCCTTCAGTAGCTTCTTTTAAAAAAACACTCAGACATTTTTATTTCAGAAAGCTTTTTTGTGATTTTATGTACTTTTTAATCTTGATTTTAGTAGGTTTTATGCAGTTTTTTTTTACAATTTAAGTAGTCTGGGTAATTTTGAAATATTTTTATTTTTAAGCACTGATGAAAATAGCAATGTTGATATCAGCACTATATAAGTATTATTATTTTATCATTATATTTTTAAATTTCCATCTCACCTAACATGTGGCTTCACAGTGCATTCATAAGAAACCTTCAACTGCAATCTAGAAGGAGCAATTTTAAGCTACATTCAATCATAATTTTTAGACTTCACCCTTGGTAATTGCTTTCACTGCACTTAACTTGTGAGAATCAGTGAGCACATATCATATGAATGATAGTTTGTTTTTAAATCTAACAGATAAATTTGAGCAGTTTTGGGCTGTAAATCGCCGTCTGATGGAGAGAACAGGAGATGATCCTTACTTCAAACATATCCCCTTCAGAATATTTCAGGTAATCTATTAAAGGCTTTTCCTTGCGTCAGGATTATGTCAATAAAGCGGTCACCCATTGGGGACACAGAAAACAGTACAAGAGGATACTTTTTGATGAACACTTAAAGTACCTTTTAGTGCAAATATTTGTGCCTTGGTGAGATTAGAATGATGATTTAATTGTTAGAAGCCAAATAGCATGCTTAGCTCATCTTGCCTACTAAATTTTGCCCTTTTGTAACCCTCAACACCCTAACTGACATCAGTATGTGTATTCTCTACACATTTCCTATGGCACTGACAAGGAGAGTTTGTCTAAAAACCAAGAGCTTTCTGATTTCAGATATATAGATAAAGAGATCAATAGATGACCTCTATTTATACACAATAATGTTTTAAAGATACAAGCTTGTGAGATTGTGAGAAGAAAGAAGGAAAATTACATGTTGTGTATTAAATATTACTTGAATTCAAAAATAGAAAATGTTATATATTGTAACTTCTAAGTAAAAACAAGATGGGTGTGTATAAGGCAAGCAGTAGAAGCGGAAAGTATGTTAAATTTGAATTCCTTTAAGTAGTCTGTAGTGAGTAGGTGTTATTTCCAGATTATTGAGACTTGAGTGTCCAACTTCTTGTTCATAGTCACAAACAGTGTTCCATAACACAGCACTGCGACATTTATTTCATGTACCGTAATTTCCGGTCGTTTATCCGCACGGCCGATTACCCGCACTGTTGGATAACCCGCACATTATGTTATTCAACTTATTGGTGGCGAAAACGTGACATTAAAGGTGATACATTTCAATCTTTTAGAAGCTGTCTGATCTAACTTTCGAAAACTTGAAAGCGTCCTTGTTGAGTTTAAAGGTCAAAGAAATTCAGACGCGTGCACAATTCTGTGTCAATATTAGCATGTACTTTATTGATAAAATTATACAGTAAAAACACTAGCGGCCCACGTCCCAATCTCAACGTTTCATACTTGACAGAATGCGAATTTGTGGCCACATTTTGTGCGAGCGATGTTGATTTGTTGAAAGAAAGCAGGGTGAGTGTTAAAACTTGAATTATAAAGTACTGTCGGCGATTACTGAAAAAGTCGATATCTCCGGTTCTATTGGGCCTAACAAGTCCCTTAAAACGGGAAAATTCTCTTTAGCTCAAGCTAGTGTTAAATGGAAATTTGTTACTAATGCGCCGGATATCTTTGGATTATTTTTGTCACCATCAAGGTTTCGTTTTCACGCGTGCCGATAGCAATTTGTTCGTCACGCAACTAATTATGCGTGAAATAAACTCGAGTCGGCATCATGTTTTTGTGTCGCTTTGTGGCACTCTTAATAAAATTCATTTGAGAGGTGGAAACGCATGTTGGTGATAAGTTTTTTCAATTCAACTACCGGTAGATTTTAAAATTGTCACATAACCCGCACCTCCCCATTACCCGCAGTGGCGCGCGTTTAATGCAAAATCAACAGATTACCCGCGGGTAAACGGCCGGAAATTACGTACCTTGTTTGGAACCTGTGTACCGTTAAAAGGTCATTTCCCTCATTTCACAATCATTTCTTTTATTTTCATGACCTTAATTTATGATTAAAGGGAGAATTTGCTGGGATAATTTAAATCCCTATCACTGTTGGGGTGTAAAAGGTTAAATCAGAACAGAACACTTCTTGAAATCTCATAGTATTATCCAGCCCAAAAATAAAGAGAATACAAACATACATGTGTCAGTCAAACTTTCCTTAATGAAACACCAAATTCTCTGAACTGATTTATAGTGAAATATAAGCATCAGGAAGGGAGTACTGCTAATTGGATCTCAGGAGTATAGGAGTTAAGTCTGCTCCATTTGAGACTGAGGGTTCCTACTATTACTGGTATGAACTGTTACCTCTAGAACTCAAGTGTGGCAGAAGTTATTATGGTTTTATGTTATGTTTGTTTATCTTGAAGTGCTGGTGATTTCCACACATGCTAATTGTGTTATATAATTGGGTGCATTGTATTTTGCAGCCTGACAAACAGTTTATCCAGGAGTTGTTCAGACCCCTTAATGAAAATGGTAAGTGTCATCTTCCATAGAGCTCTGATTGGAATGTTTAAGATTTTTATCTTCTGTCACTGAAATACTGCAAAATTATTCCCTCAGTCCATAGCTTAACTACATTCTCCATTGTTTCACTTGTACTAAATACTTGAACCTGTAGATGTCCTAGGAATGTAAACTACCCATGAAGTACTAGAATGTAAAGGTCTCTATTGTAGAAATGTATGCTCTCACAACTAAAACAAATTCTCCTCTGTTTGTATTGAAACCAAAAGAAAATTTTTCAATTAGATATTAAAAATTTCATCTGCATTCATTGATAGGTGAGCAGCACACACTTGGTGATCTGTTACATGAGTTTGCTCCTGAGGTGTTTGCTAATGGCATTGCAAGGATAGACAATGAATGGAGGATTGTAATTCAAGGAATTGAGCCCCCTCTAGAGACACCTATACACTGGATCAGTGAACATTTTAGTCATCCTGATAACTTTTTGTACATTGTTATCGTCCGGGTTGTGTAGTGTTATTGAAGGGGGCATCTAAACTCATTTTATCGTCTTGGATTGGAAGGGGTAACTCCTATTGACCACATTTCAATCAAGTGTCCCTAAACAACAATGATCATGATAGCTTAAGAAAGGAAAATCTAAGAAGCAGTTAATGAGAACTCAAAGTCAAAACAAGCATGATGCCTTTTCCAAAGCTCTCCTGGCCAAAAAAAAGTACCCTTCTTCAGGTATACTGTACCCTACCTGCAGTATATTGTACCCTACCTCCGTTATACTGCACCCCACTTCCACTATACTGTACCCTACCTCTGGTATATTTGACCCTACCTCTGGTATACTATACCCTACCTGCAGTGTAATGTACCCTAACTCTTGTATACTGTAACCCACCTCTGATATACTGTACCCTACCTGTGGTATACTGAACACCACAGGTTACCAAGATAACACTCATTTGTTTTCTAACTCACAAAAAATAACTACTCCCAGGCGGTTATGACGTCCAGGAAAATTTAATGAGAGAGATTTTTTACTCTTCCCTTCTTTGTATAAAGGAATTTATTTTTTTAATTTATTGATAGAACAATTGTAAAGTAACAGTGACTTTAAAGACATTTAGATATTGAATGTACGCAAGACTATCCATAACATTCTGGTGTTTTGATTTAAAGCCCGTGTTCTTCATAAACCTACTTTTGAATTCTTCACTTTTGCTCAGAGGTAAACGAAAGTTTTTTTTATGCACCTCGGGTGCGAAGGATTCCACGAAGCGTAAAGCTTTCGTTTCGGTTGTAATCAAAGGCTCTATGGCTGGTTTTGGAATGGTGTGTCGGAAAAGACATCGTGATGATATCCAAGGAGATCCTGGTAAAAATGATTAAAGAGCAAGAGCCATACCAACGATTTATGCATGAAAATTCTAACCAAGTGACCTGTCAATCATAAGCCACCAATCAACCGTTGTCAAGAGAATATCACCTTAGAGAACTTATCGATAGATAGATAGATAGATAGATAGCCAAAAGGCTGAATTGCCTAATATTTTACAATAAATAAAGATAATGTATAAAACTACTGTAATACAGGTTATGCTTGAAGGAAATTGATAATACTACTAAGCTTAGAATCAATAGAATTATGTACGCACATTTACACTAGGTTGTTGTTCGCTAATCTACACATTGCAGGGATGAATGAGCGCTAGAAACGATTGGTGCACGCACGAGGAAGGTCATACTCCCTTTTTTTTCCTAGGATTGTAGTGATATCCCCCATACATACCCCTCTTCCAATGAGAATGTTTTTTAATTCTAATTTTAGTGCGCGCTCCTGCGGCGGGACTAATTTGAGAATAACGGCTGATTGGTCGGTAGTTCTGTGGTGAAATTTGATGTGTGATGTTTGGTTGCCTACGGTTTGTGGTTTGTGGTGTTCACCATGATGACGTGATGACATTTTTTGGTCAAGATGGCAAAAGGCTAAGGTTGTGCTCTAAGGAAAATTGAAGAGAGCCCAGAGCTCTGAAACTGTGAAATCCAGGGTGTCCAGCATATGCTTTTTATGGAAAAACTAAAATTCCTAAGTCGCCCATGAGCAAAAGTTATGCGCTAGGGGCCACTGGGCGCTGCTAGACCACAGCCATGAAAGCGCAACCTCTGGCGCTACCCTTGAAGACTCTTGTCTTCCCTTGTACTCCACTAGTTAGGGTACGTGGAAGAGGATTTGATTGGAAGAACTGAATATCGGGTTATCGATTAACCCTTTAACTCCCGAGATCGCAATAGTTATTCTCCTTACAGCCTGCCTTTCCATTCTTATAGTGGTAGTTCGAAGAATTTGGTATTGGATCAACTAGCAATCCCCTAGTTGATATTTTTGTTTATTCTCTTCTTGTCTGCTTGATATTGTACTGATATTGTAAAGAGAAATTTTGTCCTGGTCATTCCTGGAAGTTAAAGGGTTAACCAACAATGGCGCAACATAACACAATTTTTCAGAATACAGAAAGCGAGCCCGGCTCGATCTTGACGATTTCTTAATTTTAAAAATCAATGCCGTTAATTGCTGACCTCAATGATGCTTGGTTAGTTATGTGACTTTTTACCTCGACCCTCGAAAAAATAATTTAGAATCAATAAATTATTTTAAAATAATTTAGCTCAGAATTCTTTCACGAGAAAAATTATTATTTCGGATTTGGAAGAAGTTTGGCGAAGTTTAGAGGCTCTCGACCGTGAGCGTCAGTGAAGAAAGGGCAATAAACCGCCCCAACCCCCATTCCACCGCAAAAAAATGATAGTAATAATAATAATGATGATGATGATGATGATAACAATAATAATAAAAATAATAATAATAATAACTCCAGACAAAACAGAAAGCCTAAGGCTAATATTTTTCATTCATCTGACAGTGTTAAGACTCAAATGTTTCACGCAATCTCATGAGGTAAGTCGAGGTCGTCCATATAACTCACATGAGAAGTAAATGATTCCAAATAAATGTATTGTGACGCGTCTTCAAACTCATCAGGTTAGTTGCTTTTCGCATAATCACTTGTAAACGCTGGGCAATTGGTTTCTTGCAAAGTTCCTTATCGCCCTGCGCAAGTAACGCATGCGCCAGCAGTATATTAAAGGATTTAAGGAGGAATTGATATAAACGAAGACAGCTGACCAACTGAGAGTGAGGCGTACCAAGCTGAACGGCCACCGAACAATATTAACGACAATTCTTATGGAAAGATAGGGAGTGTAAAATAAACACAACCAGAGAAACACCAAGAACATATTGACTGCGGGCTTCCTTAATCGCGTTCTATTCAAAGTTTCTTGCATTTGAAATTGGGTGCGCCTTTGATGGCGTCGTGCGATTCTGAAAATGATGTGATAGACTATGGAAGTTGCAATCAGACTTGAACACACGATCGTAACGCAGAAAGACAGGTGTAATAAGTCCATTAAAACCGTCAAACCATATGCAACGCTTGCTATCCATATCAGAAATAAAACAATCAGAGTTCGCTTGGCTGTTACCACGGCCCTGTATTTCAAATGAAGATGCAGAGCGAGAAATCTATCGACGCTTACTGCTGTTATTGTTAATAGCGTTGATGACACAAAAATTGCTTGGGTTATTCTGTACGACGTCCATGCAGAGGTAAAGTATTCTTTTGTCACAACTTCAATGATCTGTAGGGTCACATACAATGGCTGCACGATAAGACCCACGCCAAAATCTGATGAGGCAAGCCCAAAGAGGAGAATATTGGAAGGGGAGTGCAAAGAAGGGGTTTTCCAAATCGCGCCAAGAACGAGACCATTTCCCACCAAAGCTGTTAACGAGAATACTGCATTCACAACACATTTGATTATGAGATTGTTAAAGTCATCTGCCTGGCTAACTCTGATCTGCTGTTCATTGGTCTTGCTGTTCAAAGTTTGGTTAAACAAGCTCGTCATGGCAGTCTTCGGTCTAGGTTTTTTTCGTTGCAGTTTTTAGAGGAGATCGTCAACAAAGTTTCCTTCTGTCCGCCTTAAAAGGCCTCAACGTTTCTGAAAGTACAGTAGACAGTATTTGATTTACATAGTTATAATTCGAGAACCAGTTATCTGAAAAGGTCAATATTCTTTAGCTGACTTTATCTGTTCTGTCCTTTCGTTGGCCTGATCTTTTGATTGCCATCGATAATGTGACACGTATTAACGTATTGCTTTAACACATTTTGAAAGAATAAAATAAATTTATTGGCCACATCTATCGTGAGTATTCAATTTTTTCTTTGCGGAAGCTTATTGACTTATATTGCTAATCTCTCCCGAATGTCTTGTCAAGGGCTCGTTCGTATCGGACTCAGCGTTATTTCAATAAGTGCTAATGGGATGATTTAACATAAGTCAACAATTAACTATTCGGAACTCTGGCGAGGAAACATGGATGGAAGTTCTCAAAAAGAAAAGTAAAGACAAGTTATATTATCAATCGAAAATTAAAATTAAGGCAATTGGATTTTAAAATGAAAATGAAGCAGTGGGAAATGTAACATGTGTCTTTATGAGGAACCCCCGCCTCCCACGGAAAAAGGAGGCTATATTGTCCATCTTTCTTGTTTGATATTTTAATTCCATTTGCCACCCGGCTCGTTCATCCATTTATCTTTGAAAGCATGGAAGTAATGAAAAAAATATAATCTTTTTTTTGTTATTTACGACTGGCTCACTGCACGCTAATAATTGTTGGTAGATTTGGGGGTAAAAGTGATATTGATTCCTTATCGTCTCCCTCAGCCAGAAACTAGTAGAAATGTATTCCTGTAATATGCATCGCCCCATGGAAATGGAAATTCTGAGGCGCTTTTGTTTCTTAGACTTATGATTATTTTTTGTGTTTTGTGGCGATAAATTTTGCAGTTCAACATGAAATTTTGCTTGGAACTGGATTTAAACTATTTCCTTCCTTAACTAGCAGCACATAAACAAGGAGAGAGAATAAAATGTTTTAAATTTCTTGACAACTTGTTGTCGACGAGTAATCCATGGTAGAGCTCGATCCACGATTGATGATGTCGTAGGTGGCCTAATGCGAACAATACGAATTAAAACTAAATTCGGATTCTCCGATTCATTTGATTGAATGCAGTAAATTTTCGCGGCGTTAAATGTTGCCAAAGTTTATTCTTGCTGCTAGAGGAACTTGCGCAAATTCAAAAAACTTAAAGCCCGTAATCTATGTATGTTACACGCCATAATTTGACAGGAAAGAAGATAGCTATTAGAGACAAAAATACACAGTAATAATGACTTTTCACGCGCACATATCATGGGAGGCATATGCATGATTTGAAATTTATGTAGCTGTTATTTCAAGCGTTCTCATTGAGACTTAAGTTGCTGTATTTGTTGCAAAAATTTAACTTGGTTCTCTTAATCAATCTGGGCTCTAATTTTCAAGATATGTAAGTAAACTTTCGAGAGCTAAAAACATCAGGCCTAGTGTAGAATTTAAGATTTTGTCTTGGGATCGATCAGTACAATTGCCAAATGTAACTTTACAAAGACAAATATGGAAACTAGGCAAGGATATACTAAATTGTTGCTGCATCTGATTTAACAAGACCTATACAATAATAGCAATATTATTTTAAAATCTGGAAGGATTTTAAAATACTCTATCACCTTGCATCAGGGCTAAACAATATCGCTCAGCATCTTTTAATTCACATCAGAACAAATTTTCTCTGATTCCAAATTGAGAAATTATTCCTGAGATGTTGAGTATTTATTCATTTTAATTACAGTAAACAGGTTTCAAACGGCAGGATGATTACAAATCAAATAATTTCATAAAAAAACTTAATCAACTCTCGGCGTCGAGCATATAGAGCCGCAAAAACTATGAAATTTAAGGTGCAAGATGGAAATTGTTAGTGGAATGAAAATAAGAAAGATTTTGAAAACGCGGGAAACTTAGAATATCGAGCAATTGACGGATAAATTATTGAGTATTTTTTTGGCCGCGGCTTACTCTTTTAAGAGAGATCTTTAAACAGAGAACGCTTTTAAAGTAAACAAAAAGTTATTATAACTCCTGGTATTTGTAGAAAGCTAAGTCCGATTTATAATTTCTCCCCTTTTTTTAAGCAGCATTTTAAAATGAAAGCCTCGTCGGTTAAAGCCTTTTACCGCAGCAGGTTTTGTTCCTACCAATGTTTGGGATTAAAAGTCGTATGAGCAAATATTTATACTTTCTTAAGTATCAGAGAAAGTTGTAATTGTTTTTTTTTTTGGGACTATAGGGCTTAATTACGGAACCTACTAAGCTACTGAATGGAGAGAATTGAAAGTTGATTGAATAAAAATACCAGGCCTGTTTGTAAACTTAAAATATCCAGTAGCTGAGAGAGATCAGAAACATAGAAAAAATTTGTCTTGCACTATTTTTTGTCATTACTATTTTTGCTTTTCTACTCAAGAGTATTCTTTTTTCAGTTGGAAATACTCCTCTCAAAGTATATAACATAGTAACGAGATGTTGAACTATTCTTACATGTGATCAAATAAGTTTTCAACTTGCTAAATATTTCTTCACAACTATTCAGCATGGCATGAAAGCTAGTAATCAGTATAACAAAACCGCATAACCTTTTACAGGTCCTGAAGATAAGAAGGTTTCTTCAGCCTAACTTTTAGTTTTGGAGCTGCGATAACGTCAGGTATGAATTGTACTGTATCGACAGACAATCATTGTTAAATCTTCCCAATACTAAATTGAAGAAATTTTGGTCAGTTAAATTATTTTTGTAATTCTTCTGAATCAAAACTTTCCCTTACGATGGTACGCGCAGATTCCCCGCACCACATGTTAACGAATTAAATGAAATGCGCAATCTGAGCAAGAAATCTGCTCTCAATTCGAGACTCTTGATTACGATATTTTCAATTTCTTCAGAAGGTCTTAAAAGAGACCAGATCACGTTGTTCTAGTTACTCAACAAAGCGATCTAAAGATTGAGGGAAATGACTTTCTTTATTTTCATTGATCATAACCTATTTTACTCCGGTACAGAAGTGGCTTCTATCTTCCATATATTGGCTTTTCTATATCTGCTTACCTCTCGAGTCTTTGATTCCCGCGCTGAGGACGAAAAGGATGAACCAGAAAAAAACCTTGCCGCTGAAATTAAGTCTCTTCGAAACGCTCTAGGAGCTCTGTCCCGCCAGGTGATGTTGCAACAGCTGTTTGTCGAAGAACGTATCAGATCCGACGGTGATTCTGGGGTAAAGCAAGTACGTCTTGCGAATGATGGAACCCGAAATTACTTTTCGGAAGCTCATGGATATGCTAAAAGGCTTTTAGCGATTCACGACCACACTAACAACATCCGCACAGTTGGGTTAGGAGAATTCGTTGGAGTTCTCAATGGTGTGGAGTTCAGGACCAGGCATAATGATTACCGTCTGTTCATGCCCAGTACGAAAAACAAAGAGTATCACGCCACAGAAGAGATTCCGTTCCCCGATGTTCCACCAGAGGTCAAAAGTAAACCTACTGTAGAAGAAGAGATCATTGAGATGCGTGAGTGGTTAAAGGCGTGGAAAGATCAAGACTATAGCGTTAGAGACTACAGAAAGTACTGCAAGCCTGTACTTTGTTACCTTGAAGGGGCATGGTCAACCGCGACCAAGGACATCGACGAGCCATTTGAGAGCGACCGGCATTTCATTGATGCTCAAACTTGGTTCGAATTACAAGAGAAAATTCGTTTCACCTCTTATACTGGGAGAAAAGACAATTTGGAAAACTTCTCCTTTCTACCCACTACTATTATGGAATTAATTAATGAGACTATACCTGTTTTCGCTCAATGGATTTACCGAATTCTCTGCCATCCGTTAAGGCGTGACATACCCACAAACAGGTTTCGTATGGTTGATGAGTTGTATTCCAGAGTTCCAGCTCAAAGAAATTACTCGGATCACCAAAACTTCAGAGCAGCAAGATTTCAACTAAATCCCAAAGACAAAGACAAGTGGTCCGAAAGATTCAATTCTAACCCCAAATTTACCTTGCTGGATCAACTCATGAGCGAGATTCCAGGAAAAGACAACTATCAAGGCAATCTAATAGATGAAGCATTCGACCTGCCTGCCCAAACTGTTCATCCCAAACAAACAGGAACGCTAAACGCTGCTTATTATCATCGACTGTTCAAAGTAATGGAGAGAGATGCCATGGGTCAGTCCATACGTCATCGTGGTTATTCAGATGCAAACCTGTACGTGGCCTTGACCAGTCAGTCAAAAGTGGCCGGAATGAATCTTAAGATCTGCAAGGGACCAAAGCCAAACTCCCGATGCAAAGAAGTCAATCAGAAGGTCTCATATGCCATTCCCATGGAAATAATTTTTCTGACACCTTTAAGCAATTGGAATCCCTTTGATATTGAGTACAAAGGACCCGATAAAGAGCCATATGGAAAGACAGTCTTTGAAAATGGAAGAAATGGAGACAGAAACCCTAAGAAGGCTTACAATGGTACTAACAGCAGGAAGTTTTATCAGACCCCTGATGCATTTTTCACGGGAAAGGAGGTGAGTGTCGATGCCGCGGACACTACCAGAGAAAGCGTCGGCGTTTTAGACAGAAATGGTAGGGTGAGGATCTGTCGAGCGAGTGGAGTCAGAGTCTTCCTTCCACCTATAAAAGGAATAGGATCTTTGCGTCAGCGCTACCCCATAATGCCTGTTCATGGAGAGGGAAGCGCAGTGTGGAAAGAGCTTGGAGCTATGAAAGATCTTCTCCTGCAGTCAAAAACTTATGGTTACCTCTTCAGGGAACCATTAGGGGGCTCTGGTGTCGGGTCAGTAGCACTACCAGAGAGATCGCTCACACTTCAGATGGAAGACGCCACAAGAACTCCCCCAGGTGCACATATTCACGAAGTGACTTTAACACCACAAGAGGTAAAAGACGCCAAGACAAAGGGGAAGCACATTACAAAGTTAACGACGCAGGGAGCTGGGCATCAACACACCATTAGAGTTGCTTGGAAAAACGACATCTGGGTGATTCGCAAATGCGATGAGTACGACAAGAAAAAGTACAAATGTTTCGACCAACATGGAATGTACTTAAGTGAAGATTTAAACGCTTAGAGGGGCATTTGACACAGCACTATTTTTCTTCTTCTTTAAGGGAATCGTTAGAAATATTCAGTTTTATTTCAAACAAGAAACTGGGAAAATTGAGTAAACTATACTTATTAAATAGTAATTGTTGCCTTATGGGAAAAGGCTGAAATAAAAAAGGGGAACAATTATGTGCCTTAAAGAATTTGCTTATCAACGGCACCTGCATATCTAATGCTGCTTAGGCAGATAGCTGAGTGATATACTTCTATCGAGTTTTGAAAGCTTCTGCAAACAGGAATTTTTTACAACGAATGACTGACTGCAGGTTTCTGCCTTTTACAATGATATTAATGTGGAACTCTAAAAAGAAGTCGTTTGAATGCTTTCCTTAGGTCTGTATTTTCATGGCGATAAGCCAGTTGAGACTGAAGCAGTTGAAGTCTCTAAAAATAAAATTTACCAGTCTTTCTCGCTTGAAACGCAGCAGCCCCTTGAAATATTTGTCGCCAGACCTCTATGCGATTCCCAATTCAGTATTTTCCGCCTGTTTGCACGCGTATGAGTTCTGCTACCTCATTCTTATTCACCATATGGAAAGAGGAACGAGTGACTGGCCGTTTTGTTTTGTTTACAGCGAGCGTCACCATAGGGAGTTGAAGTTTGCTCTCGAATCAGAAAAGCCACGAATACGACAGTGGTCGCTACCTGTGATTTTTTCATGAAAAACGTGATCAGCCAAATTTGCTTGAAAGTTCTGTTCTTCTCCAATAGAAATCGGAAAAAACCCAAACGACCAAACAAACCTAGATCATCTGAGCTTGATAAAAAGAAAACTAAAATAAGACATATTTGATATCTTAAGGAATCTACTAGCGCCTGGCAACCAAGTGACATTCTAAAAAGGCGCCATGTTAGGTTTATGTGCTATGAATCTATGTACGATGGCGTTGCAAATTGGCTAACATAAAACAGACAAACATCCTCGACTGTGCAAACGATTTAGAGATGATAAAAGTTACGATAGGACTTTTTTCACCTTTTTAAAATCAACTCGAAGCTCGCTCCATTTCACCTGGTTAACTTTTTCTCACTCATGATATGATAGCTGATCCCCTTAGCATTTCTTTGTTGTTGTTTTTTCGTGAGAGAATTTGAAGTTAAGATATATATCCCCAATATTACCTGTCTTATTGGTAGGTAGTATTTAAGGAAATGTGTTAAATGTCACTCCTGGGCATGGATGGGATTGAACGGGTTTATATAATTAGTGAACAAAGGACAAAACGTGCCTCCTGTTAAGCATCTCACATCCAAAATGTGAATTATAGTTTCCCTGTTCACTTAGCATGAATTGCTTACATCTCTAACACCGCTCTCGATGTCTTAGAAATGTCCATTAAATTAACATTTTCAGTTTTTCCTTTTTTCCTCATGCAGAAAATGTGGATTTGATTATAGAAAAAAAAAAAACGGAAAAATTTCAGCACAGCTGCGTCGAGGCACGTGAAGTGGAGAATGCGCATAACTGTAACTAAAGATAACTGATATTTCGGTGTCACCGTAACAAATTAATTCTAACGTATCGTGCGGCGAATGTAAATTTACAGGGAACTTTACAGCTTGCTTGAGTCTAATTGCAGGTGGAGACTGGATGTTAATTGTCTTACAGAGAATATTTCGTTTACCAGAATCAAATTTGTTAACGCAGTAACTCAAATGCGAAAACGTCCCAGTAGGTCATATTTGAGTGTTTTCCAAGTGTTTAGTTTTTCGGTGTCACCGAATTCATTACTTTTTAATGTTTTTTTGTAATTTTCATTTAAAGTTATTTGCCACACCACAATAAAAAAATTTACAAGGAGGAATGATAAGGTAAGAAAATACTGCAACAGTTCTTCCCTGTGAACGCCTCTTTTAGTTTCTTAGTTTATTTTTGCCTTCCTGATTTTACGTTTACCTATACATCTTGCATCCGTGAAGAAAATATTTTTCCTCGTTTTAGTCCACAAAGCGCAGTTTTAAGGGTTTTCACACCGGGTTCTTTGAGTTCTTTGCAAAGTGCGGTATAAATTATATGATCTTGGTCTAAAAAGCCTGCTTCTTCATTTTTTTAAAAGCTTAGCAAATAGAGGTCAGGTTAAATAAATAACATGACGAAGGTGAAATGGTTCGCATCATCATCAGGCAAAACTCCAGCCGGTGAAAAGTTTTTTTTGACTCCACCTGCACCATATGTTTTTTTTAACTTTATCTTCCGAAGAACGGCAGAAAAGAAATACCGGTACTGCAGATGTACATAATGTTTTATTTCAATTACACACCATAGTCGCTAACAGAAACCTGCGCAAGAATCCGACAAACATCTTTTTCTCGTTAGCATTATCAGATCTTCTCACAGTGACACTATAGTTGAGCCATTTGACATAAAGAGCGTCTCTTTTCATTTTCAAAGAGCATCTGGAACAATAGAGAGATGATGTGCAGGACACGGGTCACATTGTACTTCACGACTGTCCCTACCTCGATCTTGACTCTTCTGGCCGTCAGCGTGGATCTATACAAGATTCTCAGTGATCCTGGGAATCCTTTTCGCCTTTGCGGATTTACGACTGGGAAGGAAGGTTTGACAGTAAGCCGCTCATAATATGGCTTTACAGTTCACTGATGGCCTCACTTCCCGTTATGGGATGGCAAACAGATGAAGAGCTCGTTCATATTGAGCTCTGTATTGTTCCCTTGCTTCCGCTCTTTTATCTTCCCATCTCTGTTCTGAACCTCATTTTACTAATCATGGTTACGAGTGGCATTTACCTTATCGTTTCCAGTTACCACAAAAACGTCGACATAGATAACAGCCGAAAACTGCGCTCCACCGAAGAAAAAAAAATGTATTTGAAGAATGAACAAGGTGGTAAGACGATATTTTACTTAGTGGGGGCTTTATTCTGCTGCTGGTTGCCGTACTCCTGTGTCAGTCTTCTCTCTTTCCTTTGCAGAAGCGTCTACATCCCATTTAAAGTTTTCGTGGTGCGGTTAATGGTTGGTTACCTAAACTCCGCACTCAACTCATTTCTTTTGACATTTCTCGACAAAAAATTCAGAGCTGCCGTGTCAGGTTAAAATATTTTGAGTTAAGATCTATAGTTCTTCTTTATTTAAAAGTTTGTTCATTAATCCTCGTTCCATACCACACGAGAACGTAATTACCTCGTAACATGTTATTTATTAGAATATTTGTAATTTGTGATGAAGCCGATGCGTTTGTTTGAAATGTCCCATGAAATTGACCAGCTATAAAACCCAAGAATTTCGTTTAAAAAGTAATGAAAGGTGGGAGAGCATCCTGATATTGTTGCAAACCAAGAAAATAAGCTGTCTCAATAGCGTTGTGCCAGAGGACACTGAAATGTCAACAACCCTTACAGCAAACGAATGGAACTCTATTCAAGCCCACGCATTGTTCTTAATCCGGCAAAAGCAGGCAAGGGAAGGCCAAGATGACCGGCGGGCAAGACGTGGCGAAAAACAGTCGAAAAAGAGCTTAGAGAACAAGTACTGAGAAACCTGAATTGAGGCAGCCATATGTGCAGAGGATAGCGTGGCCGTGAGATCGAGTAAGAAGGAGTGGCCCTATTCTTCACAAGGAGAGGAAGGAACAATGATGATGACTGTGTGTAACGACTTTTTCAATGTAAGGCCTGTTAACTGCCCGGCAGGCTACATCCTGTTGTAGAAAGAAAATAACAAATACAGACTTCATTCACAAAGAGTGGAAAACCCTAAAAATAATACTAGTTTTAGCCATACATCCAAAATACGCCTTAACTGAAACGGAAATTTATGGATCAGTGTGCCCTTAAAACTACAGAGTTAAGTACGTCATACATGCAATGGGACACGTAGGTAACAAGATGAGGATACTTTTAAGAAAATTCACGCATGAGTCAGTTGTGGGCTGAGCACGTATCACCCTACGATTCATATATAGTACGAAAATTCGAGACTGACCTCGCTCACCGCAAGCGCGCCTCTGGAATTTCCTTGTTAGGGAATAGATTCCACCTAACCTGTTAGGTTTTTGAATTTCAGTCCTTAGAAGCAAACATGCATGGGGGAATTACCTTTGCACAAGAAGCCGATAAACCTTGGTAAATAATTCCTATTCTTGTCTAGGTTGATTTACAGGGTTAAATTTAGCGTGGCGTTTGCGACTCACGATTAGGAAGAGGTTAGCAAAGGGAGGGGATCCTGATCTCGTTTCACGCACGAATTTTAGGACATTTCAAGTGTCACGTATACTGTAAACAGCATTTCAGAGAAATCTTGAGGTTTTCACGAAATGAACGAAAACTTGTCATGTATATATTTCAGGAGGCAAATCAACCTCACACCGGTGCATAAATTCACGAATCACTCTCGTTTTTCAGTAAACTTCATTCGTCACGTATTAATTTTGGCCGCAACTCGCGTCATGCACGTACAAGCCGTTTGCCTTTCTCAGGAAATAGTTTAAAGCGTGGAAACACAGACGGTGTACCGCTTTGAGGAAATGTATAAAATTGAGCAAACTTACCGAGAAGTTCAAATGAATGAAGTTAACCTCTCTGGATCAACACAACGGATCATCTACCATCGCTTCTTTGCCTCCACTTTATACCGAGTGATAATCTGAAGTAAGTTATCAGCTTAACTCTTATTTCATTTTAATCGTCTATAAAACTGATGACATCAACAACAGACGATAGCTGTATTTTGAGTGGAGTTATTGACCTCGATGGAATTTGTTATTTGAGTTTGCGAACATCTTATTATCATACCTTTGCAAACTGGCGTCGATGATGTTAAACTATTATTAATTTAGCTCGCGAAGAGTTCAAGTATCCCTTGACTAACCCTCATGACAAGACGATTAAACTGGATGGCAAATTTTCGATTAGTGGGACGGCGCTTATCGCAGAATATTATCCGGGAGTTTATGATATTATCTAATCATAGCTGGCAAATTTAACTTGATGTTTTGAGGACTAGCAATCAGTCACGCGAACAACTGACTAGAGCTGTTTTGACCAGTATTGATGGCTACTGCAACGTTACAGTGAGAATTTTACAATAAAAAAATTAATCTTGATATGTGAAATTGAATAGTACTTAAGAAACTACGATCTAGTGTGACTTTTAATGTGTAACTTGAGATAAGAATTACGGCCTTACTGCGGTTATCAATTGAAATCGTGGTTCTCCTGTCCCTAGTGTCTTTTTGGTTTTCTTGTTCGGATTCAAAGCCGGACGAGATTTTTTTAGTACAAAAGGCAAAATTTTCTAGTGTGCTACTTTCTTTGTTATCAGTAGACCTTTTTCTCGCGCTGTAAATAAATAACTCAAGGGATTTGAACCTCTATACGTTTTTATAAAACGTGCAGTACGACGAAGGCAGTATTATGTGCACAAAATGGAAATCTGTAATTTGCGAAATGCAAATTTTTAATTTCGAAGGAGAAATCCAGTGTAATTTGCGAGCGACAACAACTGCTTAAAAATGTTTTTACCGATAACCGGAGGAGTAATTAGAAGATGAACTGTCCGCTAGAATTTTCCTCTTTTCCTCTCTGTTGCATGCATTTCAGTAATGCAGCCTCTAGTTTGCAGCCCACCAGTGAAATTTTCCATATGAAAATGTATGTGGTTACTCAGCTGGCGTTCAAGAAGATATATTGTCTTTTAAAAAATTGTCAACAATGCAGCTGGCTCATCGATTAGTGGTAGTTTTCTCAGGTATTCAACTGTTGGTGTCCTATGGCAACGAAATCGTCTAAAGATCATTATTAGATTCACAGATTAGGGGGACTTTGCAGTGTGCTAAATGTGAAAAAAGAACATGTAGGAAAAAACCGTAGCCTTCGAAAATCTCACAATTTAGTTTTCCTGTGGGAAAAAAGTGTTTTTTACTTCGGGAACATACATACTATTTGAAATTTAATATTACGGGTGCTAGTAAGGTACATCTATTTAGTATTTATGTTAAAAGTCGATTTATAAATGAAAATTCGTGCTTCTCGTTTTAGAGAAACCAAAATTTGAAAAAAGGAAAAGTTCTTGGTTTGACACAAATAAGTCAAGATGAAACTGTATTAATCTTGACGAGCATCTAAAGTGGGACGAAACTAAAATGAAAAGAAACGTTTTATTTGTTTTTATAATATCAATGGAAATTCAGGTGTTTTTCCAATGTCATCAAAAGTTCGGCTGACAACAATATTTACATCCCACCTCCTACACTTTATGGTCTGCAAAAAATTTCTTCGTAGGACTCTTTTGGAAAGTTGGACAATTTTTCTCCATTGAAGAACCTTTAATTGCCAAGAGCCCCAATATAGAAGGTAGACATACAAATCCTGTTTAGTGTAAATATTAATTAACAGTCTTTACGATCTGTATTGTTCAAGTCCAAACTTTTCTCCTCCGTAAGGGTGAGCTCAGTTAAGCTACATGAAACTTGCTTGGTTTCTAAGAGCTGTTTATAGAACTTTCAAGCTGGACAGTCTTTGATAAGGGTGCAGTTGTGGAACAAGTAGATTAATTAATAGAGTAATAGGAAAAATACCCCACTTTGATGACGCAGCGTTAAATTATTAATCTATGAAGACAACTAGAGCCGAAAATGTGCAGAATGGAACGGTTTAAAGCTAATGTGGTGAGAAGGCTCGCACACCAGTAGAGTTATATATCATCGCCGGACACAAACAAATGTTTGTGCTCATTTTTCCTGCAGATTATACACTATCATGCTGATCCTCAGAAAAAAAGGATAAGGATGAAAAAGAAATCTCTACGTATTGAAACTCGGAGGGAAAATTGACATCTGGTGAACTACAGCAAGAGAAAAGATATATTTCCTTTGTAGGGAACATTTAAAAGTCTGTCATTCAATAATTGACTTCTATTTCAATTTATTCTTGATTTTTTTTAGTCATGAACTCCATCTAACAATACCATAAGATATCTAAAGGCTTTAACCAAGCAAAAGCGTAAGCTGCAAACTGTTTTTAAAGTCAAGAAGTCATTTTATTTGATGAACATAATACAATGCAGCCAATATCTCTACGTGACCTTGAACAATTTCAAACCGTAACAAGATGAGAAAAGATTAACAGCATGCCAGTTACATGCTACAAATCATACTCGGGCTCGTTTCATACGTGGTTGTCTTTTCTTGTCCTTAATTCACGATAGAAAAACTTTGCAGCTAACAGGAAAAAGAAAGTAATCAGCTAGTTTACAACATTTCAGTCGCTTTGGGCAACACAGATAAGTAAACATGCTTTTAGAGAAAACAGAAACCGAAAAACATGATATTCCAAACAGCACTTAGCTGGGGAAAAGAAAACTATTTAAACAGGAACAATAGTCAGCGTTGTAAACTCAAATATTTAAAGTTTAACTTGAACAAACTGCTGAAAAGAAAACAAAGAAGTAATGTGTTGAGTATTCTTTCAGGTGCCCGGTGAAACCTTCCTTCCACAAACAATATGGTTAGTTATGGTGAGAACTGTTCATCTGAAATTTGCTAGGTCAATGTCAGCTTTAAATATCGTACAATCTCAAAGGCTCCCATTTAATGAATTAACGGAAACAACCATATGTTCAAACAACCTTTCTGTAAAGAATTGCAAAACAAGTACACACCGACGAATATTGAATTAAAATAAACATTAATATGCAGTTTGACATGCCTAAAACCCTTAAAGAGGAGACACTCTTTGCAGTCAGAATCATTTTCCCGCGGGCTTCGAAACGAGAGGGTACTTAGTCAGAGAAGCTTTGCAAGGGAAAAGGTTTAGGCTTTAAACAAAAGGTACTAGTATCAGGTAATGCATGTTATTTCTCTACGCTGATATATTTTTCAATTTTAGTCCTTTGTTTTCATCATTCGTTTGTTTGCATCTTGTTCGCAAAATAGAGTAGTTCTTTGGAAAAAATATTCAGGAAAGCAAAAATTAGCCGGACCGATAAGTAACCTTAATCGAGTGCATATACAACTCTCCATATATTTATTGAATGGAAAGTGTCATCGCGAAAAATACTTTTGGCACCTTTTAATGTGGATATCATGTCGTCGTCAATTTCGAAGAATGATCATGATTATTAGGATGCTATTAAGAATTACGTATATATGATAAGTGATATTGGTTTTGAATTATAGCGGATTCATGCTCAGGTTAAGTCTTTCCATTTTCCGATTTAGTTTAACACGACTTTTGCTCGTATAATCACATATTGGTGGATATGTGTTAACATGATTTAGATCAATAAGGGTCTCACTAAGAGAAACTCCTTGAGCACTCTTTAACCCACGACTCACGCAGATGTTTGACTCAGAAATATGCAAAATGAGTTTTACCTGGCAGTGCAAGGCAGGGGAATCTCGAACATCCTCGAAATCTTTTTGAAAACACACTCAAACAAATAAAAGATAAATCTGGCGGTATCTTGTTTAGCGGTCACTCGCTTAGACTCTTTGTTGTTATTTGGTCATTTCTCACGTAAAAAGGACGGTCACTTAACTCAGTTCCCTCAGATTAACAAGTCTTCGAAATGGAACATTGTTGCTCAAATCCTGGCAATACAACAATTTTATGCTCCAACAACTTGGAAAGTAAAACAAACATTCGACAAAGTTCCAAACCCAAGAAGCTTTGTTACATGATATTCCTAAGAAATCCTTGCTTTGCTCACAGTATGACGGTTTATAAAATCGTAGATTTTTTTATAGTGGTTGCTAATCATTTATTAATGACAACATTTTCACTCTCTCGATAGAAATGACTCCACCCTTCCGAGTAATACTTGTTGTTTTGGCATGCGCAAGTCGTATGCAAGCAGATGCAATTGGGGATGCTGACATGAAGCTTGCCAAAGAGTTAAAAACATTCCGGAATATTTTGGGTGCCCTGTCCCGCCAGGTGATGTTGCAGCAGTTTTTTACCGAAGAAAGAATCAGATCTGATGGCGACTCTGGTGTAAAGCAAGTACGTCTTGGGCATGATGGCACGCGAAATTACTACTCGGAAACGCACGGATTTTCTAACAGGCTTCTAGCAATTCACGAACACGCCAATAATATTCGCACAGTTGGTTTAGGAGAATTTATTGGTGTTCTTAACGGAGTGGAATTCAGGACCAGGCACAACGATTACCGTCTCTTCAAGGCCAGTACAAAAAGTACAGACTACCATGCTACTGAAGAAATTCCGTTTCCAGAAGTCCCACCAGAAGTCAAAAATAAAGCTACGATAGACAAACAAGTCGTTGAGATGCGCGAATGGTTCAAGGCGTGGAAAGATCAAGATTATTCAGTTAGAGATTACAGAAAGTACTTCAAGCCAGTACTCTGTTACCTGGAGGGAGCCTGGGGCACTGCAACCGAAGATATTGACGAGCCTTTCGAGAGCGATCGACATTTCATTGACGCAACATCCTGGTTTGACTTACAAGAGAAAGTTCGCTTTACCTCTTACACCGGAAGAAAAGACAATCTGGAGAACTTTTCCTTTCTACCAACTACAATTATAGATATAATCAATGGAACCATCCCCATCTTTGCGCAATGGAATTATCGGATTCTGTGTCATCCCTTACGTCGAGACCTCCCACTCAACAGGTTTCGTATGGTTGATGAGCTGCATTCAAGACTTCCCGCCGAACGGAAATATGAGCAACAGATAAATACCAGAGCAGCAAGATTCCAACTCAATCCCAAAGACTCCAACAAGTGGTCCGACGGATTCAATAATAATCCCAGATTCACTTTGCTTGATAAACTCATGGGAGAGATTCCTGGAAAGGACAACTATGTCGGTAATCTGATTGATGAAGCATTTAACCTGCCTGCCCAGAGTATGAACCCCAAGAAACCAGGAAAACTGAACGCTGCTTACTACCATCGACTGTTCAAAGTGCTGGAAAGAGACGCCATGGGACAGTCTATACGTCATCGTGGTTATTCAGATGCAAACCTGTACGTGGCTATGACCAGTCAACCAAAAGTAGCTGGAATGAAACTGAAAACTTGCAAAGGACCAAAGAAGAAACCACGCTGCACAACGGTCTCCCAGAAGTACACGTACGCTATTCCACTTGAAATAATCTACATGACGCCCCTAAACAGATGGAATCCATTCAATCTTGAGTACAAAGGTTCAGAGAGAGAGGCGTATGGAAAAACAGTATTTCAAGGCGGTCGCTCTGGCGGAATAACTCCCGAGAAGGCTTATAATGGTACCAACAGTAAGAAGTACTACCAGACACCCTCTGCATTTTTCACAGGGCAGGAGATCAGCACCGATTCTGCAGACACAGCCAGAAACAGCGTTGGTGTTTTGGAAAGAGATGGCAAAACCGTGCGGATCTGTCGAGCAAGTGGAACGCGGATCTTCTTTCCAGATATAAAAGGTGTTGGAGTCTTGCGTCAGCGTTATCCCATCATGCCTATCCATGGAGAAGGCAGCGCCGTGTGGAAGGAACTTGAAGCAACGAAAGATCTCCTCATGAAATCACAATCCTACGGCTATCTCTATAGGGAACCATTTGCAGGCTCTGGTGTTTTGCCGACGGCACCTACAGATAGACCACTAACACTTCGAATGGCAGACGCCACAAAGACTCCCCCAGGTCCTCACCAACATGAAATAACTTTAGAAGCTCAAGAAGTGAAAGATGCAAAGACCGGAAGAAAGTCGTTCAGAAAGCTGACGACGACAGGAGCCGGACACCAACATAGCATTTTGATTTCTTGGAGAAACAACAACTGGGAGATACGACGGTGTGATAGTTTCGACAATGAACAGTACAAATGCCGTGACCAACATGGCAAGTACCTGAGTGAAGACAAAAGCGCGTAGTGGGACGTTAAGGTTTTGGCTTTCGGAGGCTGGAAACACCATTAATCTCTTACGAGGACCCAGATGATTCTTTGCGAAATCTGTGATTTTTGTCGTTATGAAGTAACCCAATAGTCAATAGCAGTGTAAGCAATGTATTTAAAGATCAAACAATTAAAATGCGGAAACAAAAGTTTAACTTGTGAGTCGGATAGCGTTTTCTTTTTCAGACAATTTAAAAGCGTGGGAAATAGATTGACCGTTATCGCCATAGAGTACGGATTTTCCGGCCACCAACAAAAGAATATAACAATCTATCAATTCAATTCACTTCTCAAGACCGTCCGTCCGTCACTTAAGTCCCAATCGTAATAGCAGACAAATGGAAAAAACGAAACAAAAAAACCGACAAAACGTTCTTTTGCTGTTGTTATTGTTTTTTTTTTTTCACATTGCTGATTATACACTCGAAGCTAAAGCTTTGTGCGCAAGCATTTAGAACAAAGGGGGATGACTGGGCACGACATCGTGGGATCGTAGTCTGGTGGTTGGATTACCTCCACCACCATCCGACACAAGACTCCTTTAGATAACGTTGGCATCCCGCAGAAGTTAAAAAAGAGAAAAAAAGACAAAATGAACCAAAACAGACAAAATATGACAAATTAAAGGTAACTGAAAGTTAACAATTTATTTACATTAGCACGGTACAAGTCTTAGAAACAAATTTACCAAGATTCGTCAAACACACGAGCATAATGATGACCAAGTTTTTCAATGTTATTCACAAAGATCGCCTTCACCACTTCTTTTTGAGTTTTGAAGGCTGTTCCTGAAAAAAAGAAGTCATAACTCAGTGGGTTAGAGCGACGATCTTTTTTTAAAGCTCAGCGCGATTTTGCTGACAGAGCCATTACTTAGCTTGCCACGTGATGTTTCAGAGTATTCTTCTTAGTAATGAGATGTATAGCAAACTAGATATCTTGACTTCACAAAATGATGATAATGTCACTCGCACTGACTCGCAGCGTTATATTTCCCTGTACAACAGTGTTACAAAGGCAAAATTACAGACCTTCCGTTCATTCTTCCCCTCTTCCCCTTTTTTAGTCACAGGACAAAAATATGAAGATACGAAAATAATTCTCATTTATTACAAAGCTTGCTGCCTCAAAAAACAACACAGCAGGTGCGTAAAATAACAAAGATAACGTTTAGATATCATGATGCTCGAAGGTAACAGTAAAAGGAGATATATCCGAAATGCGAGAGAATAGGAATTATGCACCCAGATAAGAAGTTTTATTACCTTGCTGCCACCTTTGCCGAGTAGCTTCTGGTGTCATGGCAGAACTTGGAGGAGGAAATTCCTTAAAAAGAAACGTCAACGTATGGAACAGAACTCAGTCTTTCAACTTATACTGTCGAATAAAAGTTTTGCTGTTCATTTTTCTGGATATGCATGTGGTTGACATGATTTTCATGTAACATTGAAAGTTATCTGTGAAACGTGCCGTTAATTTGAGGGCTGTGACAACGTCGTAAATTGAAATATTAGGAAATATTATACCACACCAGAAAGACAATTAAACAATGCCATGTATTCACCTTAAGGACTTTCCACATGGTGTTGAGTATGGTGTAAATTTCCTTTGGCTTCAGGAGACCAAATACAGCACCAACCCGACTAAGAGGAGGAGGCAACCAACTTGCCTACAAAAAGAAATCACAGTGTTACTGACCAGCAAAGTTTTTCTTCCTCAGCCGAAAGAGACACAGGCTTACATCTCTATTCCTTCGTAATGATTCTCAGAGGAACAAAAAATTGTGTGATTACTTAAAACTCTTTCGAATGTGGTATAGAGGATTCAGCTTTCTTTTCAAACCCAAAATTACCAAAGAAACTGAATGACGAAGACAGATCATCAAATGTTTCCTCTACCGATGGAATAAAAACCCAGAAATGAGCAGAAGGACACTTCTTGTTCTCGACGAGGAAGTCAGTGTTCTCCTTTTCAGGCAGTAACCGGTAACATTTACCGCTTGTAGTACCTCTTATTACCGTTTAAAATTGCTTGCAATTCTTGAAAATTCAACAGGTAACTTGATTGCTTTACCGGTTTGGAAATTTATTTTACCTGTCATGCTTAAAATAAGGTAGAACACTCGGAAGTTCTTCGTCAACTAATTGTCACGTATTTCATAGGCTCTGCTATGTGAATACAGCTTGCACTTCGCTTCTTTGCATTACTCACCTTTGTCATAATGTCTGTTATGAAACACGTGACTTTAAAATTTAGTGATGATTGGTCAACTGTCGAGCCTCTATATACTTCCCAGTTGGACATAACAGTTGCTAGTAGACTGGACACTAGAGGGCTGCATTTGGACAGTGATGAGACACCTGATGAGGAGAAATAAATTATGAGAAATCTCAGCACTGTCCTTGACATGATACCGTTTACTTTAGGTGAGTGATAACACACTGAGCTAAAGCTTCAGTTATGAGCTGTTCAGTACGCTCAAGACAACAGCAGTTTTAAATGGAATGAGGGAGCACGTATAAATCAGTCAGGCTTATCATCACAAAAAGCTTAAAGTGAATAGCTACGTATTAGTTGGGCGATGTACTGTTTCGCGGTAACAGTCATAAAATCCAATGATGATTGGAAATCAATTTGGGTAGATACATTATCAACGGAACAATCCAAAAAATTGAAGGGTAGATCCATCAAACAATCCATTGGTGCTAAATACAGAACACATTTTATGCCCCCCTCAAAAAAAAAAGGGTCGTTCTGATCTATAGCATTTTCGTTTTAGGTGTCACAATTCATGACCTTTACACCTCAGTGATGTTTCTAAGATCTAAACAATACCACAAGAAGTATACAAGTATCAATCAACAAAAATATTCAAGAAAAAAGGAACCACATACCTCTTGCCACAATGCTTACAAGAGCCCACAGGATTGGATTATCGTCAAATGTTTTCTTTATCCGTAAGTCGCTGTAACAAATCGACACCGTACATTTTCCATACCATCATATTGACATTGCTTATTTTATGATGCTACGGAAAATTTTTGTCGCATCGACATAAGCGTTACATTCCCCGATCATATTACTAGATTACCACTTCTGAAGATTGAAAACGGCTCCAGTAACTTCTGAATTTTCAGATCTGCTTCACCAATTGTTCCTCTTACAAGGTAAATATTTTGAAAAGATGAGCTGAATATACACATTTTGGAAGGATGTTTATAGAGTTCAGAAATCCCAAGGAACTTCCGTCAACGTATCCCTTAGGCTCTTTTTAAAAAATTCCCTGGGAATTGTTTCCTACAGCTAATTGCAGTACCGCAGGGTGTACGATCCCAATTTTAACACTAGGGGGGAAAGAGATCTTGAAATCTATAAGATATCTGATATCCCAGGGAAACACCTCCTCGAGTACATGCCTATGTTAACCTACCGTTCAATTGTAAACTTTAGACTTTCATCATCTGGCCAATCAAAGCTAATGGGTACAACATCTGGACACACAAGCTCCATCAGCAGCAACGATAAAGAGTCCACATATTTATGGTGAAGAGCAAGGTTAGAACCGTCTGCATCTCCCTGGTCACACGTGCACAGCATGTACACAACATCCACAAACACTTGACTCGTCTGCTGCCATACTTGTGGCTAAAGAAATGTAATAAATGCAATTTTTTTTAAATTGAATCTCCCAGTACTTGTCAGCTATAGAACCAATTCGCGCTCAGTTCCTCTCCTCAGTTAATAAACCAAATCAATGATGAAACATATGACAAAATAGGAAAAGAGAGACAAGAGTAATAGCTGGAGACACGAAAAATTAGGCGCAAAAGCAAAACGATAGAAAAAAAATATTTGATCAAGCAAGACAGCTCATGTCCATATTTGGTTTATTTTAATGCTATCAGCCTTTTAATACTACATTATCGTTATTTGTTCTTTGACTTAACATCATCACAACTACAGTCTGTATGTTTTCCAACTCAGAATGATATTAAAAAAATTCCCTCATTTCGAGATAACTTGTTCGTGGAATTAAAGGTAATAAGAAAATAACCTAAACCAGGGTTAAATCAGTACTTCACCTCAGGTGCCTTTATTCTGTTGTTTTTCTCTATGTTACCCACAATTCCACTGAAGAAAACCGACGAAGGAGTTAAAGGAAGGTGCGAAGAGATATGAGGGTTTCTGTTTCTCTCCAATAATGACACGTTAATCTTTGTTAAGTCCTTCTCTGAGTCACTTGGTTCAGCTGTTACGCAAAATCAATCAATCAATAAATGGGCACAGGAGCGTGCATGTATGAAATCATCAACTGAGAAAAATTCAAATTTATTTTAACTGATACCACGCTTATGGAGGACGAATGTCTGAGGTATTCAGGGATTTTCCTAATCAGGTCTCAGAAACCATTCTCATGGCTGACAAGTCCCTGCAATTCAGCCATGGGTCCCTACTCCAGTCGAATAAATTTTACAAAATATCATTGTAATTCACAAACAGATGGAAAGATGCTCAGAATAGCACACTCTATGGTCTCTAACCGTCCACATCTAAGTTAATTTGGTGGCACTAAACATTAAAGCACAGACTGAAGCAAATCCACCAAAAAAATTCAGCCCAGACATCAACCACATCCCTAAAAGTGCAAACTCTGAGCAGCATGAATTGAGAGTTCTCAAGCTTGTTTGATATTCTAACTAACCTGGTAAAATTCCACCAAATAAGGAAACGTGCTCCTATAAAAAGCAAAATGATATCAAAATGAAAAGCTACCGGGATACGAAAAATTCAAATGCTCAAATGTATTGTCTCAGTTTGAGCTAGAATTTATAGAACTGGTGCGGTTAACTTTTCCGAAATCTTTTCCTTCTGTTAGCCTACCTTTTTAAGTGTTCCCTCCACCAGAAGTCTCATCAAGTAAAGTCTGCATCTGTCATCTTTGGAGAGAAGAATAACCATCTGTCTGCAAAGTTTGATGGACTTCACTGTTTCTGCAAAGAAACAAATTAAAAACCTTTCAAACAAGTAGCGTTTGATGAAAAGGCTTGGTACAAAAGATTCCCTTGGATTTTTCTGGTCAATTCAAAAGTGCTCTTATTAAAGGTTACTGAATTTTTGCTAGTAGACCAACATGGTTTTGAACTTTTTCCCTTAGGTTAGCACTTGGTTTTCATGAAATAAACTGCACAGAAAAAACAAACAAACAAACGTGTTCTTCTGTGGTGGGTTCTGTGTGCCAATTCTTTTCATGGAGTAGATATACAGGTAAAGTATTCATCCCGTTCCAATGGAAAGGCGATGAACTGGGAAGCGATAATTAATTGCCTTCCTGCATAAGTCCCTTTAGATGGAGTGCAGAACAGCGGTAAAAAAGGTTTTAGCCCATGTTTGCCTCCTAAATTAAAATCTACTTGCACAATTTCAGCAACTTTTGGCACTTTAAAATTGACAAGAAAATTGAGGTGAATATCGGCCACAAGTCTTTAAGTTCCCTCTGTTTGATACTATGGCATGAAGGAAATGGAAAAAACACAGAAATATCTAAATGCAGTTGTAAGCTAAGGAGCTAAGTTCTTAGGGGTATTATTTGTTTGCTGAAATTCTTTCTTCATCAGAATCTTCACACAAAGTAGTCAGACACAAAACCCATGAAGAGTGTTGATCATCCAAACAATAACAAGCTCTCACCACTTATGCTTCCATCTTGTTTTTTCAGTTTGTTTAACAACTTGTAGAACAGCCCCACACAGTTACTACATATTTTCATCATGTTAGAAACTTTGTCTGGCATAATTCTGTCCAATGACAGAAGAAGCTCTAGAGACTTCAACGAGACGTCCAAGTTTGGATGAATCAGTAAATTAGTCAGGAGGCTGTGATGTCTTTGAAGTGATGTACACATCTTTGACCTGTATTGGTTGGAGATTAAGATATTTGTTGTTCATGATTAAAAATAAAACTTAACTTCATACTAAAATTCATGCTAACATCCATGAAAACAGGTGTTCCTTGAAAAAGTTCCTGGGAAACACTTTTGTTCTGTGTTTAGTGCACTGGAGTCTGTATTGAATGGCCTGGGTTTGAGTTCAAATGCCTCTCCCCACCACCAAGGCCCAGTTGTTCTAGGGGCAGATAACGCTGTCCAATGGATAAAACACTATCCAGCGGATGTGTTGACAATACATACAACGCTATCCACTGTATAGCATAGTATGTATTTATCCAGTAGATAGTGCTATCCATAGTTTGAACAACCTGACCCTGCAAGGGTGTAAACGGGTATCAGTGAACAGTCACAGAAATCCTGAAAGCAGGAAGGAGAGGGGGGAGAGGTTGGTGCGGGTCGGTGGTACATAGTTCTTGTCTCTCTTTTCTGATTTTGTCATACATTTATTAAATTTTATGTATCAATTATATTTCTTGATCTAGTTTATAGCCCTGTGATGATTAACTACACAAGTTAGGCCTCTTTATTCATAAGATGATTTTACCTCTTTCAAATGCATAACAAGTCTTCTCTTATTAAGCTTGGCAACAATGTTTTTTTTAATTTGCAATATCACGTACCTTAGCAGATTTTCATTTTTGCTTCCAATGGAAATTAATTCATGAAGATTACTCAACAAACCCAGCAACTTAAAAGTAATGATATGATCAAAATAAGATTACATTTGTCTACGTTCGTCTAGTATATATCTCGTCTGTATTTGTCTTTATCACTGTTTTCTCAGTCTCACGTCTTTATAAACGCATTCAGCTCATCCAGGATTCATTTTGCTTGAAGTAAAGTTCCAGTTTGTGTGAAAACTGATAAGACAGATGTAACTACTTGGAAAATGCACTTTTTAAAATTGATAATCATGAGATCTGACCACTTTTAGTCCAGAAGTGCAAATATCAGGATCCAACAGTTTCATTTTCATTCTACCTTAAAAATGCTGGACTCAACTTCAAAAAGTTGATTTGGTTGAAGGAACTGAAAAATTAACTTCCTCACAATGATAAATGTGATGGCTCAGTACCTTCTTGGAGTGTGATGCAGTGCCAGGATACTTGCCAGTTGACAGACATGTTTTCACAACATCATCCAACAGCTGTGTGTAGTACAGCTCAAGATCACAATGCAGTTGAACAAATAGCTGAAGCTAAGAACAAACCATCACTATCAGATAAAACCTCTACCTGTAAACTGTCAATATCTAGACAAAAAGACAAAATTTTAGTGTAATCAGCTACTGATGAAAATTGCCTCTTCCCAGCACATGCTTTCTATGGGCCACTGATTGGTCTCCATCATTTTTAATGAGAGCCTAAAATAAATGGCTGTCATGAATGATAATTGACAGCTAAGGAACTAAAACCTGACTGTCATCTAATATCATCTCATTAATATCATTTTTTTCATTTCAGGCATATTTATAATATTATGCTAACATTTTAAAGAATTCTTTTTACAAGCAAAGTCACAAATTTTACCAGTTTTAAGCACCAGTTCACTTCATATTCAATTGAATCTGCATACGAGACTGACTGATACAGCCTCTGTAACCTGTCCTTATGTACACTTGTAAAACAGAACACCTTGCAGAATTTGCTAAATTTATGTATGTATATGGATCTGATGCTATTGCACATTGCATGCAACCCCTCTCCCCCCGCTCTCCTTCCTCTGCAGCAATGCCTGTCTTTCCTTTGACACTTCAGATACTTCAAGTACACTTACAGAAAGTTGTAAAATCTTAGAAAATTCAGCTATTTATAAATTAGCTCTTAACCCTTTAAAGGGGGGAGGGAGGGAGGCAGTGTCAGAGAACTGTTTACATCTCAGACCAGATAATGTCAGCAGACAATTATATGTGCATATTTTTGCGCCAAATAGAGGCTAATACTTATCTACTTCATTTAAGTTACAAATTGATGACATCTTACTGATTGACTGGATCTACTATTCAGCAGAACATGGTTGAGAATCCCTGCTGCTAAAGTTCTTCCACTGTAAATGGCAATGGTGACTAACATTTGAAAAGTGTTAGAAACCCTGTAAACATAAAAATTAAAAGTTTTTTAAATGACTTGACCACTTCTCCATTGAGATGTACATGTACATTTGTATGGGCATAATCAAGACACATAATTAATTGAACTTTTTGCACTTCCAGTTTTTTTCCACTTTTCTATCTTCCAAGTTGAAAAAACTGTGAAATCTTGCAAAATCTTCAAAAATATTAATATTGAAACCTAGAAACTACAGGGTTAAAACAAAGAAGTCAACACTTATAATAATTATGATATTTCTTTGATGTTAGATTGACTGTATTATTATAGATGATAGGCATGCAGAGGCTGATCACAGAGAATACAATCATTCTGTATTCACTCAGTATAATGACTCAGTACAAGAGTTTGATCATGATTCCTTTGGTGCAGGTTGTTAAAATGTTGATAAAATGAAATGATTGTCACAAAAAACCATATTTTTCAGCTCTTCTGTTATGTGGCTAGTTAAAGAATGTAGAGGTTCTTTAACCCTTTAACTCACAAGATCTGAGCATTAATTCTCTTCTCTAGCTGCTTTACACATATCCTTGTGAATTAGTTATGAGAATTTGGTGTTTGATCAAGATAACTTCTTCCTGATAAGTTTGAGTATTCTCATTAAAATAACTGCATGTGGTGCTACATTGGTGAGAGAGTATAACAATGAAGGTAATTTGGTATCATCACCTGAGTTGATGTTGTAAATTGGCCACTGTTGAGAGTTTCAAAGGTGATGTTTAACAAAAAGCCAATGCCCGAAACGTCAGCTTTGAAACTCTTAATGGTGGCCAATTTATGTTATCACCTCAGTTGATAATATCAAATTATCTTGTTATTCTCATTACCTGTTGGGTGGATATATGTATGGATATTATAGGGAGAAGTTGCATCTTAACCACTTTTGGGAATTAAAAGTCAAAGGACACTAGAGAAAATTAAGCAGCACTGTCTTATAGTGTACATAATGGTTATGAAATAAAACTTCATTTTGACTCCAAGAAATTAAAAATTTAATTAAAAAAGATCTATTGGCCAAGGAGGCTTGCTTAAAAACATGCACATACAAAAAAATAAACTAATCATGTCCTCAACTTAAATTTTCACATACACGATGGAACTTTTTGTCATAAAGCAGAAAAGATGTTTTTCTGGAGTACTAACTTGTTCCCAGTTGACGAGATAAGTGCCTGGCACAGATCTTTTGTGTGATGAGCCATTTCTGTAAGAAATTCACTCTCTGTTTTTCTAGTGTCAAGTGAAGCTATGGTTGTGTTCTTGTAAAACAGGCTGTGCCTCTCTATAGCAATGTCTTTAAGTCTAGTCAGCAGTAATCCCTGCAAATTTACATCATTTGAATTAAATTTCTTTTTTCAAGTACAAAGGAAAAGACATATAATTCAAGTCAATACTGTATCATTCATTACAATGGTTAATATGAGATCTAAGAGCACATCATGACATATATATCAATCAACTTATTCCCCATCTTTCTTATTAATTAAGTTGCATAACTCACCATCGTTAAACTGAATGTTTTCTGCAATTCAGCTTGAGCCAAATCAACCTCCTTTGACTCTGCAATTAGTTATGAAATACAAGACCACAAATTATTGACAGTAAGATGCTCTTTTATTTTATACAGTACAAGACTATTCAATGGGAAATAAGCAATTTTCAAATGCATGCAAGAAACTTGTGTAATGTATATTAACTAACATGCATCCAGAAATTATTCAACATACTATAAAAATTACATAGAGTGACCATTGTTAGAACTTCATGCTCTCTTGGAAATGATTTCAAGAATTCATTTGATTGAATGTTTTGCTGCAAATGCAGTCTCCATTTTTTCCATTCTGTTACTTTCAGAGCACTTTCTCTCAATCAAAAGCTTCAAAACACTTTTGTCATATGAAATACATGTAGAGATTTCATACAGTCTTCACCCAAACATTTAATAATAATAATAATAATAATTATAATAATAAAAATTTGAGTATTTTGTTGTGTGATTTACATACAGTTACTATACTATGTGAATCATTGTAAGGCACTACTGATCATTTTTGTTAGAAATGATCAGTAGTGCTCTACAATGATTCACCGATAAAACTATTCTATAACAACCTAAGCCTACCATGTAAAATGTAAATGAGACTTACAATAAAATAAAACAAATCAGGTTAAATAATGCTCATAAACACTGAGATTCGCATTTAAAAATTGTCAATGATGGGATAGCATGCAATTCAGCGAGCAAACTATTCCACAAACATGGTGTGTATTAATAGTGTATTCTGACATACTGTTAGTGCTGTAGTTCTGATGAACACTGTTAGTACTGTCAGTAGTACTAATGAATAAGCAAAATCTAAAGGAAATCTTTCCTAAAACAGGCAGCATATGGAAAAAGTAACACCGAATTTTGTATTTTAACTGATACCTCTATCTGTAGGCTTCTGACAGTTTTCAAGAAGAAGCTGAAACACTTCAAGTGCTCCTTCCTCCATGTTCTTTATGACATTGACAACTGATGACACCAAGCTGAAGAACATTGGGGGGGAAGTAAAATCTTCAAGAAGTTTTCAATAAATAAAAATAATTTCCTTATTGGGCAATGGATAGTATTGAACTAAAAGTTAAAGTCAAACAATTCTCTAATTCTATATGTAAATGGTAATGTGCTACTAAATGATGATAAAGCTGAGTGACACTGCATGCATATTTGGAATGTGCAATCTAGTGCAAAATATAAAGTTTTCCACATAAAGGAGGGACTAAGAAAACAAACAAACAAACAAACAAACAAATTTTCAATAATTAGTATGGTGAGAAACAAATCAAAGTGCTGGAAATATTATTTTGTTTGTGTGTGATAAAAATTATGTGTGACTAGCTACAGTATAATCCGGTCAAACTACTGCAGCAGCTTTATTCATCTGATTTGAAATTTTTTTACCTAATTTTCCAGTCCCCTCTCTTCTTAGACTGCTCCAGCAACTGAAGAAGGACTTCAGGAGTCACTAAAAAATAGGAAAAAATAAATTTAACAGCAATACATGTTCAGTCAACTAAATCAACAGGCATTACCATCATTACTGGACTGTAAATGTTTTGAAACAGTTTAATTTTCATGTTTCTAATTTGCCTTGTAATTAAAATGAATCATTGTTTGAAACAAACTTTAAGGTTTTATATTACAACTAGAAAGAAACTGATTTGAAAACTTGTAACAAGAAAAAATTTGAACATAACATAATTTTACAACATAACTGTATTACTTTGGTATTTACCTAATTGTAAACCTAATATTAAGAACAGCTGTATGATTCCCATTATATATCATCTCAATATAATTTTGCAAATCACATTCGATGGTTCAAACATCAAAACTAAAATTCCCACCACAAAGTTTGGTCTTTTTGCAAGCTGCTCCATACTAACTAAGAAATTAAAAGAATGAAATAGTACACAATTTGTACTATGTGCACATACTTATTGACTAAGTAGGAGGACCTGATAGAAAATATTTAGCTTGAGGTCATCAAGTATGGACAAGGTGCAACAAGATCTGTAATGTGTCACGACCAAAACCCAAACATTATACCATCTGGCATGATCTGACTCAGTCAATAAGTATTTAACTACAGACACACATCAATTCTCTTCCCTCCTTTCTCATTTCAGCTAGCATATCACAGAGCTGCAACAATGGCCATTCACCTTTTTCTTGCCCTACATGTACTTAGACCATGACTTACAAGCACTTATACATGGATTTTTTCAAATGTTTTTCAATGAAAGGAAAGGTGAGGGCAGGGTCTTAGGGCTCCTATGAAAATAAATTTAAAATGAATTCACCCCATGATAATCAAACCCAAAAAGAAACAAAACAATACTTACAGGCAGTAATAAATTCAGTGATAGTTCCTCTCAGTAAGTCAGGTGATGATGTAGCAATGTGTAGAAGAAAAGGAAGAGTGGATAACCGTTCTTCTCTTTCAACATTGGACTTTGGAGAGGTTGCGATACTTTCCTGAAAATCATAAACACAAAAATACTTGAAACCAGTCTTGATAAACATATTCATGCTGGGGTTCAAATTTTTCTTTGGTTCTGAATTCTTCAAAGCAGCTGATTTTTTTTCTTTGGTTTGTAACTAAGAGAGAGCAAGAACAGCTTCACTTACATGAAACATGGCTAGCAGGTTATTCTTGACTTCTTGGGAATGTTGAAGAGAAAGGTATGTTAGAACATGCACTACAGTAGGGGTCATGACAAAGGTATCACCACCCCCTCCCCCTGGGGAATGACTTGCTGTGTATTCTTTAAGTGCAGCAGACAGCAACTTAGGAATAAAGACCTGATGGAAATGAGACCTGCAGCAAAAAATGTGTATTTTAATATTCACCTCATAAACAATAGATCATTAATAGAGACTGATGTACTGATGATGTTCACAAAAGTTACTGTACTATACTTGTAAATCACATTAATTTATTACATTATTATAGTTTACATTAAAATCACATTTATTACATTATTACAAATTTAAGTTAATTTATTATGCTGTTATAGTAAATTTACATTAAAATCACATTTATTACGTTACTATAAATTTACATTAAATGTACACAGACCTGTTTAGAAATCAGCTAAAACAGTTCAATGGGCATTCACATGTGTTTAGACATGAATACATGCCAAGGGTTGTTAAAAGAATGATTAAAACTTAATAACTGACTTGCAGTGACTTTGACAAGCATAATAATTTCGGGAAGCTCTGATTCTTACACATTTGGCCTACAAAGAACTAGTAAAGTATTTCTGTGCATGGTGCCATGATATATGTGCTAGGATTCTCTCCATAAACAGAGGAAAATCTCATACACATACCCAATATGAGCTACAACCCAGTCCAAATGAGGAGAGCTGTTCATTGCTATTTGAAGCAGACACTGCACACATACGTCAGCCTCACCACGGCTAACTCTGGCAAATAAAAAATTTTAAAACAATAGTTGCTATTGATAAAAAGTTAAAATTGAACTAAAAGGAACTCAATAATCATTTGTTTGGTTGTTGTTTTTTTTTTTTAACAAGATTTAAATAACAACAATTGACTATGATCATGTCTGCCTTCTGTAATGAAAACATTACATGTAGGTGCATTACTTTGCATTTTTAAATAACTATGAATTATTCGTAGAGCTGAATAAAACACCTTATGAAGCAAAATTACCCTCAAGCCATTCTTACACTGACAAGAAATATGTTACACTGCATGCATACAAACATACAGGTAGCTTACAATTTAGCACTGCAATGGACTGTAATATCCATCAATCTTTGAACAGCAGGAAATAACATCCACTTATGAAGACCCTCACTTAGAGACAAAGTTATGCCAGTGGCTGTAATGAAAATATAATTATTCATGATATTAAAAAAAGATGAAAGAAATTTGTTTTTGTCACAAGTATAGACATTTGCATAAATCTTTTATCATCCAATTAGATGGGCAAGGGGTGTAAGGGTGTAAGGGTGTAAATATTCAGCTAGATCATCAAAATGCTGGTCAAACTGACCTCTCCTTCCATTATTCTTTGTGACAACTTGCCCAAGAAGGTTCAAAGACCACTACATAGAAATAAAAAAATAGATTACGAGTTTTAATAGGTGCATAATGCAAAATAATTTCTATTTATTTTCACTTGTAATTAACTGGAAAGTGGTCCTGAGAAGGTTCTGGTTTATTCCAAAATTAAAAACTGCAGTTATAATAAATTACAAGGTCATATGCCATACATATTCATACAATTTGTATCACTACACTACACTCAAAGACACTGAAGTAAGGTTCTTGAAGAGTTTGCTTTTGTTACAATTAAATAATCAGTAACAAAAAGAGAAAAGAAACCAAAGAAAAAATAAATGAAACAAAATTTTTAAAAATTAAAAGCAAAAAAGGAAGAAAGGAAAACATAAAAACTACAGGTAGAGAGAGTCTACCTCTTCAGATCAATAGAAGCTCATAATAGAATAATGTAATTTGCCCAGCTCAGGAGGAAGATGACAGCAAAGATGCAAAAAGACAAGCCACTACATTCATAACCTTAAAATCAAACTATCTGAACACTGTCAGTATTACCTGACAAATAAGTGGTGCCCAGGCAGTAGGGTTATTATCAACAAATCTGCATACAACTTCACTGACATTCTGTAAAGCAGATGTTAACTCAGGGTCCAGGGTGTCTCTATGACAGGCAGCTGTAGTCCCTTAAATGCATTAAGAAACTAACCTCAAAATAGTCTTCTTTATGCATTTGTTTGATCAAATGTTCTTTTTGAGACTTAATGAAATTTATACTTAGACCTCTCTCACCACCCATCCCTGATGATAGAACTTATTACAGTCTAAAGATGGCAGACACTACATGAGGTTCTACAGTCAAATATACATCAGTGACATATAACACATGACATATATCACATTTACACACACACACATACACACAACCATAATTTCTTAAAAGCACTGAAGCTTCCCCCTATAACATTGGGATGGTTCCATCCATTCAGAAAATGAAAATGATGTGCTTGTGTAGTTTGTAAAACTGTACAATCATGAAACCACTCTACTATAAGAAGGATAATTGCAAACTCTTTTCAAAATCAATCTCCACATAGTAAGAGAGCTTCTTAAGCATATTACCTGCCAATGGACAAAGTGCAACAACAAAAATGTTACCGGGCTAAGTTAGAATTTGAAATTCAACAACAACAGAAAAATCAGCTGTATTATCTTACGGAGTGCACAGCTGTAGACAAATATGCAAACACACATAGAAAAAAAACGTACCAGATAATGCTTGCCTTTCTAACTCTACCATATGTTTTTGAACAGCTTCATGAAACACATCGCAGAGTTGCTCTAAAACGGCATGTCTTGCACAAGGAAGAGAGTGCAGCAGTGCAATCGCACACTGTGTTTTCTCAGCGTTGGACAAGATTTTCCCTGTTTCATCCTTGCCACTCAGAAAAGACTGCAGACGAAGCCTTAAACTCTTGTTTTCAGGCAAATTAAAAAAAAATTATGAAAGTACACTTATAAAATCAAAATGTGAGTTTGTGCGTTAATCAATTGGATAAATTTACAAAAACGTGCATGCATACCATATTTCGTAAACTAAAACAAACCAATCAAACCATTTTATTCAAAGTAAGGTAGAGCTAATCAATATAAGATTAAAAAATTTATGGGTTCAACGGTGGAGAAGATGAATTTAAACAGACTTAAGGCCTGAAAAAATGCTCCGAGATTTACCTGGGATTCTTCCGCTGCTTTGTCCGCCATTTTGCATCTAGTAGTCGTTCCAGTCTTTTTCTTGTGTGGAATCTCACCGCAGACAAGTAATAATAACGGGCTCATATTTCATCAGCTGGAATCTGCACGTCTTGCAGCATTATAGGTTACCAATAGTTTAGGATGGGAACTTGTTTTCCTTGTGGAAAAAGCTCTTTCACTTTTACTGTGTGAGTGAGATGACATGTAAGCTGACTCGTGATTTGAAACATGTTTCGCTCGCCGCGATTGTTGCAAATCACTGCCTTGTTTGCGTTGTCGCTTGGCGCAGGAACTCTCCTGTTTCTAACAGCGCGATATTTGAAACGGAAGCGCCGTGAACCATCAACAGGAAAGAGCTCATCGTACAACGATCGGCCTTTGAGAAGAAAGAGAACTTTCACAGCAGGTAAAGGTAGGACGGCAAAGTGGTTTGATTTAAATAATAATCCTCCTTCATGTCGACAAACTAGGCTTGAGCTGATAGAAATCATATTCGCGAAAGTAGCTAGCGAGCCCACACACATCAATAATTTAGTTTTCCAGTTTATCTTTCAATGTTGATTGTACATTGTACACGTTACATTTTTTTCAGAAAAATTAATTTGTATAATTTTGTTCAGGTAGAGGTATAATTATTTTTTATCCCATTTTTTCTGAGAGTACTTCAAACTTACTGTTTACTGGGAATTATTTTGATCATGAAATAGCCAGATTATCAATAAATAAATCGGAGAGGCATAATTTGACAAAACCTTTCCATGGCTGTGACACAATGTTGATACTCAGTAAATATGATATAGAAAGTGTTTCATTGTTTGTTGAAGGACATTTTTTATATTTTTCACGTACGCGACGAGGTACTTGAAATGGCAAGTCATTAGAGCTAATATGAAATTCGTTGTCTGTTAAATTTCAGGCAAATATTAATGAACGTTGCTCAGGGAGAAGTTTGTCACCGCAAAATATGTGGTTAATATTGACAGAAACAATACTGGTGGTTTCATAAATTCAAAAAAAATTCGGCTTGGCCACGATAGAGATAGTTTAGTGCCTATGTGAGAGTCTATGGAATGTAAAATGATGATTCCTCTTCCACATATGTATTAGTTATCTCCTATTATTGTAACACCATATATCATTTCAGGTCAAAAGTACTTTAAACTGCGGCTGCACGTGCAGTGTATATAGGGTTTTCTGAAGAAATTGTGTTCAAAAAAGCTGATAAACATTAAAATATAAGTGCATACATACCTGTATTATAATCACTCAATAAATAACACCAGAAGTTTATTATCCTATTAGTCATGCAGTGTGCAAAGACATTGAAATTTTATTTTTGATCAGTATCACTATGTTTACTATATTAGTGGATTTGAATTCTTTTCACATACTGCATCAATGTATTAGAATGTATGATTTCAAGTTTGAAACAACTTGTGACAGAAAATTGACAGAAGGACAAACTACTAACAATGAAATAGATTACTGTACTTTTGCAGTGTAGCATTCTACAGAAATATCAGTCATACACTTATAGCCTAAAATTATTTAATCTGAGAACCTCATTAGTATTGACAGTTGCTATCAACAACCAGATAATGATTGATTTATACTGTATATATATGTACACCTGTATGTCTTTTTATTTATTTTTGTACTCATTTATTCAAATTTTCCTTCCTTCGACAGGGAGCTCAAGAATATCTACAGCTGGTGAATCTTCCAGACACACCCCTAGAAGTGCAACAAGCTTAGATAATGAAGTTGTGTTCCGACGACATGCAGCAAATCTTGAATCACCAAATGCTGCTTTGGATGATGGTGTTCTAGTTAATGGTAAATAATTGGATGATTATTTTCTTCTTGCTAGAGTTCATGAACTGTATAGTTTAGGCTTAGCCTAATATTACTTAAAATAAAAATATTACTGGACAGTACAAATTACATCAATTTCTACCAGATGGAAGGGTTTCTGAAGATAGTGCTATTGACCTAGGAGATGTTATCACAGATGAAGAAGAAATTGTTGAGGAGCTTATAAAGAGAGGTATGTTTTTTATTCATAATCCTGAATACTTTAAAACTTCTGATTTTCCAAAGTCCTTGGGTACGAAAGAGCTATGATCCTGTGCAAGTTAATTGTTTCTCATTCAAAGGACATTACCCCATGAATGTAGATAAACATATCAGTCTAAATGTAAATTAAAGTTGTACAACCATTTTGAGAGTCTCTTGAATGTAAAGAGCTACATGTATAATAAAGATTTTAACTACATTTTGTATAGAGGTGTCTTATTTCTTTTAAATAAGTATTAAAGTTCATTTTCCCATATTTGACCTATCAATTGAGTTTTGTGATACAAAACAGGTGTTGAAAACTTTGACATGGCATTGGAACATTGGTATGAAGCTACAGATTATGTGATGGAATGGCGGCGTCCAGGTCTCTCTCAAGGAGGAAAAAACTCATTCTTCCTTATTGAAGCAGACAAAAAGCTGAATGCCTTGATTAGTGGTTCCAGAAAGCTGCGGAAGGTGATTGAACAGTATGACCTCATGGAGACACCTTTAACACGGACACCAAGCAACATGTTGACATGGATTGATGATGGGAGTTTACAGGAGCAAATACCCTTGGAATTCAATGAAGATCTGGGGGATCAGAACTCTTCTGATGCTGATTCCTTTGTGTCTGCATCTGATAATGCACAGTTAGAGGTACTTTTGTTGTTGGAAGTATTCAATTTAAATGTAGAATAATTAAATATTAAAAGATAATTGAAGTTTAATTAAAAGATGATATTCCTTAAGCCACCTTGGAATACCAAGCAGGAGGTATTTCAATTTTTTCCATTTAACCCTGTTTGTTTGTTTGTTTGTCTTTTTTTTTAGCTCTTTCTCTGTCTCCTCTCCAACTTTCCGTCTTCCTTTTGTGTTAGTCACAGATTCCAATTCTTGGCAGCACTTTATCAGATAGTGGTCTGGTTTATTTTATGGGTATTGTATGTGTAGACCTCCAGACTTTTCACAAAAAAAATTTGTGGAAAGGAAAGTGTCTCTTTACTTTACCATATGATGATGAAATTATGACTTGTACTCAAGTTGCCAGAATTATGTGACTTTGTTAGCTTCTCAATGCTGCTTTTGGGCTGAGCAATCAGACAGCATTAAATGTATAAATAGTGTGATGTTTCTTCTGAGTTAAAACATATATTGTGCCAATTTTGTTCTGTAGTTTGACGATATCACTGATGAGAGACTTGTCAATGAGTCACAGCGACTGAAGCTGTTTAGGGAAGCTGTTCTTCGTACAGCTGGAAGTCATAGGTACACTAATAGAATTTAGTGCTTCTATCACAAGCAAGTAAACTACATGTATCGACAGCTCTGTAATGGAATAATTCAATAATGATGACAATTTCATGTGTTTTACCACCATAATATTATTAATAGTTTATGTACATGCAAACTTTCATAAGTTCAACAGTTGGAAGATTGATTTAATATATGCTGTACATATTTTGATTGTTTTTTTGTTTACTCTTTCAGTCACCTTGAGTTTTATGTGTCTGGACTGCAACATTACATTCGTCATGGTATCTGCTGTCGTAAGATCAGGTGCAATGGTTAACATAATAAGTAACATGAAATTGGAAAATCCCCTTTTATTTTTTTTTGTTTGTGTATCACAGTAGCTGTACCTTTTACATGACTCATTCACTATAAGTGTAAATTTAAGTTAAACTTAAATTTGTTCCTATGCATGGTCACGACATGCCAAAATTCTTTTCCTTTGTTTTTGTGTCAATGTTATAATTTGTTTTATTGGAAAGCAAGTTTTTCCTCAGTTTGTATTAATTTAAGTTGTTTTAAGTTCATACATATTATAAATGATTTCATGTCATCATGAAATAAATATTTATTTCCCATGATAATGTAAACTAAGAAGATCCCATGTTTTCAAAATATAAAGTCAAACAATATTTGCTCTTGTCCTTGGACAGATCTCATTTCATTCTTTCCAATTTTTTGAAAACATAGTTACAACATTGCTTGTTTGTTTTTATTTATTTTAGAACAAATGAGGTGGGATGTGAAAGTGACATGGAATTTCTTGCCAAAGTTCACTGTGTGAGACAGGCTTCTGAGGTTTGATTTGTTTTCATCTTTTTCAGTGATAGTAAATTTAATTAATTATATGACATGCCCACTATGGGTTTTTTGGAAAGTCCTTTCATCAATTTTTAAATTGTTTTTCTCAGATCCTCTTTGTCTCTTTTTTTTCAAGATGGTGTTTTTGTCTTCAGAAACACGACAGTGGTTCATTGATGCTGGTAGACAAGCTTTGTCAGCTGTCATTGAAAGTGCAGGCAAGGTAAAATACTGAGTGCAGACTTTGGCATTTGATTGTATGAACATCTTTCTGTGATTACTTACTATTTCTGTTGCAGATATCTCCTAATCTTTACTACTGACAGTAGTTTAGGACAAAAATTTCCTGGTGCAGTTTTACAATCTGCTTTTACTACCAGTGTACTATAAAGTTCCTGCTAGATTTTTCAGTAAAAGTGAAGAACAGTTCTTGAAAGATACTGTCAGCCGACTGTTGGCCAACTGTCAGCTGACAGATGGCCAACAGTTGGCTGACACAGTTTTCGTTATGTTTCTAGCCAAAGTCTCAGCTGACTGTCAGCTAACAGTCAGCGACCTGTTGGCAATCTTTCAGTAACCTGTCAGTAACTTGTCAGTGGGTCATAAACTGAAATGATCGTAAATATTTACCAATTTATTACTTCCAAAACTACATAAAAAGGGGAAAATTCATTTCAAAAAGATACCTTGCACTATACTCTCAATAGCTATAATGGCTTTTGCCCACTTTTTTGCATTGTCTAGCAAAACTCGATTTCATTCATCCGCCATATTGAAAAGTTTTTCTAGTTCCCAATCCCCTAAATGCACTACAGTTTTCTATCAAATTTTGGTTAACTTAACACTCTCGGCTGACTGTTGGTAATGTGTCAGTAATGTGTCGGAAACCTGTCAGCTGACTGTTGACTGACAAGTTACTGACAGCCGAAAATGGGAACCATTGTTCACTATTACCCATTTTTCTTGATTGGGTATCAGTGAACTTGTGATTTAACAGAGTACACTGAAGTGCATGTGTGTACAGGTGAAAATGTGAATGATGTAACCCTGTTCAGTTTGTCTGACTTCACTTTGTGCAGGATCCATCTGACTTTCAAGCAGCATTTGATGAGTTGGTGGAGTACTCGTCATCAGCAGAAAATTGGGGGCAAATCAAAGAGGAGCTGAATGAGAGAGGAGTAAGACTAACAATGAACACTGTGGCTTAAATCTTGCAGTGAACTTACAATAAATGCTGTAACTTAATTTTAAGTGAATTAAGTTCAAATCAGACCAAGATTAGAGTGATTTGTAATTTAAGCTGCAAAATACTGTTGACATATATGAGTCAGCATCAAATTTTATTTAGTCAGTCTTGTCTTCTGATAAAATAATAAAGTATTTTGGGAAATTACTCAGAATTTCCAACAAGTCACATTAAGGTGCAAAAACTGGTTCATTATGGGTCATATTGCCGGTGGGAGCACAGATAGTGCTGAATACTTCTGGTTTTTGATTTGCAGGAACTAGGATTTTCCAAAACTCTACGTGAGGCCTCTCATGTAGAGGTCTGGAAAAATTCTCACACCTTAAGTAAGCTTAGTAGTGTAGTAGGAAATGAACTTACAGTGTAAAGTGGCACAACTTGGTCCTGTCCTGGCTACCAAAATGTGATTGTTATGGTGTAGATTATCTGAATTTGTCAAGTATTGGATATTTTGATATGTCTGACAAGCTCTTTTCCTTTCTTATTCATCCTCTGTTGTACCCATTGAATAATCTACTACCAAGAATGTGTACAAATCCATGTAACATATGATGATTCAGTTTGAAAATTATGTTCTGTGGTCTCTTTTAAGGTGGTTGAAATTTCTTTCTATGACGTACTTCTGGACTTTGTACTATTAGATGCATTTGATGACTTAGCCACCCCTCCTTACACAGTAGCCACTGCTGTTCAAAACAGATGGTTGTCAGCTCGAATCAAGGAAACAGTATGTGATGATAAAAACTCAGGCTTGCCTGTATTCATGCATTTTTTTACGAGGGGTTTGTATTGTACACTAACAATAATTTCAAGGCCACATTTTGATTTCTGTTGACCCTGAGAGGGAGGGGATAGGTAAGAAAAAGCTTCTTTCCCCCAGAGGAGAATGAAGTTTTTGTTTCCAGAAAAAAAAAAGAATCTACATTATACTGTACATAATTGCAATCCCACTGAACAAAACAGCTCAAGGGAATGAAACTGCGGACAAAGAGCCACACTGCGGTGTGAAAGCACTTCTTAAATTAACTTTCTTGTGACATGCAAAGTGTCTGCAAATAACGCTAAGGCATTTTATTTAGCTACAGTTTTAAAATTTTATTTGCCTTTAACCATTTTACTGTTGTCATCTGAACATTCTGCAATTATTTCCATTACAGCATTGTACATTCTTTATTGTTGATGTTATTTTGATGTCAACAGGCCCTTACGACAGCCATCTGGGGAGTTTTAAAGGCTAAAACTTCTTATCTTAAGGTATGTTGCCACTTCCAGCCATAGATCTTTTTATTATTTTAACTGATGTTTAAAACCAAAATACACAGTATTTATAGGCGATTCTTTCTTAAACTGAGACAGAATTTCTTCTTACAATATCAATACAATATCAAGCAGACAAGTTATGAGAATGAAGAAAAATATAAATCAGGTGATTATAAGTTGATCCAATTCCAAATTCTCTAAACTGACATCACAAAAGTTTCATGGCAGACAGTAAGGAGAACTACTTATGAGATCTTAGGAGTGAAAGTGTCAAATCTAATTTACACCAACAAAAGTTGCAGCTATTGTAACTAGTGGTGTCGTTTTTTTTGTTTGAAACTGTAACTTTATATAAGCAGGGACAAAACAGGGGCCTCTCTGTATAAATTGTGTTGATACTCGACTGATTTTGGACGTTTTTGTGAACACAGGACCCTTACGGTTTCATGGCTCATTTCTATGTAGTGGCGCAGTATGTTTCTCCAGTTCTCGCCTGGGGATTCCTGGGATCAGATGACAAACTGAAAATAGTCTGTGAATACTTCAAGGTAAATTAATTTAAATCATTTGACAGTCAAGCGTATGTCATTAATTTGATATAATTCAGAAACTGTATTTTCTCGAATAACTGCTCAGGATGATTGATTTTTGTGTATACATGCAGGCGGCTTTATTTTCTACCCTTAAAGTATTATTTTCATCCTCTGCAGAGCCTTATCCTTGATTTCATCAGGGACTTGTTTGACTTCACAACCTGTGATTATTCGTCAATTGAAAGCTTGTGCGACTCAATCGTGAGGCTGGCCAAAGAAAGAAGCGAACAGTTATTGAATAGCGATACCTGTGAAACCAAGCTTCTCCAAGCAGCTGCTTCTTTTGATGAAACACTGATCGAGGCACCGACCACTCCCAGCAAAGAAGTTAAAAAAAATGAAGAACACGTCTGAAGGAGGACGTTTTCAATTCAACTTGACAAAAGAAGGTTTTTTTAACCATGTCTCCGAACCTTGTTAATCAAAAAGAAAAATGACTTGCGTGATGCTAAGAGTGGAAATAGCGCGATGAAATAATTCGGATTTCTAATTTAAGGCCAGTTACGTTGAAGTGCAAGATTTTGGGAGTATATTTGAGTATATTTTTATCTTGGAGGCAAAATCTTGCTACTCAGTGGATCACAAATCTTGGTAATTATTTTAAATAGGAAATGATCATAAGATATTTCATTTTATTGTTGGTGGCTAGAAAATTGGACATCTTACTTTTTCTCGAGTTCTCCTGATATTCCTTGTCTATTTCGTATCAAGAGTCACTTTTCCATGCCAGTTTTGGCAAGGTCAGAAGACTTGGAGGTGAAATGGCTTGCCAGTTGTACATATGAGTAACAGTAGATGTACGGTGTGAGCATTTTTTAAGGATTCATGAGTACAGAGCTATACAAAGATGCTTGTGACTTGAAACAAAAGTATTCGGTTTTGTGTGTCCCCTCTTAAAGACAATATCATTAAATTATTTTAGTGTTTCAGATGAGTGTAATGACATTTTTGTAACTGTTTCTTATTTATTATTACCTACAAAATAACTTTATTCATCCCTTATGGCGAAAAAAACACACTTTACTGATCTCGTCAATTATTCCAGCCTCACCTCTTTGTTTTACTACCATGAGTGATCAAGACAGAATTTCTTCTTACAATATCAATTCAATATCAAGCAGACAAGAGATGAGGATAAAAAATATCAATTAGGGGATTACTACTTTATCCATCAACAAATTCTCCAATTCATCACTAAGAATTGTATGTCAGACAGTAAGGAGAATTACTAATTAGATCTGAAGGGAGTGAAAGGTTTAAAAGCTAGAACTCGAGTAACGAAAAGGCTTGGTATGTTTACAAGGCCTTGAAGTTATGATTAAGTCGAGGCTAAATAAACAGGAATTACTGCCTGTGAAAAAGGGACAGCTGGTTCTAGAGCAAGATTAAAGGTACCCACCCCCTACTCCGTCCTCGTCCTAATGTCAAGCTAGATGTTCCTATACCATGAAAAAAGGAGTACTTTTTGTTGTTAGACAAATTTCCGAGTTAGTTCTATTTCAGAGGTATCATCTAAAGCAGCACAGACGCGCTGGTTCCAACCACAAACAACAACATTGACGTATTTTTACAAGTTACTCCTGGAAGGACGAGTAGTAAAACAGGGTTTGATTGCAGGCACTGCGGAAGAAATTCAGCTCGTTAACCAAACCTTCTTGAAAAATGGAAAAGCACTTCTGCTGTTCCTCAGGTTCTACTTGGACAAAGAAGTGATCTACGAACCTTTCCAGGTGGCTTTTGTGGCCCGGGCTTGGCTTGTTGTTTTTAAACCAGACGTAATATGGGTTGTTCTTGTCGACTGAATCTTGGGATCGTTTTGGCTCAAGGCTCGTTCATATCCCACGTACGTTGCTGCAGCCGGCCCCATAGCCACGCTGTCTGAATTTCGAAGCCGCCATGTTTGTAGAAAATCCTGGTTGTAGCGTTTGAAACTCTCTGATTGGGTCCTGTAGAGTAAAGAGAATTCAGGTTTGCCAACTTCTTGCATCTTCTCAGCAGCTCGTTCGAAAGAATCCACTGCATTGAAGCAATAAGCAGCATCCTGCACCATGTAGCCGCCAAAGACATTAGGGTCAAGTGATCCTTTAACCATTCCCTGGATAAACGTGGATTCCTTTGCCAGATTGCGGATGAACTTACTCTTTGGATCGTTGAACAAGGCGCTGCAGAAAGATTCTCCTGGTTCGAGAGAGGGTACTTGTGGAAAGGAAATTACATCCGGCAATCCAGGGCCATAGATTCTCTCGTTGGACAAGCAACTGCTGAGAGATCCATCTTGCTCGTCATAGGTCACTGGTGAAAAGAAAATTAGATGAAATGTAACCTTCCGCGCTGTCTGGGGATTTCTTCTGGTTTCTTGGAAGGAATAAGAATTCATTCAGATTTCTTACACATTTCCAGCGAAATGAGAATCAGGGTCGGGGCAGGGGAGGAGAAGTAATGATCTTTAATGAGGATGCTCCACTCATACAAACATGATTTTCAGGGAGGTCTTAGCTAAATGTCAAAAATATAAATAAATAAATAATGAGGATAATTAATATTATATATAAAAGATTGTAAAATATAACAAAGGTATATGCGAAATAGAAAAATATAATGTTAAGAAAAAATCTTAACAATTGATTTCTTAAAGGCATTGAGGCTATCAGCGTTTCTGGTTTCCAAGTCGAAGGTGTTCCTTTCCACAGTGTGGGACAGTTTTGAAAAAACCCCAGTTTGTCTTAGATAATTCAAATGCAAGGTTTTGTTTGTTTCTAGTATAGTAATCATGTCTATTTTTAAATGATTTAAAACCAAAATCAAACCCAATGAGGTTGTTCAGGCATTTGTAAACAAAAATTCATCGATCGATAGTTCTCTTTTTGACTAAAGTTACCCAGTTGAGATCTTTCAAAGCTTGTGTAGCAGAATCTCTTAATTCTCTGCCAAAGATTATCTTCGCAGCTCTGTTTTGAAGTATTTGAAGAGTGTCCATATGAACTGTATTTCTTTTGTCTCCCCCCACAATACTATTGTATTCAAAAATGGGCTTGATCATGGTGATATAGAAAGTTAGTCTTACAGATATAGGTAGCATGCATTTAATTCTAGATAAAATTGATATTCGTTTACGTATTTTGGAGGCAATGTTTGAGACGTGATCTTCTGAAGACAGACGCTGATTCAGTGTAACCCCAAGATATTTGTAACAATCCACACGTTCAGGATCGCATTTTTCTTTTCGGATAGCTTTTAGGAGTTCCATTTCAAAGTACAGTAAAACACAATCAAAATAAAAAGGGGAGAGAAAGGGCTGAGAATGTAAACTACAATTAAAACCTCGATGCAGATCAAAGACCACTGATCAATCTACAACACACCTTGCTGATATTTGCAAAACCTGCGAAAATAAGGCCAGCATCTTGCTTTCTCTGCCGATACTTTAATTAAAATATTAAATTAAGAATCAACTGACCATCAATTTGGCCTTTTATGTGTGCAAGAGAGCTGGAAAAATGACAGCGGGCCACTTAAGATAGCGTCAAAATAGGAAAAATATTAATTTTGGTAAGAAGTCGACTGACCTTTAGCGTCACCCATCCCAGAAACTGAAGACATCAATGGAGTAAATATCTGAAAGATAGCACACTGGAATGAGCAAAAGACAGAACATTATTTCAGAATCGACCATGTAGTACTTCATTGAGGGTAGCGAATTGGCGAACACTCGATTTACAATGATTGCCGGCTCTATGTTTGATCATCAATTATCAATTATAATAAATACCTTTTTTTTCTAAACTTAGACCAGTTGAGGACATGCAACATTTAATTGACACTGAATATACTCGTATATCTTTGCGGGTCAGAACACTTTTCATTATGTCTTTGTGTTCAGTTAACAAAATGAGTCTTAGAGACAGGCCAAATTATTTGAAGACTTAAGTCATGTTGGTTTCAATTCGCTACATTATTTTCTAGAAAAAACAAACAAGAGAACAGGTTATAGTTTACTGGATAGACGGTTAAGAATATATGAAGGTCATATATTTGAACTGCGGATAAAGACATGAATGAAAGTGATCTTCGCAGTAATGAACACTACTTAGGCAGTAGTGAAGATATCTTCACTACTGCCTAAGTAGTGTTCATTACTGCGAAGATCACTTTCATTCAAGTTTACTGGATACTTATACAGATCTATCTTCATCTAAAACCTTCAGAGTTCAGCTAAAAAATAAATATTTTGAACAAAAATTAAAAAAAATAGTCCGCTGCTGTTGAGAGAAAATTATGTTGTCTCCTGTAATTGATAAGACCTCCTTAAAAGTGCTTAGCTACAAAGCAAAGGACGCCATTGTTGACTTTCATATTGCTTCGGTTTGTAGTTTGAATGCATATGTCTCCTTCTATACAACTGACTCTTAACAATTTGTACCTCCCTTTTTGCGCTATATGACTTATATTCCTGTTTGTCGTGTTGAACGACCACAAATGACCGCAAGTGAAAGCAGTATATCATGTTTCCTATGGTTTTCCCTCATTTTCCTACTCTAACGATGCTCGTCATTTTTATGATGCACACAAACCCACAAAAGTTAATAAGCTCTTTGGCCAAAAACGCAAAAAATCTGGCAATCTTTTTAATTTGTTACAATGGCTTAGAATCTCGGACAAGCCTTATTGACTCAAACTAATTTCACTCTACCCTCTCGATCGCAACGAATAATTGCGTTAATTGTTAAGACTGGGAACAAATGATTATTTCGAAAGTCGGAAAAAGACAATGAAGCACATTTTCATTTTAGCAACTTCACAATTGAACATGAAACTCTTCTTTCATTTCCCTTAGTCGCTCGCTGTTGGCTTGGCGAGGCATGGAAAATGTACCTGTTGAAATTCTCGATATTTTCGCATTATTCCACTTGGTTGATGGCCTTTCGTGAACACAAATGAACGCAACATACTGTATCCGAAAAAAATAGCTAAACTGATGATTGATTTGAGTCCTTGTGTTCATGACGCGGCACAAAAACAGGAAGAGAGACGCTCTGCTTATTGGACTGGAGTGTTACGACCATAAATGAACGCAACATACCGTATCTCCGAAAAATAACTAAACTTTTGTTTAATAATGAAGCTACACAAAAAAAGGAAGAGAGACGCACTAGTGGGTTTTGAAATGAAAGTTTACTTTCTTCAAAAACAATGTCAATAAACATGGCACACATACAGTGAGAGAGCCCGCTACACACCAACATGATATTTTATTGCTTGTCAATTATTTGTCTACGTGTTCCATGTCTCTGTTGGCGTCGCAAAGAGTCTCTTGTCATAGTTCCGGGTTCTGACGTCGTACGTAGTTGAACAGGGGGGAAGAGATGTTTAAATTATAACGGTTTTGATGCTGGCTTAAGAACTGAGATAGATTAAGGCGGACATTTGAGTTGTTGCTGTAACTCTTTTGATCTTGAAAATGTTGATGAAATGGCGATCATGATTTTAAATGTATGAGAATGAAAATAGACAATGAAGAGAGGATCTAATTTCGTACCCAAATGGCCGCGGAAGGTCATGCATGGTGCATGGCGATGGTAACACAGAATATCAGAAATTTGCATATAAGTAGCGAGAGCCACAGATCTAAACAGTTTGAAAGATAAAGTTTCTAAGTTTGATACATTATTTCCTGTTTTACTTTTTTGTTTAAAGTAAAAAATGCACATTGATTAACGTAATCAGTGATCAGTTTGCAAAGTAACACTGAACTTTTGCTATTAACAACGGCTAATTCTGTTTAAAAAGATAAGTTTCGAAAAGCACACCTTTATGAAATGTTTTGATGTTTCGATGCAGCGAAGTTCCACTTCCACCCCTCCCCCCACCTGTCTCCTATTACGACTTTGCCATCGACTCAGTATGAACAATAATCCACAGGAATTGAGTAATTTATTTTTAGATTTGGTCATGCTAGGAAAATTTTATTGACTCAAACTAATTTCACTCTTCCTTCTCGATCGCAACGAATAAATGCGTTAATTGTCAAGACTGGAAACAAATGATTATTTCAAAAGTTGACAGAAGGACAAACTACTAACAATGAAGGAGGTTACTGTACTTTTGCAGTGTAGCATTCTACAGAAATATCAGTCATACACTTGTAGCCTAAAATTATTTAATCTGTGAACCTCATTAGTATTGACAGTTGCTATCAACAACCAGATAATGATTGATTTATACTGTATATATATGTAAGCCTGTATGTCTTTTGATTTATTTTTGTACTCATTTATTCAAATTTTCCTTCCTTTGACAGGGAGCTCAAGAATATCTACAACTGGTGAATCTTCCAGACACACCCCTAGAAGTGCAACAAGCTTAGATAATGAAGTTGTGTTCCGACGACATGCAGCAAATCTTGAACACCAAATGCTGCATTGGATGATGGTGTTCTAGTTAATGGTAAATAATTGGATGATTATTTTCTTCTTGCTAGAGTTTATGAACTGCATAGTTTAGGCTTAGCCTAATATTACTTAAAATAAAAATATTACTGGACAGTACAAATTACATCAATTTCTACCAGATGGAAGGGTTTCTGAAGATAGTGCTATTGACCTAGGAGATGTTATCACAGATGAAGAAGAAATTGTTGAGGAGCTTATAAAGAGAGGTATGTTTTTTATTCATAATCCTGAATACTTTAAAACTTCTGATTTTCCAAAGTCCTTGTGTACGAAGGAGCTATGATCCTGTGCAGGTTAATTGTTTCTCATTCAAAGGACATTATCCCATGAATGTAGATAAACATATCAGTCTAAATGTCAATTAAAGTTGTACAACCATTTTGAGAGTCTCTTGAATGTAAAGAGCTACATGTATAATATAGATTTTAACTACATTTTGTATAGAAGTGTCTTATTTGTTTTATATAAGTATTAAAGTTTATTTTCCTATATGTGACCTATCAATTGAATTTTGTGATGCAAAACAGGTGTTGAAAACTTTGACATGGCATTGGAACATTGGTATGAAGCTATAGATTATGTGATGGAATGGCGGCGTCCAGGTCTCTCTCAAGGAGGAAAAAACTCATTCTTCCTTATTGAAGCGGACAAAAAGCTGAATGCCTTGATTAGTGGTTCCAGAAAGCTGCGGAAAGTGATTGAACAGTATGATCTCATGGAGACACCTTTAACACGGACACCAAGCAACATGTTGACATGGATTGATGATGGGAGTTTACAGGAGCAAATACCCTTGGAATTCAGTGAAGATCTGGGGGATCAGAACTCTTCTGATGCTGATTCCTTTGTGTCTGCATCTGATAATGCACAGTTAGAGGTACTTTTGTTATTGGAAGTATTCAATTTAAATGTAGAATAATTAAATATTAAAACATGATTGAAATTTAATTAAAAGATGATATTCCTGTAGCCATCTTGGAATACCAAGCAGGAGTTATTTCAATTTTTTCCATTTGTTTGTTTGTTTGTTTGTCTTTTTTTTAGCTCTCTCTCTGTCTCCAACTTTCCGTCTTCCTTTTGTGTTAGTCACAGATTCCAATTCTCGGTAGCACTTTATCAGATAATCGTCTGGTTTATGTTCTGGGTATTGTACGTGTAGACCTCCAGACTTTTCGCAAAAAAAAATTTGTGGAAAGGAACCGTATGATGATGAAATTATGACTTGTACTCAGGTTGCCAGAGTTATGTGACTAATTGTTAGCTTCTCAATGCTGCTTTTGGGCTGAGCAATCAGACAGCATTAAATGTATAAATAGTGTGATGTTTCTTCTGAGTTAAAAACATTTACTGTACTAATGTTGTTCTGTAGTTTGACGATATCACTGATGAGAGACTTGTCAATGAGTCACAGCGACTGAAGCTGTTTAGGGAAGCTGTTCTTCATACAGCTGGAAGTCATAGGTACACTAATAGAATTTAATGCTTCTATCACAAGCAAGTAGACTACATGTATCTGCAGCTCTGTAATGAAATAATCCAATAATGGTGAAAATTTAATGTGCTTTACCACAATAATATTATAGTTTGTGTACATGCAAACTTTCATAAGTTCAACAGTTGGAAGATTGATTTAATATAAGCTGTACATATTTTGATTGTTTTTTTGGTTTACTCTTTTAGTCACCTTGAGTTGTATGTGTCTGGACTGCAACATTACATTCGTCATGGTATCTGCTGTCGTGAGATCAGGTGCAATGTTTAACATAATAAGTAACATGAAATTGGAAAATCCCCTTTTATTTTTTTGTTTTGTGTATCACAGTAGCTGTACCTTTTACATGACTCATTCACTACAAGTGTAAGTGTTAGATAATTAAGCTAACCTTAAATTCGTTCCTATGCATGGTCATGACATGCCAAAATTCTTTTCCTTTGTTTTGTGTTAATGTTATAATTTGTTTTATTGGAAAGCAAGTTTTCTCTCAGTTTGTATTAATTTAAGTTGTTTTAAGTTCATATATTGTATACATTATTTCATGTCATCACGAAATAAATATTTATTTCCCATGATAATGTAAACTAAGAAGATCCCATGTTACCAAAATACAAATTAAGTCAAACAATATTTGCTCTTGTCCTTGGACAGATCTCATTTCATTCTTTCAAATTTTTTGAAAACATAGTTACAACATTGTTTGTTTGTTTTGATTTATTTTAGAACAAATGAGGTGGGATGTGAAAGTGACATGGAATTTCTTGCCAAAGTTCACTGTGTGAGACAGGCTTCTGAGGTTTGATTTGTTTTCATCTTTTTCAATGATAGTAAATTTAATTAATTATATGACATGCTTATTATGGGTTTTTTGGAAAGTCCTTTCATCAATTTTTAAATTGTTTTTCTCAGATCCTCTTTGTCTCTTTTTTTCAAGATGGTGTTTTTGTCTTCAGAAACACGACAGTGGTTCATTGATGTTGGTAGACAAGCTTTGTCAGCTGTCATTGAAAGTGCAGGCAAGGTAAAATACTGAGTGCAGACTTTGGCATTTGATTGTATGTGCATCTTTCTGTGATTACTTACTATTTCTGTTGCAGATATCTCCTAATCTTCACTACTGACAGTAGTTTATGACAGAAATTTCCTGGTGCAGTTTTACAATCTGCTTTTATTACCAGTGTACTATAAAGTTCCTGCTAGATTTTTCAGTAAAAGTGAAGAACAGTTCTAAAAAGATACTGTCGGCCGTCTGTCAGCCGATTGTCAGCCAACTGTTGGCCAACAGTCAGCCGACACAGTTTTTGCTATGTGTCTGGCCAAAGTCTTGGCTGACTGTCAGCCGACAGTCAGTGACCTATTGGCAACCTGTCGGTAACCTGTCAGTGGGTCATAAACTGAAATGATCATAAACATTTACCTATTTATTGCTTCTAAAACTACATAAAAAGGGGAAAAGTCATTTCAAAAAGATACCTTGCACTGCACTCTCAATAGCTACTATGGCTTTTGCCCACTTTTTTGCATTGGCTAGCGAAACACGATTTCATTTATCCACCATATTGAAAAGTTTTTCTAGTTCCCAATCCCCTAAATGCACTACCATTTTCTATCAATTTTTGGTCAACTTAACACTCTCGGCTGACTGTTGGTAATGTGTCAGTAATGTATTGGTAACCTGTCAGCTGACTGTTGACTGACAGGTTACTGGATTTTGTACTATTTTACAAGGGTTTGTATTGTACACTAACAATAATTTCAAGGCCACATTTTGATTTCTGTTGACCCTGAGAGGGAGGGGATAGGTAAGAAAAAGCTTCTTTCCCCCAGAAGAGAATGAAGTTTTTGTTTCCAGAAAAAAAAGAATCTACATTATACTGTACATAATTGCAATCCCACTGAACAAAACAGCTCAAGGGAATGAAACTGCGGACAAAGAGCCACACTGCGGTGTGAAAGCACTTCTTAAATTAACTTTCTTGTGACATGCAAAGTGTCTGCAAATAACACTAAGGCATTTTATTTAACTACAGTTTTAAAATTTTATTTGCCTTTAACCATTTTACTGTTGTCATCTGAACATGCTGTAATTATTTCAATTACAGCATTGTACATTCTTTATTGTTGATGTTATTTTGATGTCGACAGGCCCTTATGACAGCCATCTGGGGAGTTTTAAAGGCTAAAACTTCTTATCTTAAGGTCTGTTGCCACTTCCAGCCATAGATCTTTTTATTATTTTTACTGATGTTTAAAACCAAAATACACAGTATTTATAGGCGATCCTTACTTAAACTGAGACAGAATTTCTTCTTACAATATCAAGCAGACAAGTTATGAGAATGAAGAAAAATATAAATCAGGTGATTATAAGTTGATCCAATTCCAAATTCTCTAAACTGACATCACAAAAGTTTCATGGCAGACAGTAAGGAGAACTACTTATGAGATCTAATAGGAGTGAAAGTGTCAAATCTAATTTACACCAACAAAAGTTGCAGCTATTGTAACTAGTGGTGTCGTTTTTGTTGTTTGAAACTGTAACTTTATATAAGCAGGGACAAAACAGGGGCCTCTCTGTATAAATTGTGTTGATGCTCGACTGATTTTGGACGTTTTTGTGAACACAGGACCCTTACGGTTTCATGGCTCATTTCTATGTAGTGGCGCAGTATGTTTCTCCAGTTCTCGCTTGGGGATTCCTGGGATCAGATGACAAACTGAAAATAGTCTGTGAATACTTCAAGGTAAATTAATTTAAATCATTTGACAGTCAAGCGTATGTCATTAATTTGATATAATTCAAGAGTTTAGTAGAAACTGTATTTTCTCGAATAACTGCTCAGGATGATTGATTTTTGTGTATAAATGCAGGCGGCTTTATTTTCTACCCTTAAAGTATTATTTTCATCCTCTGCAGAGCCTTATCCTTGATTTCATCAGGGACTTGTTTGACTTCACAACCTGTGATTATTCGTCAATTGAAAGCTTGTGCGACTCAATCGTGAGGCTAGCCAAAGAAAGAAGCGAACAGTTATTGAATAGCGATACCTGTGAAACCAAGCTTCTCCAAGCAGCTGCTTCTTTTGATGAAACACTGATCGAGGCACCGACCACTCCCAGCAAAGAAGTTCAAAAGAATGAAGAACACGTCTGAAGGAGAACGTTTTCAATTCAACTTGACAAAAGAAATTTTTTTAACCATGTCTCCGAACCTTGATAATCAAAAAGAAAAATGACTTGCGTGGAAATAGCGCGATGAAATAATTCGGATTTCTAATTTAAGGCCAATTACGTTGAAGTGCAAGATTTTGGGAGTATATTTGAGTATATTTTTATCTTGGAGGCAAAATCTTGCTACTCAGCGGATCATAAATTTTGGTAATTATTTTAAATAGGAAATGATCATAAGAAATTTAATTTTATTGTTGGTGGCTAGAAAATTGGACATCTTACTTTTTCTCGAGTTCTCCTGATATCCCTTGTCTATTTCGTATCAAGAGCAATTTTTCATGCCAGTTTTGGCAAGGTCAGAAGACTTGGAGGTGCAAATGGCTTGCCAATTGTTCATATGAACAACAGTGGTTTTAAGGATTTTTAAAGGATTCATGAGTACAGATCTGTACAAAGATGCGTGGGACTTGAAACAAAAGCATTCGGTTTTGTGTCCCCTCTTAAAGACAATATCATTAAATTATTTTAGTGTTTCAGATGAGTGTAATGACATTTTTGTAACTGTTTCTTATTTATTATTACAGACAAAATAACTTTATCTATCCCTCATAGCAAAAAAAAACACACTTTACTTATCTCGTCAATTATTCCAGCCTCACCTCTTTGTTTTACTACCATGAGTGATCAAGACAGAATTTCTTCTTACAATATCAATGCAATATCAAGCAGACAAGAGATGAGGATAAAAAATATCAATTAGGGGATTACTACTTTATCCATCAACAAATTCTCCAATTCATCACTAAGAATTGTATGTCAGACAGTAAGGAGAATTACTAATTAGATCTGAAGGGAGTGAAAGGGTTAAAAACTAGAACTCGAGTAACGAAAAGGCTTGGTACGTTTACAAGGCCTTGAAGTCATGATTAAGTCGAGGCTAAATAATCAGGAATTACTGCCTGTGAAAAAGCGACAGCTGGTTCTAGAGCAAGATTAAAGGTACCCACCCCCTACTCCGTCACCGTCCTAATGTCAAGTTAGATGTTCCTATACCATAAAAAAAGGAGTGCTTTTTGTTGTTAGACAAATTTCCGAGTTAGTTCTATTTCAGAGGTATCATCTAAAGCAGCACAGACACGCTGGTTCCAACCACAAACAACAACATTGACGTATTTTTACAAGTTACTCCTGGAAGGACGAGTAGTAAATCAGGGTTTGATTGCAGGCACTGCGGAAGAAATTCAGCTCGTTAACCAAACCTTCTTGAAAAATGGAAAGGCACTTCTGCTGTTCCTCAGGCTCTACTTGGACAAAGACGCGATCTACGAACCTTTCCAGGTCGCTTTTGTGGCCCGGGCGTGGCTTGTTTTCATCAAACCAGAAGTAATATGGGTTGTTCTTGTCGACTGAATCGATGAGTTGGTCGGCAATCCAGGGCCATAGCATTTTACATGGTAACATGGCAATGCAAAGGTACTTGGGATCGTTTTGGCTCAAGGCTCGTTCATATCCCACGTACGTTGCTGCAGCCGGCTCCATAGCCACGCTGTCTGAATTTCGAAGCCGCCATTTTTCTAGAAAATCCTTGTTGTAGCCTTTGAATTTCTCTGATTGGGTCCTGTAGAATAAAGAGAATTCAGGTTTGCCAACTTCTTGCATCTTCTCAGCAGCTCGTTCGTAAGAATCCACTGCATTGAAGCAATAAGCAGCATCCTGCACCATGTAGCCGCCATAGACCTTAGGGTTAAGTGATCCTTTAACCATGCTCTGGAAAAACGTGGATTCCTTTGCCAGATTGCGGATTCTCTCACTCTTTGGAGCGTTGAACAAGGCGCTGCAGAAAGATTCTCCTGGTTTGAGAGAGGGTACTTGTGGAAAGGAAATTACATCCGGCAATCCAGGGCCATAGATTCTCTCGTTGGACAAGCAACTGCTGAGAGATCCATCTTGCTCGTCATAGGTCACTGGTGAAAAGAAAATTAGATGAAATGTAACCTTCCGCGCTGTCTGGGGATTTCTTCTGGTTTCTTGGAAGGAATAAGAATTCATTCAGATTTCTTACACATTTCCAGCGAAATGAGAATCAGGGTCGGGGCAGGGGAGGAGAAGTAATGATCTTTAATGAGGATGCTCCACTCATACAAACATGATTTTCAGGGAGGTCTTAGCTAAATGTCAAAAATATAAATAAATAAATAATGAGGATAATTAATATTATATATAAAAGATTGTAAAATATAACAAAGGTATATGCGAAATAGAAAAATATAATGTTAAGAAAAAATCTTAACAATTGATTTCTTAAAGGCATTGAGGCTATCAGCGTTTCTGGTTTCCAAGTCGAAGGTGTTCCTTTCCACAGTGTGGGACAGTTTTGAAAAAAACCCCAGTTTGTCTTAGATAATTCAAATGCAAGGTTTTGTTTGTTTCTAGTATAGTAATCATGTCTATTTTTAAATGATTTAAAACCAAAATCAAACCCAATGAGGTTGTTCAGGCATTTGTAAACAAAAATTCATCGGTCGGTAGTTCTCTTTTTGACTAAAGTTACCCAGTTGAGATCTTTCAAAGCTTGTGTAGCAGAATCTCATAATTCTCTGCCAAAGATTATCTTCGCAGCTCTGTTTTGAAGTATTTGAAGAGTGTCCATATGAACTGTATTTCTTTTGTCTCCCCCCACAATACTATTGTATTCAAAAATGGGCTTGATCATGGTGTTATAGAAAGTTAGTCTTACAGATATAGGTAGCATGCATTTAATTCTAGATAAAATTGATATTCGTTTACGTATTTTGGAGGCAATGTTTGAGACGTGATCTTCTGAAGACAGACGCTGATTCAGTGTAACCCCAAGATATTTGTAACAATCCACACGTTCAGGATCGCATTTTTCTTTCCGGATAGCTTTTAGGAGTTCCGTTTCAAAGTACAGTAAAACACAATCAAAATAAAAAGGGGAGAGAGAAAGGGCTGAGAAAGCCAGATTAGACATTTACTGTAATGTAAACTACAATTAAAACCTCGATGCAGATCAAAGACCACTGATCAATCTACAACACACCTTGCTGATATTTGCAAAACCTGCGAAAATAAGGCCAGCATCTTGCTTTCTCTGCCGATACTTTAATTTAAATATTAAATTAAGAATCAACTGACCATCAATTTGGCCTTTTATGTGTGCAAGAGAGCTGGAAAAATGACAGCGGGCCACTTAAGATATAAAATAGGAAAAATATTAATTTTGGTAAGAAGTCGACTGACCTTTAGCGTCACCCATCCCAGAAACTGAAGACATCAATGGAGTAAATATCTGAAAGAGAGCACACTGGAATGAGCAAAAGACAGAACATTATTTCAGAATCGACCATGTAGTACTTCATTGAGGGTAGCGAATTGGCGAACACTCGATTTACAATGATTGCCGGCTCTATGTTTGATCATCAATTATCAATTATAATAAATACCTTTTTTTTTCTAAACTTAGACCAGTTGAGGACATGCAACATTTAATTGACACTGAATATACTCGTATATCTTTGCGGGTCAGAACACTTTTCATTATGTCTTTGTGTTCAGTTAACAAAATGAGTCTTAGAGACTGGCCAAATTATTTGAAGACTTAAGTCATGTTGGTTTCAATTCGCTACATTATTTTCTAGAAAAAACAAACAAGAGAACAGGTTATAGTTTACTGGATACTTATACAGATCTATCTTCATCTAAAACCTTCAGAGTTCAACTAAAAAATAAATATTTTGAACAAAAATTAAAAATAGTCCGCTGCTGTTGAGAGAAAATTATGTTGTCTCCTGTAATTGATAAGACCTCCTTAAAAGTGCTTAGCTACAAAGCAAAGGACGCCATTGTTGACTTTCATATTGCTTCGGTTTGTAGTTTGAGTGCATATGATGTCTCCTCCTTTACAACTGACTCTTAACAATTTGTACCTCCCTTTTTGCGCTATATGACTTATATTCCTGTTTGTCGTGTTTTATTCTACCTGTGAGCCTATCCTCGTTAGAGTTTGACATTGTTGTTTAAACTTTGATTGTGAATACTCTTGTGGTTTTTCTGATTAGCTATTAAGCAAAGTTCATAGCGCTAGTTGGATTGTTCTATTTACGTCAAGTGCAGAGATAAATTTTCTGAAGAAGAAAAGATAAACTAACGGAGTGGATCTCACTGTAACGTTTCAGCCGGAGGACCTGAATAACTAATTTCCTTTAGGACCTTTAGTGAGAAACATGTTCTATAACCACTAGTAAATAAAGCTTATTTTACGAAGTTATTTTGAAATGACGTGAGGAAAAAACCCTTTCCAAAGGGCGAACAGAAAGATGTTTTGATGTTTCCTCACATAGGCCGAAATTCATTTCATAAAATCGTCTTAAAAAATATCATAGAGAGAGTATAATATTTTTGATGATGGTTGCTATCAGTAAACCTGTCTTGACTCTCCCATAGAGATAACCACCGCCAAACCGACAACGGCAGCACGTCGGTCGAAAACTTTTCGGTGGCAAATCTGTCGTTTACTTCCTTTTGTTAACGAACAACGTTTTTTCAGTGCTATGAAGTCGATAACGATGTGCATTAATTATTGCTTTACGAGGAAAATCTCGATGGTCTTCCCCCTCAAAATGAAAATATTAAGACACTTCGTCTTCTACGCACAAAGAACAAATTTGTGCGGATGCATTCGCTGCTTGTTCAATCAGCTAAAAAGTGAAATGAGAAGTCAACTTACCAAAGCTCTTTGACTTCTCTCAGAAGTTCTTGAAGTTGAAGGAAGATGATCACTCAAAATGCTGAAGAGATGTTATCTGCAGGATCCCAGTGACTAACAGTTACTCGTCGCCGAGGTTGGCTGCGGAATAAATAGTTGGTAGAAGGAAAAAAGAATGCTTAGTAACGATGACCTTTTTATATTGATCTAGTATTGTGATTGGGCAAGGGCAGAGCAATAGGAATTACAAGAATTCATGATCAAAACAGCTTATTTTTAGCGGGATACTGACGCATTGAACGACCACAAATGACCGCAAGTGAAAGCAGTATATCATGTTTCCTATGTTTTTCCCTCATTTTCCTACTCTAACGATGCTCGTCATTTTTATGATGCACACAAACCCACAAAAGTTAATAAGCTCTTTGGCCAAAAACGCAAAAAATCTGGCAATCTTTTTAATTTGTTACAATGGCTTAGAATCTCGGACAAGCCTTATTGACTCAAACTAATTTCACTCTACCCTCTCGATCGCAACGAATAATTGCGTTAATTGTTAAGACTGGGAACAAATGATTATTTCGAAAGTCGGAAAAAGACAATGAAGCACATTTTCATTTTAGCAACTTCACAATTGAACATGAAACTCTTCTTTCATTTCCCTTAGTCGCTCGCTGTTGGCTTGGCGAGGCATGGAAAATGTACCTGTTGAAATTCTCGATATTTTCGCATTATTCCACTTGGTTGATGGCCTTTCGTGAACACAAATGAACGCAACATACTGTATCCGAAAAAAATAGCTAAACTGATGATTGATTTGAGTCCTTGTGTTCATGACGCGGCACAAAAACAGGAAGAGAGACGCTCTGCTTGTTGGACTGGAGTGTTACGACCACAAATGAACGCAACATACCGTATCTCCGAAAAATAACTAAACTTTTGTTTAATAATGAAGCTACACAAAAAAAGGAAGAGAGACGCACTAGTGGGTTTTGAAATGAAAGTTTACTTTCTTCAAAAACAATGTCAATAAACATGGCACACATACAGTGAGAGAGCCCCCTACACACCAACATGATATTTTATTGCTTGTCAATTATTTGTCTACGTGTTCCATGTCTCTGTTGGCGTCGCAAAGAGTCTCTTGTCATAGTTCCGGGTTCTGACGTCGTACGTAGTTGAACAGTTCAGGGGGGAAGAGATGTTTAAATTATAACGGTTTTGATGCTGGCTTAAGAACTGAGATAGATTAAGGCGGACATTTGAGTTGTTGCTGTAACTCTTTTGATCTTGAAAATGTTGATGAAATGGCGATCATGATCTTAAATGTATGAGAATGAAAATAGACAATGAAGAGAGGAACTAATTTCGTACCCAAATGGCCGCGGAAGGTCATGTATGGTGCATGGCGATGGTAACACAGAATATCAGAAATTTGCATATAAGTAGCGAGAGCCACAGATCTAAACAGTTTGAAAGATAAAGTCTCTAAGTTTGATACATTATTTCCTGTTTTACTTTTTTGTTTAAAGTAAAAAATGCACATTGATTAACGTAATCAGTGATCAGTTTGCAAAGTAACACTGAACTTTTGCTATTAACAACGGCTAATTCTGTTAAAAAAGATAAGTTTCGAAAAGCACACCTTAATGAAATGTTTTGATGTTTCGATGCAGCGAACTTCCGCTTCCACCCCTCCCCCCCACCTGTCTCCTATTACGACTTTGCCATCGACTCAGTATGAACAATAATCCACAGGAATTGAGTAATTTGTTTTCAGATTTGGTCATGCTAGGAAAATTTTATTGACTCAAACTAATTTCACTCTTCCTTCTCGATCGCAACGAATAAATGCGTTAATTGTCAAGACTGGAAACAAATGATTATTTCAAAAGTCAAAAAAAGACAATGTAACACATTTTCATTTTAGTAACTTCACAATTGAACATGAAACTCTTCTTTCATCTCTCTTAATCGCTCGCTGTTGGCTTGGCGAGGCATGGAAAATATACCTGTTGAAATTGTCGGTATTTTTGCATTATTCCACTTGGTTGATGGCCTTTCGTGAACACAAATGAAAGCAACATACTGTATCTCCGCAAAAAAAAAGCTAAACTGATGACTTATTTAAGTCCTTGTGTTCATGACGCGGCACAAAAACAGGAAGAGAAACGCTCTGCTTATTCTTGGACTAGAGTATTACGACCACAAATGAACGCAACATACCGTATCTCCGAAAAATAACTAAACTTTCGTTTAATAATGAAGCTGCACTAAATCAAAGTGCTCTGTGAGCAAACTCGTGAATTGACACATGATTTTGACACATGATGTTTAATGTTATCTGGTTTAGGGAATTTTGTGGTTGATTGTCATATCTAGAGTACGAGCAGTAGTTCAGTGTTCGCTAATGTAGCAAAGAAACAAAGTAACGTTGGGATAAGAAGGCATTACAATTGAAATGATCATGCTATTACATTTGACAAGGTGGATGATGTCATGTGTTTTAAACGTCTATCATTTTTGTTTCTGGTTCAAAAGAAAAGGTTGGAAGTAAATGTGGGTGAAAAGTGAAATTTACTGTCTTTCGTTGTAAATATTAGAAAATCAAGGCAATACTGTCTTAATGAAAACATTAACGATTCCCTCTTTATCAAATCAGACAAACTGGAACGAGTTTTGAGTGATATAACTAAGCCAAGCCTGCCACCGTCATTTTGGATCTCCGCCTGGGTAGATTTAAGTTACGTGCTAGGCAACGTATAATCAATAACAAGATAGAATTTCATTTCAGGCCTATTTATCAATTTTGTGGTGTGTAACTTTCGCATTTTAGTACGTTGTATGTATGTTGAATCTTCAAATTGTCTTGAAACTTAAAAGAAAATTGTTCTTTAAAAATTCACTGAAAATCGGTAGCTAAAATTGTTTGTTTAGGTGTTATCTGATTTTCGTGTTAACTTGTAATTTCGTCAGTCGCCGGCATCTTTTGTTGCTTCACACAGGAAAAACACACGCGACGAAACGTAATGATCAATTTTGTCCTCAATCTCACGCCATAACAGAAAAAGCTTTTGAACATCTGTAAACTTCGAGCGCTTCGCAGAAAGTAATATTTTCAATGAATCTTCGGATTGTTTTCGAGTTCAAGGATTGCAAATTACAATTTTATGAAAAACGAAGGTTGTTCTGTTATTTCAGTGTAAATCCTTGCATGCCTGCCAGTCGCTGGCGCCGCTTGTTGAAACTAAAACGAAAAAAAAATTCTTTTAAGATTATCATTGGCTTCTTTTTCACCCCACCACAATTCTTAGCAAAAAAGGTCGCCATTTCTTCTGTTTACTACTCGCTAAAAACTATCAAATGCACTCAAAAGCCTAAAATCTAAAAAAAGTTTACAGGAATCGACCAATCGAGCGAATGCCATTCCCCACATGGTATCTATAACTCGCTCTTGCGCATGCGCGCAATTCACGCGTTAAAAAGGAAGAGAAACGCTCTGCTTATTTTTGGACTGGATTATTACGACCATAAATGAACGCAACATACCGTATCTCCGAAAAATAACTAAACCTTCGTTTAATAATGAAGCTGCACAAAAAAAGGAAGAGAGACGCACTAGTGGGTTTTGAAATGAAAGTTTACTTTCTTCAAAAACAATGTCAATAAACATGGCACACATACAGTGAGAGAGCCCCCTACACACCAACATGATATTTTATTGCTTGTCAATTATTTGTCTACGTGTTCCATGTCTCTGTTGGCGTCGCAAAGAGTCTCTTGTCATAGTTCCGGGTTCTGACGTCGTACGTAGTTGAACAGTTCAAGGAGGAAGAGATGTTTAAATTATAACGGTTTTGATGCTGGCTTAAGAACTGAGATAGATTAAGGCGGACATTTGAGTTGTTGCTGTAACTCTTTTGATCTTGAAAATGTTGATGAAATGGCGATCATGATTTTAAATGTATGAGAATGAAAATAGACAGTGAAGAGAGGAACTAATTTCGTACCCAAATGGCTGCGGAAGGTCATGCATGGTGCATGGCGATGGTAACACAGAATATCAGAAATTTGCATATAAGTAGCGAGAGCCACAGATCTAAACAGTTTGAAAGATAAAGTCTCTAAGTTTGATACATTATTTCCTGTTTTACTTTTTTGTTTAAAGTAAAAAATGCACATTGATTAACGTAATCAGTGATCAGTTTGCAAAGTAACACTGAACTTTTGCTATAAACAACGGCTAATTCTGTTAAAAAAGATAAGTTTCGAAAAGCACACTTTTATGAAATGTTTTGATGTTTCGATGCAGCGAAGTTCCACTTCCACCCCTCCCCCCCACCTGTCTCCTATTACGACTTTGCCATCGACTCAGTATGAACAATAATCCACAGGAATTGAGTAATTTGTTTTTAGATTTGGTCATGCTAGGAAAATTTTATTGACTCAAACTAATTTCACTCTTCCTTCTCGATCGCAACGAATAAATGCGTTAATTGTCAAGACTGGAAACAAATGATTATTTCAAAAGTCAAAAAAAGACAATGTAGCACATTTTCATTTTAGTAACTTCACAATTGAACATGAAACTCTTCTTTCATCTCTCTTAATCGCTCGCTGTTGGCTTGGCGAGGAATGGAAAATATACCTGTTGAAATTGCCGGTATTTTCGCATTATTCCACTTGGTTGATGGCCTCTCGTGAACACAAATGGCAAAGTCGTAATAGGAGACAGGTGGGGGGAGGGCTGGAAGTGGAACTTCGCTATTATTCCACTATTATCCATTATTATCCATTATTCCATTATTTCACTTGGTTGATGGCCTTTCGTGAACACAAATGAACGCAACACACTGTATCTCCGCAAAAAAAAAAGCCAAACTGATGACTTATTTAAGTCCTTGTGATCATGACGCGGCTTAAAAACAGGAAGAGAAACGCTCTGCTTATTCTTGGACTAGAGTATTACGACCACAAATGAACGCAACATACCGTATCTCCGAAAAATAACTAAACTTTCGTTTAATAATGAAGCTGCACTAAAAAAGGAAGAGAAACGCTCTGCTTATTTTTGGACTGGATTATTACGACCATAAATGAACGCAACATACCGTATCTCCGAAAAATAACTAAACCTTCGTTTAATAATGAAGCTGCACAAAAAAAGGAAGAGAGACGCACTAGTGGGTTTTGAAATGAAAGTTTACTTTCTTCAAAAACAATGTCAATAAACATGGCACACATACAGTGAGAGAGCCCCCTACACACCAACATGATATTTTATTGCTTGTCAATTATTTGTCTACGTGTTCCATGTCTCTGTTGGCGTCGCAAAGAGTCTCTTGTCATAGTTCCGGGTTCTGACGTCGTACGTAGTTGAACAGTTCAAGGAGGAAGAGATGTTTAAATTATAACGGTTTTGATGCTGGCTTAAGAACTGAGATAGATTAAGGCGGACATTTGAGTTGTTGCTGTAACTCTTTTGATCTTGAAAATGTTGATGAAATGGCGATCATGATTTTAAATGTATGAGAATGAAAATAGACAATGAAGTGAGGAACTAATCTCGTACCCAAATGGCCGCGGAAGTTACGACAGTAGTTGGGAACCTAGTAGTATGCGGTTGTATTCAAAAAGAAACATAGAAATATGTCTGTTTTGAACAAGAATTAGATTTGTACTAAAGCCATTAGATTATTCGCTATCAATTTTTAAGCGTCTTTAAAATCTTGAGCCTTTGATCTAATTGTTATGAATAGTTTTTGCGGGTAGTTTTAGCTTGTGTTTTTTGTCTTTGTTTATTGAATTTGAAGGAATTCAAGACAAGGAATTTCTTTGCTGGCACAAATGTTGTCCTTTGCCCCTTAAATCCGTAAAGTTTTTATGGATCTGTCTCTTTTTGGCATGTACAGAAATCCTATTGACAAAAGAAAAAACATAAACAGTTGTGCCTTTAAACGTTTGAAGTTGCCCTTCAGTAGCATGTTGCTTAAATGAATGATTCAGTTAAGGCCTCGAGCTAATGTATTTCTCTTTTACTTTTACCTCCATGTTTTAACTAACACGAGTGATCAAGACAGAATTTCTTATAACAATATCAATGCAATATCAAGCAGACAAGTGATGAGGATAAAAATATCAATTAGGGGATTACTACTTTATCCAATACCAAATTCTCCAAACTATCACCAAGAATTGTACATCAGACAGTAAGGAGAATTACTAATTAGATCTGATGGGAGTGAAAGGGTTAAAAACTAGAACTCGAGTAACGAAAAGACTTGGTATGTTTACAAGGCCTTGAAGTCATGTTTAAGTCCATGCTAAATAATCAGGAATTATTGCCTGTGAAAAAGGGACAGCTGGTTCTGGAGTAAGAGTAAAGGTACCCACCCCCTCCTCCGTCCCCGTCCTAATATGAAACTACATCTTCCTATACGATAAAAAAGGGAGTAATTTTTATAAATTTCCGAGTTAGTTCTATTTCCAAGGTGTCTTCTGAAGCAGCACAGACACACTGATTCCGACCACAAACAACAGCATTAAGATATTTTTACAAGTCACCCCTTAAAGGACGAGTAGTAAAACAGGGTTTGATCGCAAGCCGCACAGGTGGTTTTTTTTTTTTTGTCTTTAAACCAGATATGATATGGGTTCTTGTCGACTGAAGCGATGAGTTGGTCGGTAATCCAGGGCCATAGCATGGCACATGGTAACATGGCATTACAAAGGTACTTGGGATCGTTTTGGCTCAAGGCACGTTCATATCCCACGTACGTTGCTGCAGCCGGCCCCATTGCTACGCTGTCTGTATTCTGGAGCCGCCATGTTTGTAGAAAATACTGGTTGTAGCTTTTGAAACTCTCTGATTGAGTCCTGTAAAGTAAAGAGAATTCTGGTTTGCCAACTTCTTGCATCTTCTCAGCAGCTCGTTCGTAAGGATCCACTGCATTGAAGCAATAAGCAGCATCCTGCACCGTGTATCCGCCAAAGACGTTGGGGTCAAGTATTCCTTTAACCATGCCCTGAATATACTCGGATTCCTTTGCCAGATTGCGAATGATCTCACTCATTGGTTCATTGAACAGGGCGCTGCTGAAAGATCCTTCTTGTTTGAGAGAGGGCATCTTTGTAAAGGGAGTTCCATCCATCTTGTCTCCTTTTCTCTGATTGCAGATGCTCTTACTCTTTGAATAGTTGGACATGTAACTGCTGAGAGATCCATCTTGTTTGTAATGGGTCACCGGTGAAAAGAGACTTAGATTAAATGTGACCTTCCGCGCTGTCTGGGGATTTCTTCTGGTTTCTTGGAAGGAATAAGAATTCATTCAGATTTCTTACACATTTCCAACGAAATGAGTATCAGCGTCAGGGCAGGAGAGTAGAGGAGGGGATTGCTTTTCATTTCTTAGCGGATAGCTTTCTCGTCTCGAAGTACAGCAAAACACGACCGACAAGGGGGGCTGAGGGCGGCTGAGGCAGACAGACTAGCCATTTAGTATAATGTAGACTTCAATTAAAACCTCGATGCGGATCAAAGATCACTGACCGATCTACGACACACCTTACTGCTATTTACAAAAGCTGGGAAAATATAGGCGGCATCTTGCTTTCTCTGCCGATACCTTAATTTAAGTATTAAATTAAAAATTAACTGAACTATTAATTTGGTCTTTTATGTGCGCAAGAGAGCTGGAAAAAGAGGAGCGGGCCATTCAAGACATATAACAATATATAACAATTTTGGTAAAAAAAAAATCGACTGACCTAACGCGTCACCCATCACAGAATCTGAAGACATCATTGAAGAAAACAACTGAAAGAGAGCACACTGGAATGAGCAAAAGAGAGAAATCTATTTCAAAATTAACGAAAGGATTATTACAAACAGGCCAAAATTACTTGAAGACTAGAGTCATGTTGGTTTCAAGTCGCCACATGATTTTCTAGAAAATAAGAAAAACATCTCAAAAGATAACAGGTTATAGTTTACCGGATAATCATACATATCTATCTTCATCGAGAACCTTCAGGAGTTCAGCTACAATAATAAGGATTATTTTGAACCAAAACAAAGTTCACTTGTGCACTATGTGTCTGTCTTTGGTGGACAAAAAGGTAAATTTTTGTCTGTTTACCTTGCACTGCTTGAAATTCCATATGCGATCGAACTCGTAAAACAGACAACCGAAAGCAGTTTACAAATGCAACATTTCCTACTCCTTGAACTAGATACACTGATGGACGAGGAATATACTTAAATACCGCTTACGCAAAGGTGTTGATGTTGGATAAGAAATGAAGGTTTTAAATCAAAACGGAAGTGTTTCCACGATAGACCATTTCGTTCAGTCTAAAAATGATATCGCGCGCTAACTATGGTAGATTATTTCTCGAAAAATAATTTCTATTTGGAAAAATGCAAAAAACGATTTCCAAACGAACGGAAAGTCTTTTCGCCTCCAAATCAGAGACGCCTCACGAAACCAAATGAGATCCTTCAAAAAGAAACTTGCTATAAATTTGGAATAAAATAATCCGCTGCAATGGAGAGAAAATTCTCTTGTCTCTTATCATTGGTAAGTCCTCCTTAGAAGTGCTTAGCTACAAAGAAAAAGACGCCACTGTTGACTTCTGTATTGCTTCGGTTTGTAGTTTGAGTGCATGTGATGTACCCTCTGTATATCTGATTCTTAAAAAATTGTACCGCCCTTTTTTGCGCTATGTGACTTTATATTCCTGTTTGTTGTGTTTTATTCTTACTGTGAGCCTGTCCTCGCTAGAGATTGTACTTTGTTGCTTGAACTTTGGTTATGAATACTCTCGTGGTTCAAAGCAAAGTTCATAGCATTTATTCGATTGTTTTATTTGCGTCAAGTGCAGAGACAAGTTTTCTCAAGATAAGAAGATAAACTATCGGAGTAGATCTTGCTATAACGTTTCAGCCGAAAGACCTGAATAACTAAAGGTTTTGCTTTAGTGACTGCAGTGAGAAACATTTTCTATAACCACTGTTAAATAGAGCTTATATTACGAAGTGATTTTGAAATGAAAAGAGGTAAAAACCCTTCTCACAGGGCAAATCGAAAGATGTTTTGATGTTTCTGATTATAATTGCCTAAACTGGACAAAAAACGCTTTCGTAGGCCGAAATTCATTTCATAAAATCACCTTTTAAAATCATAGAGAGCGTCTACTTTGTTTGATGATGGTCGCCATTGGTAAACCTGTTTTGACTCTCCCATAGAGATAACCACCGCCAAACCGACAACAAAACGTCGATCGAAAACTTTTCGGTGGCAAATTTGTTATTTACTTCCTTTTGAAAACGAACAACGTTTTTCCAATGCCATGAAGTCGATAGCGATGTGCATTGCTTTACGAGGAAAATTTCTGTGGTCTTCCCCCTCAAAATGAAAAGATTAAGACACTTCTAGTTTCAGTTCTATTAATAAAATTTATGCGAGACAATGTTACCAAGGGAATGACGGTATGAAGCAATCTTGGCTGCTTAAGTTAAACTGAAGTTGATAACGATCCTAATCAACGCAGTGTATCGCTCAACCGAATTTAGTTTTTTAGGTCATACGCGTGCCGAGGTAAATGTTTGATTACGAACACGAATTGCACCAAACCGACGCCACGTTATTTAATCATGATCATTGTACATTATTACAAGGAACTCAAAATACGTCAACTAAACAGATGGAAGTGTACCTTTAACGCAAATTATGTTGGTATGTTAATGTTATTCCGAGAAAGTAATTTGACTGCTTAAGGAAACATTCAAACGCGTCTCGAACCGAAAGTAAACACTCTTCTTCGTTTTGTACTTTGAGGGTATCTCTCTAAAATAAAGACCCCATCGATTTCGCTCATCTGAAATGTTTTGACTGCTTAAGGAAACGTTCAAACGCGTCTCGAACCGAAAGTAAGCACTTTTCTTCGTTTTGTATTTTGAGGGCATCTCTCTAGAATAAAGACCCTATCAATTTCGCTCAACTGAAATGTTTTTGAGATGAAAGTCTTTAGAGTTCAGTCTACAGCCTCTGTCCCATATACTCTAATGGCATGCAGCTGGTGCCTCGCCTGAAGTCGCCTTCTATACATAAAGAACAAATTTGTGCAGATGCACTCGCTGCTTGGTCAATCAGCTAAAAAGTGAAATGAGAAATCAACTTACCAAAGCTCTTTGACTTCTCTCAGAAGTTGCTGAAGTTGAAGGAAAATAATCACTTAAAATGCCGAAGAGATGTTATCTGCAGGATCTCAGTGACTAACAATGACTGGTCCCCGCTGCAGAATAAATTGTTGATAGAAAGAAAAAAGGGCGTTCAATATCAATGACGTTTTTCTATTGATCCAGTATTGTTATTGGCTAGTTTCATTCTTTGACAAAATGCCATGTGCTCAGAAGTGATCTTGGGTGTAATCTTACGTTCTTCAGGGAAAGATCCGAGAAATAAAAAGTACAAGAAGTTATGATCAAAACAGCTTGTTTTCAGCGGGATACTGACTCATTAACGACCAGAAATGACCGCAAGTGGAAGCGGTGTATCGTGTTTCCTATGTTTTTCCCTCATTTTCCTACTCTAACGATGTTCGTCATTTTTACGATGCACACAAATCCACAAAAGTTAATAAGCCCTTTGGCCAAACTCGCAATAAAATCTGACAATCTTTATGACCTATTACCATGCCTTAGAATCTCGGACAAGCCATCTGTTCTTGTACATTTGGCCATGCTAAAAAAATTTAATTGACTCAGACTAATTTCATATTACCTTCTCGATCGCAACGATAAAATTAATGCGTTGTTGAGACTGGAAGCAAATGATTAGTTCGAAAGTAAAAAAAAAAAAACATGTAGCATATTTTCAATTTAGTAACTTTACAATTGAACATAAAACTCTTCTTTCATGTATCTCAATCGCTCTCTGTTTGCTGGGCGAGGTATAGAAAATATACGTGTTGAAATTTTTGGTATTTATGCATTATTCCACTTGGTTAATGACCTTTCGTGAACACAAATGAACGCAAAATACCGTCTCTCCAAAAAAAAAGACTAAACTGATAATTGCTTGCAGTCCTTTGTTGATGAAGCTGCACGAAAACAGAGAGAGGAACGCACTGCTTATTTTTGGAATGGAGAATTTCGACCACAAATGAACGCAACATACCGCATCTCCGAAAAAAAAGCTGTAGTTGTCATCGCACTGAACAAAACAGCTCAGGGAATGAAACTGTGGACAAAGAGTCACACAGCTGTGTGCAAGTACTTCTAAAATTAACTTTCTTGTGACATGGGGAGTGTCTGCAAACTGAACAACACAAGGTCCTTTGTCCCTTAAATCTACAAAGTTTTTATGGCTCTGTCTTTGTTTGGCATGTACAGAAATCCTGTTGACAAAAAAAAAATAAAATGAACATTTGTACCTTTAAACGTTTGAAGTTGATCTTTAGTAGCATGTTGTTTAAATGGATGATTCAGTTAAGGCCTAAGCTAATGTCTTTCTCTTTTTTTTCCAAGCTTTCGCCGATCTACGGCATGGTCAGGGAATGTAAAAATAACTTTCCTCTATGCGTGGTACAAAAGTGATGTAAAAATATTCGGTGTGTAGCCAGGCATATTAAAAATTCTGGTAAAAAGAATAAAAAAAGTTGACACTGGCTAAAAAATACATTGTTCTGGACGTTTCGGTTGCTACTATTACCTTCTTCAGCAAAGATAAAAATGCGAATGTCTAACGGCGTTCTGCTTGGTATCTATGTTCATGATGTGTGATAAAACTAAATCTCGAAGGAATTTTCTAAGTGTAACAATAGTCTCTAGAGTATTTTTAATGGCTCTCAAAATTCTTAATGTTATTGTACATGTTTGGGGGGCTGTCCTGGTGTACCGGTACACGGGGGAATTCCTATTGTTTTCATATCCATACATGGAGTTGTGACGCAGTTCGTTAATGTTTCGTTCCTTTGTGTACCGGTACACGAGGACACAACCATGTTTGGTAACGTTATGTGTTCGTTTATAACATTTCTATCTCGCATGGAATGCCAAGCTTCAAGAATTAGACTTTGTCACCACACCGATGATCTGTCAACAATTCCAACACTCTCCAAATCTATTTGGTGCCTGTGAAGCATATGGTGTTTGGCCAACAAAGAGTTTTCATCCAATGTTGCTATGGCCTTTGTGTGTTCTTTCACGCGTGCTTTTAGTGCGCGCGATGTCTGACCAACGTAAACACAATCACAGTCTTTACATTTTATCTTGTACACGATTCCGCTGGAGGCCTCTTTCTCGATCTTGTCTTTTGGCTTTTTAAGTATGCTCGAGATGGAGCGGATAGGCTTATGGGCGACCTTGATGTTGAAACTTCGAAGAACTTCTGTGACTCAACAAATTTTCGGTTGTCCGATGGGATCCCAGTCAGCGCCATCTTAGGCAATCTAATCATGGAACATGTCGAAGAAAAGACTCTCTCATCGGCCCCTAACCCTCCCTAATGGTGGATTAGATACATAAATGATAGCCACGTGTGTATAAAAAGGAACACGTAGATGAATTTCATTCACACCTGAATTCCATCAACCCTCACATCAAGCCATTAAGGTAGATTAATCAAAAAATTTTCAAATTTTTTCTATTTCACAAATAGATGTGTGAAGAAAACTCAAACAGGTAATGAAATGAAATTCTAATAATTACATCCACCATAGCTTTTCTTTACGCAAAGTGATTATTATAGTTCACCCTCAATTATCTTGGAGAAAATATGAGCAAATGAAAATATTTTAAGAACATTGAAATTTTCTTCCCATATATTGTCTTTTTAACAAATAGATTCCAAGTTGCCGTGCGTCTGTTCCGTAATAAATCACAGAGGACGTCAAAATGTGGTAAGAACAAAAAAGTGGCTCAAGTCACTGATGTTCTTACCCCATTTTGACGTCCTCTGTGATCTATTACTGAACAGACGCACGGCAACTTGGAATCTATTTGTTTTACATAATAAAGAATTTTAAAAAAGTTTTAATGATGACGTCATCTATACGACTGTCCTCCAATAGATCATAAGTGAGAACCAATCAGAATGCGTGCATAACTGAGCTTATTATATAAAGGAATCTTGATGACTACTATCTCTTTTGTGGTCCATACCACAAAGAAACAGATATCTCTCTTAGAGAAACACATACAGATTAAGTTTTATCACACTTCATGGACATATGCCAAGCAAGACGCCGTTAGACATTCGCATTTTTATCTTTGCTGAAGAAGGCAACAGTAGTAGCCGAAACGTCCAGAACAACATATTTTTAGCAAGTGTCAACTTTTTTTTATTCTTTTACCAAAATTTTTAAAAGAGATGTAGGTAATACGAATAACTATATATAATGAAGACAGAGAGTTGTCGAAATGTGGCGATGGTAACACAAAATAACACATAATAATATGAGTATAGCGAGAACCAAGCATCTGAGCAGTTTGAAATATAAGGTCTCAGAGTTTGATACATTATTCCTTATTTTACTTCTTTATTTAAATAAAATAAAAGCAGTCAAAGCCTGCATATGGCTAGTGCTGTGTAAAGCGGGTTAAAATGAATAAATTTTCATGTAATTAATAGAATTTCTTATTTCAACCAACTGAAGAATGCCATTGAAGCTGTTTGCACTAATATGCACTTTTTGTTGGAGTAGGATTCCTGTTTTGAATCGTCAGAGAAATGTGCAACGTACAACTTTGTAAACAGTATTTATTTCCAACAATATAATAACGTTTTGAAATGGGTATAACATTTACAAATAAAACGATAAAAACAAGGTTTCAGTCGCATTGTTAAAGTCATTGTTCTTAATTAATCCAACAATGTAATAACGTTATAAAGACAAGAACTCATGATTATAGATAAATCAAAGAAGAAAATGTGAAATTACGCGTGAGGAATGATTAATAAGCATCTTTTTGGGGCCACATTTTAAAAATAACATTTGAAGAGTTATTCTTCAATTAACTAATAAATAAAAATAAAAATACTTCAACTGCGAGGATCACTTTCATTCACATAATCATTTCTACTGCTAACAGATTTACCATCAATGCTTACATTACTAGAGGAAGATTACCAGCTAGAATACAGTGAAAGTTACACTGGTGATGTCCATGGTTAACCTACCATTGAGGGATATCAATACTGTATAGGCCTGAAAAGAGCTTTTGAGTTATTGTTATCTGAACGATATAGGGTATTTATTTTAACAGTTGGATGTACTGCTGTGGGTACTAGTTACTGTGCTGATAATGGCCATTTGAAAGTGTTTGACTCACATCCTAGAGATGTTTATGGTAAAAGTCGCGCTCGAGGGACATGTGTTCTATTAGATATATCATCTACAGACAACTTAGTGCATCACTTTCAAAGTTTATTTGGAGCAACTGATCTGTATGAATTAAAAGGTTTACAAATTACAAAATATGATATGGCAATAATATAAGAGAGGTGTTAAAGAGATCAGGTCAACACAAGTGTTACAAAGACCAGTGTTTTGCAGTAGTTCTTTATTCCATTTCATGTTACTCTATCATTTCACCTTGTAGTTACTGGAACTCAAATACCTTAGATGCAATCATTGAAAATGGATCTCAGCTTAACAATACAATGCAGAGTAAGCACTGTTTAACATCTCTTACCCTGCCTAACAGTGTTACAATTTTTGGTACTGACATAAATGCACACGTTAATGAAGTAAGCCACGGAGAAATAAGTAATTTAACTGAAAGCAGAATATCTTTAGAGACCTTGATTTTAAGGAACCACACTGGGAAAACAGGTTTTCAAGTTACCGTATAGCTTGTATTTATCAAAAAAATACAAAAGTAAAGCAATTTTTTTTGCTCTTCTGATATATGAAGACGGTCATTCACCTGAAATGAAACACACAAATCACATTCGTGGTGTAAATGATCTAGTACAGGAAATTAATAATATCATTCAAAATAAACAGGAATGTCAGACTATGGAATACAATATACAATTAATTTGCTGTTCATGTAAAATTACTGAAATTAAAAGGAAACGCATCAGGAGAAAACACAGAAAAAAACATGACAGCATGGAACCTGTTTCCAAGAAAAGGTTTCTAGAAGACATTAAAAGAAAATATTCAACTATTGATGCTAGAAAGAAGAAAGAATTATTTTCCCACCCCAATGATAAATTAGTGAAAGTCAGATCGGTTGAATTGTGTATTAACCAGATTAAGAGGAAAATATGAGAAGGCCCTTAATTTATATGTACTGTCTGTAATTGAATACTTTATAAAAATTAGTAATAACATGCATAAACAAGAAGTACCCTTGCCAAACATATTTCAATATTCAACAGTCATTTGATGGAAAACAGTATATATGCAATACATGTCATTCAAAGGTCATAACGGGAAAATTACCATGTCAGGCTGTAGTGAATAATACGTATGTGGATGAAATACCCACGGAACTATCCTCACTAGAAAAACAAGAACAAATACTAATAGCTCAACGAATAGTATTTAAGAAGATTGTATATGTATATCTTCACCTTCTATCATATCATTTAAATAAATTTTGATAGATTTCCGATTTTCTTTGTGTGTTTTTATTTTTCCTTGAGGGATATCTTTATCTAAGGAATAAAGAATCATAGTTTGCTTCACAAGAGGCTGAGGAAAATTGAATCTACATTGACTTGTTGTATTCTTTACGATAAGTATGTGAATGTCTATGTACTTGTATAGTATTTACAAGATCAAATAATTTAGGATAATGTACTGGCTTATGACAACTAATTATCTTATCATTATATGCTGTCAATTGTTCATCAATATCTATATGAAACTGAGGTGCTCCTTCACTCCACACGAGCATGTGTATATGAGGTGACTCTCTCTGTTGATATTCTACTCTGTAACACCAGACTGATATTTTGCCTAATGGTTCAGCAGAGCTCAACAAGAATTTTGTCGGAAACTGATTAACTTGATAGTCAAAATGCCATACACATGTTACAGGGTCACTTTGAATTAAGCAACACCTATCCTCCCAGTTCAAACCCTCTATTTGTTCATCTGTATATTTTTTATTGTCATCAAACTGACCAAGTGTTCTAAGTATATGAATCAATTCTGTTTCTGCTGACGAGAAAGTACAAAACAGTGTAATATACAGATCCTAGCTGTCTTATCATAGCAAACAAATCTCTCTTAGCTTTTTCAAGGTATGGAGGTGAACCTCTCAATGCATTTAAAAGCTTATATCCCTCATCATGACAAAATCTGTCTAAGACCCCCTGCTGCTTTAATTGCTCTGCTTTGACATTCCTACTATTTCCTTTGCATTTTCTAGGAGCAATATGTGACTCTCCTAGAAGGATTTTCATTTGTGACTTTTTTGTTTTAAAGAAAATATTTCCACACACATTGCAGCACGTCTATCAGATCGTCTAAGTTCTGATTTACAAATATCGCTGAAGTTAACATTGACTTTTCGGTGCCTAGTGTCTGACCTTGATTAACCAAGAAATATACCAAGATATGCTAATTCTTCACAATATTTATCTCTAAAAACACTCAATGGTCTGTTGCCTTCAGCTGGAGCTATGTTTAAAGTATTCTGCCGTTCACTATCTTCTAAAAAGTCAGTTGCTGTTAACATAGTATCAGTTGCACCTACAGGTATTTCTGCTTCACCTTCACTTAAGTCATTGTTGTCTAATATTTCAGAACTGCTATTGCTGTGAGCATTTTTATCACCTGATTCTGCTTGTGAACAGTCATTGTTATGAATTTCATCTTAAGCAATTTATATTGTACTTATCAACCCAGTCTTTATCAAAGACTATACCTTCATCTCTATATAAACTGCTATAAGTAATCAACCATTTTGCTCCTTGAACAACTTTATGTGGTCTGACATTTAATGACAATGCTGAACTTTTTTGCTGTAGCTTTCTTTTCAAAATAATTTTGATTGTTGCAGTTTGGCATGGTACCTGTGGTAACATAGTAAGTGTATAAGTTGCATCAACTGGTACATTAACAATATTTCCATGTATCTTAAGTTGTCTTCCTCTAGGTGCTTGTATTAATTTCTAAAATGCAATTCTTGGTGCTAGTAATCTACACTCTAATTAACTAAGGTAAAAAAAATATGGTTTCTCTGGAAATATCATACCATTAGCGACTGCACATGATGGCATCTTTTTCTTAATCAAATGATGCTGACGTGTCCTACAAATCCACTCTTTGTTATCAACACTTGTTTTATTACACAGATA